GGGCTGCCCGTCACCACAAAAGAAAAATATGTACTTATTTATATGTAATACTCCATTTTGATTACTTATGGATGAGGTAGCAAAAATTAAAATGTATAATAAAACACGAAAAGGAAAAATTAAACATTAAGTTATATTACAAGCAATTTTATGAGTGTGAAAAATGCATAAAAGAAAAAAAAAAAAAAAAAAAAAAAAAAGAGTAATAAAATAAAGTAAAACAAGAGCAACAGAAAGAATAAATTATATTATAATCAATATTACGCATTTTACACATTTGTAATATTGATTATAATATACCTGAATTAAGATCATAGAATTTATATTGTAAATAAAAAAGCATGATTAAAATAAATGTTAAGGGATTATTAACATTTTTGAGTTACCATTTCGATATCTAGTGGTATCATCATTTTCTATTTCATTTTATTTATCCTTTTTTTTTTTTTTTTTTTTTTTTTTTTCTTATAAACATTTCTTAAATGCAACTCTTATATAATCTCCTTGAAATGAAGGTATATAAAAAAAAATGGAAAATGCACAAGAACATCCGTTTCGTGTGTAATTACATGTATTCTTCCTCCTGTATCTTTATTTTTCAATACGCATGTCATATATTTAGATTATCTATTTGTAAGATTAATCCAAGATAAAAGGGAGAGAATGTATAGAACTCATTGAGACATAAAATGAGTTACAAATTGGGGTATAAAATAGGTTATAATAATTTATAAAATTGGTTATAACTACTTATAAAATTGGTTATAACTACTTATAAAATAGGTTATAACTACTTATAAAATTGGTTATAACTACTTATAAAATTGGTTATAACTACTTATAAAATTGGTTATAACTACTTATAAAATTGGTTATAACTACTTATAAAATTGGTTATAACTACTTATAAAATTGGTTATAACTACTTATAAAATTGGTTATAACTACTTATAAAATTGGTTATAACTACTTATAAAATTGGTTATAACTACTTATAAAATTGGTTATAACTACTTATAAAATTGGTTATAACTACTTATAAAATTGGTTATAACTACTTATAAAATTGGTTATAACTACTTATAAAATTGGTTATAACTACTTATAAAATTGGTTATAACTACTTATAAAATTGGTTATAATGTGTTAATCCACACATAAGCGTACATGTAGGAGCACAAGGTAAGAAATTTAATTTTGGTAACTACTTAAATGTAATGAAATAGATGACTATTTTCTAGTCAAATGTACAAAACACTTTTTGATATTTCGGTAATATTATGCTGTCAAAATGGACGCAAAAATAAAATAAATGAGGAATTTTCAATGTGTTATTATTTCAGTAACGAAAACGATTTGTCCACACGGTGGAGAAGCGGAACTTGAGAAAAGTTATAATACAAATAGAATTCATATACACAATATGTTGTAATATATATCTATGTGTATTTCTATATGACACAATAACATGATAAAAAAAATAAAAAATAAAATAAAATAAAACCCCATTGGGAAGAAAGGAAGGATAGAGAACAAAGAGTGGTAATTTTATATGAGCTACTAGTATGCATTTTTTTTTTTTTTTTTTTTTTTTTTATTATAATGATGATGATGACATAATATTTTTTAAAGGATTTATTTATACTTGAAATCCTTATGCAGAATGGACGCATGATAAATTTTCATTTTTAATGATTTCTCATATTTGTGTGTATATATATACTGGATGAAGCGACGTGTTATATATTATGTTTTCAGGGTATATCCCCTTCGCCTTTCTCAATACATATATTTTTTCTGTTCTTTTTTCCCTACTCTGATGGCAAAAAGGATGGTCTCATGGAACATGCGCACATTGGCATATACATACACATACACGAGTGCAAATGTGCACACACACACATACACATATGTGCATGCATATATATACAATGCTCAATCCATTTCGCCAGTTCATGTGGAAAAAAAAGAATGAATGTCATTTTGTCATAAAGGCCAGAGATCGTTCAGATTATCAACTGCACGGAACAAATCAACGGCACCTCAATTTTTATGCTCATTTTTTTAAGACACTCTATTTTTACTGAAAAGCAATTATTTTCTCAATTTTCAAACATTCGCAAAGCGCCATTGACGTGCATGTGTAGGTAAAAGTGAAAACACAAGAGCAAGCGCATGTGTAAACGGAAATGCACATATACCTACATCCCACCCCTCCACCCCATATGTATAATGATTTAAAAGAACTATGGAAAACAAATCGACCAATTATTATTACCACTTTGCCGTATCATTATTTTCATTTCTCACTTTAAAATTAGATTTTTCAATATTAGAATATTAAATTCGTGCGCACCAAAAATGAATTACTTTCTGAATAATTTATGCTTTACAAGTTCTATAATAAGCGTGCTGAGTTCATGTCAGATAAGCATTATCCATTATTTAGAGTGTGCATAAATATGTAAAAACGCATGCGCATATATATATATATATATATGTGCTCATTTTTGACTTGTTATAATAACAATTAATCGTTTTCTGCATACACATTTTTAAAAATCAAATTAATTTAAAATTATTAAAACAACGCTGTTACTTTTACACGTGCATGTAATAAATGAAGTTACTAAAAAAAAAAAATAAATAAAATAAAAATTCGTAAAAGAAGCTTACAGCCTTAATTGAAATATTATGTTAAAAACTTTTAACATGTGCAAATGTTTTTTTCTTCGTTTTTTGCCTCAATCTGTTTAGTTTGTTTCACCTTTTTATGGCGTTGAAATATGTTCTTTTTTTTTATTTTTTTTATTTTATTTTTTAATATGAAAAAAAAAATACTTCTTCTAATATGATTATTTGGAACAAAATGCGTGGATAACTTTAACTTTTATTAAATGCGTATGTGTAACGCTTTCTTTTTTATTTTTCCCATATGTGTATGAATTTATTCAACTTGTAACGATTGTGACAATTGTGACAATTCTGAGCAACGGATTGGCTTAAGAAGAAGGTACCTTCAAGGTCAATATTTTTAAGTTGCACATGATTGAGGTCTATCAGTTCTATGCTGTAGTCTTACAAATTTACAACGCACCTTGTAAAATGTTCTCTAGCATTAAGGTAATCCCAAATCAGAACAAAAAGGTATTATTATACACATTTGAACCCCTTTACTAAACAAATATAAGGCGAGCAAAAAAATGTGTTGTAATTTTTTTTATTTTTATAAAATCATTTAAATAATTTGATGAGAAATAAATATAGCAAAAAAGAAAAAGAAAGGAAAAAAACATTTTTCCTTGAACATACTCTAATTAGTCAGTAACACATTGATCTTTCCAAAGTGCACATATTTTTAGAATCAATTTAATCCTCTCATTAATCTGTAAAAAATTGATATCATGTTACTGACAGTTTTTTGTATGCAAAAAATGTTATACAGATATATTTTAACTATTTTTTTCCTTTTTTTTTTATTTTTCTATTCATTATATAAACATCTTTTGTGTGTAAATGAAAAGATTTTTTTAGCACACATACAAATAATGGCATTGTGTTATAAAAAAAAAAAAAAAAAAACAACAACAACAACAACAAGTAGAGTGGATAAGCGAACATAGATATATAAACAAAATGACATCCAAAAAGGGCATAAAAACGATAGGCCTATATGATTGGCCATGAACTTTTTTTTTTTTTTTTTTTTTTTAAATTAGGACTCTAAAAAGTTTTCACTTCCTTTTTGATTTGCATTGTTATTGTAACGAAAATAGTGTGAGCAAAAATAAGATAATTTGTAAGGGATTTCTGTTTGCACCAATGAATATAAAAAGAGAAGAGGGGCTATAACACAAATTAGTGGAAAAATAAAATCACTAAAAAAATGCAAAAAAAAAGTGTGCAAAAAATATACACGTATTAATAATGCAATTCTCTGCTGATTAGCCAAACGAGCTCCTCTAATTTTCCAACTGAATTTTTGTTAAACATTTATCAATAACATCAACAGTATATATTATTTTTTATTTTTATTTTTTTTTTCTTTCGAATTCATGTGCCATGTGCGATGAAGAAGTTCTCATATACATATACTACTAAAAGTGAAAATATTTAAAACACACACAAAACTTTTCTCAATTTAATGTATTTTCTGCGTAAAAAAGAAAAAGAAAAAGAACGTCAGCTATAGGCATAAAAAACAATTTTTTTCCAATGTACATTTTATTAACTAGGTTGACAAAATTTGACAAAAAAAAATTGGGCATTCTCAACAAAGTAATATAATGCTAAAGACCCAGCGGTTCAATGCCAAATGTATGTGATGTGAGAGCGGATAAATTTTAGATTTTTTTTTTCGTATTCTTGAATTCATATTCTTATTAAAATGTAAGCGAGGTTTAAAGAATTCATATATTTTGAAAAAAAAGAAAAAAATATAATATGTGCTTAAAATGGAACACAACTCTACGAAAACACACACGCACATATGTACTTTTGTGTATACATACATATACGCATGAATACAATTATATGACAACATATGTCCATATGCTTATACATCCAAATGCTCAAACATCCAACATTTACATTTAAAAAAAAAAATTTGTAGTAAACATTTTTACTGATTAAAAATTGTAATAGCTTAAGGAAATTTACGTGCAAGAAAAGTAAATGTGCACAACGCTTATGTAACTCACTTTGACATAAATAGATTAATAAAAATGGAACGGTAGTAATACCTTGTTGAAAACTTTAATCACAATAGCAAAACAGAAAATATTTGACACAAAAAAATTGGTAATACGAGCGGGGCTCATATAATTCGTATTAAAATTTTTTTTTTTTTGTATAATAAAAACTGTACACACGAAAAAAAAAAAAAAAAAAAAAAAAAAAAAAAAATGTACATGATCTGAAAATGTATATAAATGTGTATATATTCACACACATGCATATGTAAATATGTGTATATGTGTGTGTATATTTTCTAGAACATACTAGGTGAGAAGGGCCTTCTTTGAATTTAAAAAGGGACGATATACATACTCATAATCCTCATTCAAAGAATCCAGAGTTTCCTTGTTTATTTTGTAAACGAGAAAACTAAATCGTGGGCCAACTTCATTCAGAATTATTTCATTCTTTTCATTGGTCTCCCAGTTATAGTGACGAAAATATATGATGTCATTTTTGTTAAAAAATGTAATTACTCTATTATTTTCAAATTTCTGTATTCTCATATATTCATTATTTTTAAATGCTATTTGTAATTCATTGTCTTCTTCTTCTTCTTCGTTATCTATACGACCCCCTGTTTGATATAACACATTGTTTGCAACTGGTAATTGTGTTTGACTTGAAGCATCGGTTCCATTCTGGTTTTTATTCTTTGAGAGTTTTCTTTTGTTCATCCTAATTTTAACCGGAGGAAATAAATACTTAAAAATGCTCATAATCCTTTTTCCTAAATCTGAATTGAAATTATGAAAAATTAAATGAGGGTTGCATGAAGACATGCTGTTTAGCTGATCCATAAAATCATGTCTCATTTTGCAATCTTTTATGGTACAAAATAAAGTTGGACCAAATGGCAAATGGCAAATTATTAAATTTCTTGGTTTTCCCTTATATTCGTGTATAATTATGACATCAGTAATGTTATTTTTTCTCGCAAAATTTAAAATATCTTTGATGAAATAACTTCCTCTATTTATTTTTTCACTATTTGGAATGAGCAATTTAAATTCTTTTGCAAAAGATTCCAATTGGGTAGATGGGTTCCTTGATGTTGTAATTAAAACTCTTGGGTTTTCAATTCCACAAAAAAAATATTCATCATCAAATTTTCTATTGAATGATTTGTCATCATACAGATTCATCTGTTTTCTTAATTCGTTTTCTTCATTTTTCAAATCACTCTTTATTTTCTTATTCTCCTCATAACTTTTCTTTATACTTTTTATCTTATCTGCATATTTTTTTTTTTCTTCCTCAACCTTTTTTAGGTATAAGTACTCCTTTCGTAATCTTATGTTTCTTCTCAACATGGTTTAGCAATTCATAGGTACAGGTACCAAAAAGAAAAAAAAAAAAAAAAGATACTCTTGATGAACGGCAGCTAGGCTATATTTTTCTTGCGTGGAGGAATTCAGATAACAGTAACTTCCTCTTCGTTGAAAAAAAGGGTAGGTATATACATATATATATATATATAAATTTATGTAATGTATAATATCTATTTCTGTTTCACATTATATTTTGGTACGTACACGCAAAAATATTTCGATAATTAATTGCTTGTTACCATGTGTTTAAATTCCTTTTTTTTTTTTTTTTTCCCCTTTTTCTTTTCAAATTATGCCGGTTCGATACATTCCATTTTATCGTTTTTTTTTTTTTTCTTTTTCTTTTTTTGTACAATTCTGCTGGAATGATATATTGTTATAAATATTTTTTTTTGTTCTGCTCCTTTTATTTTTTTTTTTTATTATTTTACTTCTTTTCCTTTTTTGCAACTCCTAGCTCACGCCATCACTTTTATGTGATGCCCCGAACACGTCAAAAAAATATATAAATTAAATATTTTTCGAAGTTTATATTATAGCAAAATTACTTGGAGAGAAAATGGAAAAAAAAAAAAAAAAAAAAAGCACTATTACATAGTGGGTATCACATTCAATTTTTTGAAAAGGAAGGAAAATTTATCCAAATGTTACATATTATATACCCCCACCCGAACTCTTAAAAAAGGGGAGGAAAGTTAATATTATTCTCCATTTTAAGCTAACAATTGCATGTCATAAGAGTTAAGTTTTTTTTTCTGTCTCTTTGGAGTTTTAACGTTTTTGCAAAGGAAAGAATTGCTATAATGAATTATTTCGTTGATTACTTTCATTGTTCCAAAAAATTAACACGAGGCATATTTGGAAAATTCATACCCGTCTGTATATATGTGCATCCTTAAATGATATTTCGAACATGGAAGATTTTAAATTCTTCTCTCCAGATTCCTCAATATCGTGAATTTTAGTTTGTATATTTTAGCATGCATATACTTAGCATGTGTTATCAAGATGAAAGAGATGATCTGGGCGATAAGTACGATAGGGGCTATGGGGGAATGTTAAATGTTCGATAAGTTCTATTTCTTACAATTCTGAATCAAATAAGTTTGCCTTAAACCATCTTAAGGAAAATTAAAATAGTACCTTATTTAAAAGTTTTACTAATTTTATAATGTAAATGGACGCAGCAAAAAAAGGGGAAAAAAAAAAAAAAAATTATTACACTCATAAGAGATAGCTTACATCCATATTTCATAATTTCATTTCTCATATATATTAAAATTAAAGAGAAAAAGTCCCATGAACATTATAATTACATGCATAAATAAATAGATACAATGTTACACTGTGGTGAAAAATAGATCAACTAAAAGTGTTGGCTCTTTTCGCTTTGCAGAATAGAATTAGATTGAACAAAATATATTTTCGTCCCAATTGCATAATTTTTGTTGCTCCGTTTTTACAACTTTCATATGTTTTCTCTATCCAAGGTGTACAAATACATATGTATATATAAATATATATATGTAAACTCTAAAACAATGAAGCAGTTGTTTTGAAATACATTTTTTTTAATTTCCTCCCTTTTGTAAATAATTAAAACAAAAATGGGCACGAAAATTTTTTTTCTAAATTATTCTGAAGAAAATAAAAATAAAGAGAATGATAAACAATTGTGCCATACACAATATTACTGTGGTAAATTTCACATTTGCACTATTTGTGAAAAATATCAGTTCTGTAACAACCCGTTTGGAGTAGAAAAAAAAAAAAAAAAAAGAAAAAACATATTGTCTTTTATTTTTCTATATCTACATTTTTTTCATTTTTAAGCAGCAGAAACAATTTATTTATTTATTTTTTTTTTTTTTTTGCATATAAATTGGGAAAACATGTTTTGTGCTATTTTAATAATATGACAGCTCATAGTTTATCAAAAATATGTTCCTTATAAATGGATTACTCAGGAGAAAAAAAAGGAAAATTTTTTTAAATAAATAATACATGCTTTTGGACGATTATTTTAAATTTCATAGAATTTGTAACAAAATGGGAAAAAAGAATATCACTATTTTTTAACACCATAAAAAAAAAAAAAATACCTAAATAGGGAATGTTCGTTTTTTCGTATTTTTTACGAGGAAAAAATATATTCCTTTTTTTAAATGTTAATATTTAGCAAAATGGATCCTTTACTATCCTAATTTTTTTTTTTTCTCTCCTTTTCTGCAAACCGGTAAATTGGTCCATTATTTGAGTTCAAAACAGAGAGTACGCGCGTTGCAATGACTTGCACATGCGTATATGTATAGAATAAAATAGTGTCCTCCCCCCAACAATCCTTATGAGTGTGTGTACATGTCACTGGGTTTATGTTTTTTTTTTTTTTTTTTTTAAACCCCTCTTAATAAAAGAGCAAGAGATTGGAAACAGCTTTCCGGAATAACAAATCCTACGCTTTTGACGGTACGGGGTAGGATATACACGTATGTTATGTGTATATATATAGATCCTTCTTTGCTGGGTTGGGTTGGGTTGGTTCGGTTTGGTTTGGTTCATATTTATATATACACATACATACATGCATATATTTGATAAAATAACTCTGTAATATAAACAATATTTTCATATGGGTAAATTAATACGACAATGATTGGGGTGGAGCTATAGAAACGAGTAGCGGAGGATGGTATATCGCTGGAGGGAAAAGTCCCTTCCCCAAATTTCATTATTTCCAGCAAGTGAGAAAATTACATTTATAAGAGAGCCATGAGACAATATGAGAAATATTTTTTGTATAACCCTTCCTTTCTTCTAGTTTTACAATTTTACATATTAAAAAAACAAAGAAAAAAAAAAAAAAAAAAAAAAAAAAGGAGAAAGTTACGTACAAAAAAAAAGTGCATAATTTAGTAAGCACGAATATATATTAAGTGTACCCATTTTTGCAAAAAATAAGGGAAAAATAACTAGATACTCTAGTACTCTAATTTAAGAAAAATTTTGAAAATATCTAGCGGTTTTTATGTAAAATATCATGGGGCTTTTTTTTTTTTTTTTTTTTTTTTTTTATAATTTACGTTGGGATGCAAATAGGCCGATCCTTATTTTGTTGTCAGGAAAAAAAATTGTAAGCCCCTCCTCCCCCCCCAAAAAAAAAAAAAAAAGGCATATAATAAATACATGCATAAACATACATATATCTAATTTGTTATTATATTTTATACCTACGGTTTTTTAGTTATACATATATATATATATATATATATATATATATATATATGGGTTTTTTATCTGTGTACTTATATAATTGCCAACCCTCGCTACCCTCCCTCTCCCACCACCTCCATCATACTCCGATGATGAAGTGGAAATAGGAAAAAAAAAAGGGGCAAAATGGCCCCGCGGGCCTTTTTTTTTTTTTTTTTTTTTTTCGTTTTGGTGATAGTTTAAAAATACCAAAATAACGAACTTTAGTCCCCTAAATTTTGAAGTAAAAATGTCCCCAAAAAATAGGCTTAAATAATTTTTTTTTTTTTTTTCAAATCAGTTTCGCAAAAATAATTTTATTAACAATTTTTATTTTGCAAAAAATAGCAACACATACATATGTACATAAATATATATAAATATATGTATATATATATATACATGCAATAAATATAACAAAATTTTTATAAGATAATTGAAGTATTCCATTTTTTCATCAATACACATATATGTAGCTTCTTTTTTTTTTTTTTTTTTTACAAACTTGTTTAAAAAAAAAAAAAAAAAAAAACAGTTAAAGCAAGAGAAGATCAAATTAGGATCAAATAAAAAATAGAACTCTGATCAAAGTAATTTAATTGTATTTCCAATGATATATATATTTTTTTTTCAACATACATAAATTGGCTCTCCTGAATCATCTATCCATCATAATTGAACATTTCGCATTATTTTGTAGTGTTTCTGTTTTGTTCATATAAAAATAAGCACAAGTGTATTTTTACACATATTAAAATTTTTCTTTTTCACACGGGTATACTTTTGTATACACTTTTTTTTTTTTACATATATATATATATATATATATATTTCACTGCATTAAGTAACTATCTCTGCCACTCCGCTCACTCCATATCAAAGTTGTTCATTATTCGAATTGATCGATAGATATATAAAATTAGCAAAATGGCAAATGCAAAAGCAGCAAAACCAAACTTACCCGAGTCGAACATCGCTATTGGTATTGACTTAGGTACGACATATTCCTGTGTAGGTGTATGGAGAAATGAAAATGTAGATATTATTGCAAATGATCAAGGAAACAGAACTACTCCATCGTACGTTGCGTTCACAGATACCGAAAGATTAATTGGAGATGCTGCAAAAAATCAAGTAGCAAGAAATCCAGAAAACACGGTTTTTGATGCAAAAAGATTAATTGGAAGGAAATTTACCGAATCATCAGTCCAAAGTGATATGAAACATTGGCCATTTACTGTAAAATCAGGAGTTGATGAAAAGCCAATGATTGAAGTTAGCTATCAAGGAGAAAAGAAATTATTTCACCCAGAAGAAATTTCCTCTATGGTTTTGCAAAAAATGAAAGAAAATGCTGAAGCCTTTTTAGGAAAATCAATTAAGAATGCAGTTATCACAGTTCCTGCATATTTTAATGATTCTCAAAGACAAGCAACAAAAGATGCAGGAACCATTGCTGGTTTGAATGTCATGAGAATTATTAACGAACCAACTGCAGCAGCTATAGCATATGGATTACACAAGAAAGGAAAAGGAGAAAAGAATATTTTAATTTTCGATTTAGGAGGAGGTACATTTGATGTTTCTCTACTAACTATTGAAGATGGTATTTTTGAAGTGAAAGCAACTGCTGGAGATACACACCTAGGGGGTGAAGATTTTGACAACAGATTAGTAAACTTTTGTGTTGAAGATTTTAAAAGAAAAAATAGAGGAAAAGACTTATCAAAAAATAGCAGAGCTTTGAGAAGATTAAGAACTCAATGTGAAAGAGCTAAGAGAACATTATCCTCTTCTACACAAGCAACCATCGAAATTGATTCCTTATTTGAAGGTATTGATTATAGCGTAACAGTAAGTAGAGCAAGATTTGAAGAATTATGTATTGATTATTTCCGTGATACACTCATCCCAGTGGAAAAGGTGTTAAAAGATGCCATGATGGATAAGAAAAGTGTACACGAAGTTGTTCTAGTTGGAGGTTCAACAAGAATTCCAAAAATACAAACACTTATTAAAGAATTTTTTAATGGAAAGGAAGCTTGTAGATCCATCAACCCAGATGAAGCTGTTGCATATGGTGCAGCTGTTCAAGCAGCTATATTATCTGGTGATCAATCCACTGCAGTGCAAGATTTATTACTGTTAGACGTATGTTCATTATCCTTAGGTTTAGAAACAGCAGGTGGTGTTATGACCAAATTGATAGAAAGAAATACCACTATCCCAGCAAAGAAGAGTCAAATTTTTACTACCTATGCTGATAATCAACCAGGTGTCTTAATCCAAGTATACGAAGGAGAAAGAGCTCTAACAAAGGATAATAATTTATTAGGTAAATTTCACTTAGATGGTATTCCACCTGCACCAAGAAAAGTTCCACAAATTGAAGTTACTTTCGATATTGATGCTAATGGTATATTAAACGTTACAGCTGTTGAAAAATCTACGGGAAAACAAAATCATATTACCATTACCAATGATAAAGGAAGATTATCACCTGAAGAAATTGATCGTATGGTTAATGATGCTGAAAAATATAAAGCAGAAGATGAAGAGAACAAGAAAAGAATTGAGGCAAGAAATAGTCTTGAAAATTATTGTTATGGTGTTAAAAGTTCATTAGAGGACCAAAAAATAAAGGAAAAATTACAAGCATCAGAAATAGAAACATGCATGAAATCTATTACTACTATCTTAGAATGGTTAGAGAAAAACCAACTAGCTAGTAAGGAGGAATATGAATCCAAACAGAAAGAAGCTGAATCTGTTTGTGCTCCAATCATGTCCAAGATTTATCAAGATGTTGGAGGTGCAGCAGGAGGAATGCCAGGTGGAATGCCAGGTGGAATGCCAGGTGGAATGCCCGGAGGAATGCCAGGAGGAATGCCCGGTGGAGGAATGCCAGGTGGAATGAATTTCCCCGGTGGAATGCCAGGAGCAGGAATGCCCGGAAGTGCACCCGGAGGTAGTGGGCCAACTGTGGAGGAAGTTGACTGAGCTGAGTTTTTTTCTGAGAGATGATGCACTGCTATTTAGTTAGTATAATATCCCCCTCCGCGACATCTATTCAGCCCATCTAGCCAGCATCTGAATCAGCATATTGTTTATAATATGTCTGTTTTCTGTATATCTCACGTTTTCTATTCCTGCATGTTTTGGCAGGGAGATAGAGTTATGCTGTTTTATTCATGCTTTTTTTTTCATTGTTGTGTGCGCTACATGCATACACCACAAACACCCCAGACTTATTATTATTATTGCGCGTGTCCCCTCTGAAAATAGTTTTCGGTTTTTTTTTACTCTTTTTTATATTCCCTGTTTTTTATTCTTTGCTTTCTGTTTTCTGTTTTCTGTTTTCTGTTTTCTGTTTTCTGTTTTTTTTTTTTTTTTTTTTTTTTTTTTTTTTGAATAAGCTTGTGCGCACATATAATGAATGAATGTGTCATACATGTAACGCGCTAGAATAGCTACAACACTTCCCAATGAGGAAAAAAAAAAAAAATAAAATAAAAGGAAAGGAAGGGAAAGAAAAATATTTAACATTAATTTTATGTTAAATAGTATAAGTTTTCTTTTATATGTGAATGTTTTTTATGCCGGTGGGGAGGACGACCTATATATATATATAAATATATATATATATATATATATACAATAAAATTATTATATAATTATGTATTATAAATTTATGTAATTTTTTTTTTTTAAACACAACAATATACACAAGCAGCAAACTCTAAAAGAGTATAAAATTGTAATATTTTACATATTTTTGAGAAGCACAAAAAAAAAAAAAAGGCAACTGTGCAATAATGTTTTTAATGTAATATATAGATCATATAATATAATAATATATATGATGTGGTTTTGGGGAGTTGTTTATGCATGTAAGGAAATCAAATTGTAATAGATCTTGTCGAGGCTGTGCGTGGGTTTACATATATATATATATATATATATATATATATATATATGTGTATGCACTTGCTTGTGTAATGCGCTTAAGTATACGAACACACGTTTACACTCAAGAAGAGTTAAACTATATGTAAACAAAAGGTGAAATAACAAAAGGTGTACGTCGTTTATTAAAAGAGGGATCATTCTCACTTGTTGCGTGAAGAGAAAATAATTGTGTTTCTCTTATTTTGAAAGAAATAATTATTTCTTAAAAAAATTTCGAAAGAGTGATACTTTTTTGTAAGATTTTATTGTATAATTTTTTGTCTATACCTTTCAATAATGTAAAATATTTTCCTCGCAACATAATGAGAATGATATGTTATTGTGGGGTTGTGGGGTGCTTCTAATTTTTTCGTATAATTACGTTTCTGCACTGGTGCATATAAGATGTTTCATATATTTTATATAGCATATATATTTATTTGTTAGAACGCATTATTTATTAGGGGAAGAAGAAGAGAGAGAGAGAAAAAAAAAAAAAAAAAAAAAAAAAAAAGACGTATCTATGTTCTGCATTTGTCGAAAAGTTTATCTCATGGCACACTTTTTTACATGCCATCTTTATCATATCTTAAACCGTTTGATATCCTGAGAAGAATGGTATACATTTTTGTATGTATATTCAAGAATTACGCCAAAGGAACCCAAATTTTTGCACAGGATGTGTTTTTTTTTTTTTTTTTTTTTTTCTTCCTTTTTTATGCATTTACCCGTATATATATATTTATGCGTATATATATCCACCACGACCTACCATTGCCCATATTCCAATTTTTTTTTTTTTTTTCCTTTTTTTCCTTCATTTGTACTAACCTGTTAAAAAAACCCGATGAAACAGATAGGGCAAATTTTTTAAAGCGAAAAAAGAAATGTTAACATAATGTAGTAGTTATTTTTAAAGGAAATTTTATTAACAAACTTGTAAGAAGCACATTTTAGGAAAAAAATTTACACAATTGCACCTGAGTACGCAGTTGTTACGCACAAGTTTATACTTTGTGTGCAGGGATGTAATATATATATAAAAATGAATGATAAAAAATGAATGATAAAAAATGAACGATAAAAAATGAACGATAAACAATGAAAAAAAACTGTGTTTAGAAAATATAACAGAGTTGGCAATTTCTGAAACTAAAAAATTGGCAGTATCGAATGGGGGTAATCAATATAAAATGTGTTGCAAGTAATGTCTGTATAATATTTTCACAAATGTGTGCGTTTTCCCGAAACTGCGTCAGGCACAAAGCGTGAGAGTAGGGATAGAGATATATATATTTTTTTTTTTTTCTCATATAGAAACATGGTTGAACATGTCTTTTAAAACATTTCGTAAAAAGTAGAATGAAGGATCCAGCGGACTCTCAATTTTCCAGACAACATTATTTTTTTTGTTCATGTTTTTTTGTTTCTGAATGGACCCTGATGTTTCGATTTCTTGTTCCTCCTTCTTGATGCATGTTTTTCCATCAATTATGATTTGATTTCCTTGAGGGACGAAATTAAGGCGTCTCTGAAAAACATTATTAATAATAGAAGACAAATTTTGCATACTTACATCACCAATGTAGATATTACCACTCAATTTATTATCTTCATATAAATTATCATCGTTAGAGATATAATCATCCATATCTGAGGAAATTTCCAGTTCTTCCAATGTTTCAGATAATTCCTGTTCATCTTCTTCTCCTTGTTTTCCATTAGAAAATTCATCATCCATGTTATAATAATTTAAAAAAGGTCTTTTTTCATTGGATTTTTCTTTATTTACATTTTGATTTTTTTCATTTAACATATTTTCATCATCTTGTACCTTTTCATTTTCTTCCTTGGTTTCTTTTTCCATTTCTTTTAATTCATCGTTTTCTTTATCTATTGACATGGAATAATGTGCATCGTTAAACTCACTCCAGAAGGTGCTATGTTCATTGATGAATCGTTTTCGTCTGCAATGAGGGTGGGGGTAAAATAGAAGCGTAGACGTAGAGTCTCTCGTTAGTGTCTAAATCCAATAGTTTGTATTGGAGTGATTATATTATTCCACTGATATGCACCGATAACACACGCACTGGTGCGAGTCTTAATTGAGAGTGTAATGCACCTTTTCACAAAAACATTTCGAAAAGGAAAAAAAATATATAAATATATATATTATATACATATAAATATATATACATATAAATATATATATAAATATACATATAAATATATATACATATATATATGTATATACAAACTGACAAATGCGAAATAAACGAATGAGTCTACCTTGTGCTGCCGCATGACTGCGAATTTGGGCATTCCCTTTTGGAGGGAAGGTTGGATTTGATTTTAAAAATATGGAATTTGTGATGGGCATTTTTTTTCGTGGCGTTAAGTAGAGTGTAAATACTTTTGATATGCACATTTTCATAGTGAAGATTTAAGGGTATATTAACCGAATCGATGGATTTAGCACTCGAATAAAGATAACGGTTAAGATAAATATTTTGTTGACTCATATTGTGAGAAAAATTGGGGGAATAAAAAGTATAGAATTTTATTTCATCCATCGATTCAGTTGAAGAATTTAGTAATAATTCAAAATTGAATGAAAAGAAGCTATTACAACTTGGAAGAAGAACAAAATTTTTTGGCTTCATTAAGTGTATTATATTTTTTAGTATATTTTGATTGATATAATTTTCTATATTAAAGGTTTTTATTGAACAATCTACTGATATAGAGACTTGTTGTTCTTGTAAATTGGATGGAATTATCTTTAAATAATCAATTAACTTTTTTTTCCATGTCATTTTTTTTTTTTTGTCTTCAAATAAACGTTTCTTTTCTTCATATGTGTTATCAAATATAATGCTTTCTTTCCCCTTTTTACCACTATTTGGTGCATGTATTTTTTTTTTTTTAAATTCGTAATAATCTGAAATGTGTACTGTTTGATATCTTCTTTTTTTTTCATCTTGTGATGAAGATTCGTCATTTACTGCTCCTCCTTTTTTTTCATCATATGGCGGAAATTTTTCTGTATCTTCCTTGGTGTATATCTCATTTTTTATTCCCATTTTCACATTTTTACCTTCTCTATATTTCAAAATGGGGTGATTTAGTGATTGCTCTGCATCGCTATACCTCATTTCATTATCATCACCAGCATCAGCATCATCGTCATCCTCCATGGGTTCAGTTTTTATTCTTACTTTTTTTTTCCTGTTCTTGTTCGCATTTTCAAATTTGTCAAAATTGTGAGCCTTGTTCAAATACGAGTAATCCACGCTGTTATCACTACAATCCGAATGTTCATTTTTAAAAAACACATTATTGTTATTTCTTTTCTTCCACCTTTTGGTGTACATTTTTCCGTATCTCATATTTCCCTGCTCCTCGATTTCTTCTTGCAAATATTCTCCATCAATATTGCTCTTACTATACCCACTTTGATCTTCTTCATCATAAATATTTTTATTTCCATTTTCTATCTTACTTTTGTTCTCTTTCATATTACTTTCCTCGCTGCTACTGATATCGTCAAAGTCATAAAATTCATCCACGTTTTTGTAATTCACGATGTCTGCTCTTTTTCCCCCCCCCTCATTTTCACTCCCATTCTCGTTTCTATGTTCATATTTTATATGATCATATGCATTATACAAATGGTGCTTATCTCTCTTTGTCGACAACCCTTCGCTATTGTTATCGCTTTTGTGACATTCGTTATTGGAGCTATTGCTTTCTCCCTCGTCCCTCAACTCATCCTCCACATCATCTTCATTTTCCTCCTCCACGTCATCTTCGTTCTCCTCCTCCTCCCCATCATCATCATCATTCTCCTCCTCCTCCTCTTCCTCATCAGGATCATAATGAGGGGAATGGGGATCATCTGTTCCACCTCCCCCACCGTCGTGGTTGTTGTGGTGACCATCGTTCTCTGAATCTTTTTCCTTGCGTACCACATCTGTAGGATCAGTATTAACTACTTTGTCTTCCTCGCGTGCACACTGTTCTTCCTTTATAGTGTAAAAGTTGTTTGTCTTTAAATCAGAATTAAAGGAACGATTTTCTTGTTTATAGATCTCTTTTTTTAAAAGTAATGAATGTTCATGCTGATTTGATTTTTGTAACGCTCCTTTTTCTTTGTTGAATTTATTTTTTCCTTTTTTCAAGACTAAATTATTTTCCTTTTTTAAATACAACATTTCTTCCTTTGACTCAAATATGAAATTTAGTTGTTTTTTTTTTGGGGGTATTTTTTTTTTCCTTTTAATTTTTTTATCAACTTTTTTATTCTGTATGGCATTCTTTTCAATATTAGTTTTTTCTTTTACATAAATTTCGTATAATTTTTTATCATCAATTTTTACATTATGATTATATGAGAAGGTAAAATAAGATTTCTCGTTTCTCCCCTTGTTCATAAAAAAATAATTACATAAATTGTGTGAAAAACTGTTTTCATAATTTCTTTTTGTAAATATTATAACATTCTTCTTTCTTGTAAGAAATGTGGACAATATTCTCTTAACCGTATCATTGTTCATGGATGCAGGAAAGGTAAACAGAATGTAATATCCGTTTTCATACTTTTTAAAATCCTTGTAATTTCGAATACATACTAGGTTTCTAATTTTTAACACATTTATTCTATTTTTGTGGAAATTCTTTTTTATGTGTACATTCATGTACGTAAGCGACGCGGACAAGAGCCTTGTAAAATTTTCTCTGCAAGTGGGTACGTAGGTATGGGGTTGGGATGGACGTTAATATCTAAATTGCACGTATGCATGTATGTGGGTGTATATTATAACTCTGGTTGGAAGTAAGGCAAAAATACAGGAGGTGTTCGAAAGAAAAGAGAGATGTAGAAAAATGGATCCAAATGTTCGAACGAATTCCTCGCTTCTTTTCTTACGCGTAAGGACACAAGAACAAGAGAGCATATCTCTGCATGCTAACTTCTATGAGTGCATTGATGTGGAATAGAAGATCTAGGAATACGCCTTGAAGGGGAAAATGGAAGTGAAAGTGAACGTGAAAATGAACGTGAAAGAGAACGTGAAAATGAACGTGAAAGAGAACGTGAAAGTGAACGTGAAAGTTGTGATAAGAACAGTTGAATGCGACTGAATTGGCGAAAATGGGCAATTCAAATGATCCAAATAGGAGATAATACCAATTTATTTTTCTTCTCTTCCGAAATGGACGGGAAGATGCGTTTTAGAGCGTGTGCTTGTTTTATTTATTTATTTTTTTTTTTTTTATATATGTTCTTTTTTTTCTTCTTTTTTTTGCCCTTTTTTTCTAGCCCATATGATAGCCATATATCAGTCCTTACTGTCGATGTCCACAGGAAGCAAGAGGCAGCCTAAGTTGTGCATAGTCCTGTTAATAATGTTGAGGATGTTGTTTATGTCGATCATCTTGGTATAATTTTTGTTGGAGTAACGAAAGTTACTTATGTAGGTGAAGACATTTGATTGTTTTATGACATCCGATTTTTCAATAAAAGAATAATCTGATATATTCAAATTTACAGAATATAAAATTTTTGAATTATGGAATTTTATAATAATCGCAGATGATCCTATGTTATCCCCATTATTTATCAAATACAATGGTAGTACACAAATTAAGTTCTTTTTTTTGCATATGATTTTTTTAAAAATATAATATTCTCTATATTCCACTGCAATAATGTTCTGATATAAATCATTGATAATTTTAAAATATTCATAACCATTTATACTTTTAAAGAACTCACAACTTTTCATGCATTTTAAATAACTCAATAAAACATATTTGCTGTATGCTTTAACATATTCGTGACATATGATCTCTATTTTCCTTTTTCTTTTTAACAATTCCATGAATACTAACGGGACACAACCAACGAAACTTAGGCTGTGGTTCGTGATTAATAGAATATCTATATATTCGCACACCCTGAAAATGGAAAAAAAAAAAAAAAAAAAAAAAAAATGTGGAAGGGAACAAGAAAGTGCAGAGGAAACAAACGTGGAAGAGATTTAATACAATAACTGTGATTTTTACCATAACGCACGAATTTGTATAAGATATGATAAGATGTATAAGTTCTATATCTACATATGACCGTATGGACAAAACAAACAATTGTATCCGTTGGTGCAAAGAAAATAAATGGTTAAAAGTATATTCCTCTCTTACCTGAGTACATTCTTAATGTCATCTGTGCAAAATTGATCGTCCCATCCACAGTTTATAAGAATATATATATTTTTATCTTTCTTGTTGGTGTAAAAATCTTTCTTGTTATTTATGTAATCATAATTATATGACTTTTTGTACGTACTATCTCTTTGGTTATTACTTGTCTCACAGTTGGTTGAAACTGCATCTTCATTGAACTCTTCCTTATTGTCATTTTGCAAAGAATCAATCAATTTACAAACCTTATTAGGAGCAGTATCCAACTCTTTAATTATCAGCAGGGTGCTATAAAACTTATGGCTATACAGTGGGACAATTTCTAATATCATTTTTCTCTAAAACTTTGTGTGTAAGTTTGTGTGTGTATATACCAAGCATGCATAAATATTTTGAAACAATTTCCTTTTTTTTTTTTTTTTTTTTCCTCTTTATGTAGTGTTTGTTTAAAAATAATGTGCTTCTTTTCTCTCTTCTTTGGAGTGGCCAATTTTAAGCTTCATAAAAAATGACCATTTTTTTTTTTTTTTTTTTTCAAAGGAAAAAAAAATGTTAGATCTGTTGTTTATAAACAAGCGGTTTCTACCTTCGTATATTCACAAGGACACATGATTTATCTATACCTCTATATTTTCTTATATATGTGAAATATTCCAGAAAGTTGAGAAGTAATTATTCCACTTTTTTTCACAATGCTCTAGTCCAAAACGTCACTTGGGGTTCAACAAATCCCCTTTTTGCTTTCTTATCCCTTCTCAATAGAATTACGTATCAAATATGTAAAACATTTCTCGTAATGTTACATTTTGCCTTAGATTTAATGATGTTCTCCCTTCAGTCCAAATTAACATGAAGTAGAGGCAAACAAAAGTATTTAAAAAAAAAAAAAAAAAAAAAAAAGAAATTTACATTTCATCCTTCATTGCAAGTTTTTATTTTCAAAAAATGCAATACATGCATTGGGCCCTATCAATTCATGTTTAGTGGACATACATAAGTAGTGGCTCACTGATTTTCTCTGTTCCTCTTTTTTTTTTTTTTTTTTTTTTTTTTCCCGCTTAAAACAGGAACATGTAAATGTTACATTGTAATTATATATACATAACACAATATGTATATTGTAGTGCCATTTTTTCTATAATGCACAACCCTCCAGTATTCGTTAAAAATATTTTTAAGGAACCAAGTGAGAATCAAAAAAAAAAAAAAAAAAAAAAAAAAAATTTTAATTACCCTAATAGGATTGGCCTGGGGAATATAAAAAAAAAAAAAAAAAAAAAAAAAAAAGAGAAGAAAAAAGAAAAAATACTAGCTTATCACTTTTCAATTTTTATATTTTTACATTTTTTCGCTTTAAGAACATGCAACTTTTGCATAAATTGCAAATTTGCAGAGAAACCTACGAACAAAGTCATTTTTTCGTAAGATGCTTTTGCTTAACTAATTACTGAATTTTATTTTTAGCTCTCATGTTCAATGAGTTGAAACCTCTACCTACGTACTAAACAACAATGGAATATATATAGATACGAAGTTGTAAGAAGGAAACTTATTTCTCCCATCATTTACATGACAGGAAAAGCGTATTTGCAGTTATGTACATATGTTTATATTTCCACATGTCCATATTTCCATATGCTTATATATCTCCATTTGCTAACAACACCACATGATCCGATTTCCTACATGTCAAACTTTTGACCGAAGACACAACATCGAACAATTTCAGACGTGCACAAAAAAAGAGTGACATCAATATGGTTACGACAAAAAAAGGAAAAAAATTTAAGGGGGGAATAAAAAAAGAAGGTGGTAAACATACAACAAAGGAGAATAAACAAAAGAACACAAAGAAATATGGAGGAGAAGAAGAAATAGTAGAAAAAACAAACATAATTACAATTAAGAAAAAGGGAATGAACGCCGTTTTCAGATCCCTCTGTCGAGATTTAGCTAATGTGTTTACTCCATATAGCATAACTTTTTATATAAAGAAATTGAAGAACTTATCTGAATTGAAGAAAAAATTGAAAGAGTTAAACTATAAATACACAATTTGCTTACATATAAGCAATCAGAAATTTCTATATAACATCACAAGTAATTACACTAAATTGACATTAACATTTATAATTCAAAGTTTTACAAATTCTGCTATAGTTAGAAAAAAATCACCCCAATTTGTATTTCATAATTTTAATAAATTTAAGCCTTTACTCATTTTGAAAAATTTTAATAACTGTGAAAACACAGATATGTTAAATTATTTAATTATTACACAAAATATATTGAAAAATCTCTTCCCCAATATAAATTTGAGTGCTGACCATGCTAATAAACCCAAAAGAATTATATTGTACTCCTATAATAGTTCTGATGAAACTATATATTTTCGTCAGTATTTAACAAATATAAGAACAAAATCTGTTAAAGAAATAATAAATAAAGCTTACGAAAATACGGACTTGGGTGAGTGTAGCAATATGTATGACTTTTTATCAAATCATTTGGATCTAAATAGTTCAATAAAGGATGAGGAAAATGAAATGATAGAATTAGGGCCTCGTGTTAGTTTCAGGATTTATAAAATTGCCGATCAAGACAAAGGTATGGAAAGAAAATGCCCATTCATGATGGGGAGAGCATTTCACATCTCGTAATACACATATATATGTGTGTGTGTATTATGAATGGTGTCCCCGTTGTTTAATCCCACAAAAGACACCACTAAAGTTCCCTCCGCATGAGGTGCAGATTGGTTTACGAAAACATGTGCACATTGATGTAAATAAATGTGGTGACATCATATAAGATTAACAGTTGACAAACGTACTTGTGTAATTTTCTTTTTTTTATAACTTTTTTTCTTTTTTTTTGCCATTTTTTTATGCAGTTATATATTCAATGGGAGATAAAAAGTGATTCTTCTTATGTCACAGAATTCAGACATTTATTTTGTTTTCCGCTTCTTTCTGTAACACACCGATGAATAATTTTCTGAACCTATGAAGATTTTTCAGACTATTTGGATAACATGGAATGTGTTTTTTCGCAAACGAACTCAAGAAAATTTCTCTTTATTTGCTACAGGAGGATATGCAGCCATATAAACTACCCACTGTTTGTGATTAATTTTACTAGATTGACTTTCATTGTTCTGCATTGTTTTACACTGTTCCATATTGTTTTACCATGCCTTGTTTTACCATGCCTTGTTTTACCATGCCTTGTTTTACCATGCCTTGTTTTACTATGCCTTGTTTTACTACGCCTTGCTTTGTACTTTTTTTTTTTTTTTTCTTTTTTTTTTTTTACATAAGGACATTTTTATAGAGCTATTTATGAATGGACAGGTCATTTGTGATAGATAAGAGTAGATTGAATAGCTAAAAAGATATATTTTTTTTTTTTAGCTAGCCAAAACAGGGAAAATGCTATATGAATATAAAAAAAAAAAAAAAAAAAAAAAAAAAAAAAGAACAAAATGGAAACAGTACAAAATATGTATGCACAAATATTTACTTATTTACTTGTTTATTTATCTGCATCGAACAACGTGTAAATATATATGTCTAAACATATGTAGACAATTTTTAACACATAAAAACTGGCACAATTTTCATATTCGTATCTTTTACACACAGTTTTACATATATATATATGTATATATTTTTATGCTTTTTAATTTTTTCTGTGTTAACATCGTCATTTTTACTTTTTCGTGTGAAATCGTTACAACGCTTTATATTTTTTCACAGATTTTGTATATTTTGCATAGTTAAAGTAATGAGCTTTTTACTTTATTTTTTTGTACCGTGAAAATAATCGTACCAAGTTTAAACAACCCTTTAACTCAAGTTGCTGTCAATGTGTAAAAACGTTTAGTTATCAAAACATAACAAGGGAATGTAGAAATATATGAATAATTGCAAATAAGAACTTTCCACCCCTCCTTTTTTTTTTTTTTACTACTGAGCATCATGTAGTGCGTAGCTCAACCTTTTGTTCTGTTTAACATTTGTCTTATTTATTATCTCTAGCTTTTAAACCTCTTCTTAAAGTATATGCATATATGTCCCTTGTAGAATAAAGAAAAATTGATGTGTATCCTTTTTCATTTATATATTTGTGTTAAATATCCATTCCCATTTGAATCAAAATTAAGAAAGCAAAGACTTGCTCGTTGGTTGCTTATTTATTTATTCATTCATTTATTTTATTTTTTTGTGTCTTAGAGTAAATGCATTTGTAAATATGGGGTTGAACTGTCATACCTTTTGCGTATGTGCATTGATGCTGCAATTTTCTGTGTACTGTATTTCGAAATCAGGGGGACTGTTTAACCCACATGCATACACTCACAATGTTGAGGATTTAGAAAAGGAGCATTTAACAAATTCCCTGGGAATGACATATGATATTATTAGTGGGAATCCTGTGGGAGACCCTTTATACACAGTAGATTTGGGATACAGAAGATATGTCCTGAAGGATAGTTTGAGGACAAACAAAGATGAACATACTGATGAAAATGTTAATCACTCAGAAAAAATAGATGAAAAGGATAATCAGAATAGTGTGTCTTATTCAGCATACAAACGGGCAGGTATAAAATGCTCGAATCATCACGAAACAAAAATAATTAATGGATTGGACGATATTAACGAGGAATATAAAAGTTATGAATTCCCATCTCAGTATGACATTCACCCTTTTAATGCTTCTAATTATTACAAAATGCTAGTTCGAAGAATTAATAGAGGAGAATCAATACTTGTACAGAAAGATATTTGTTCAAAATATTTTGTCTATTTAGACGAAGTAAAGGAAAATATGTTAGATTCGTTTTTTCTAAACATGTTAAGAGAACTTGGAGAGAATTACCAAAGCATTGGAGGAGATAAATATAAATGTGACTTGCAATTTTACAGAAATAATAAGTATAACGAAAATTGCTTAAAAACGGTAACACCTTGGATGACTTTTTTCTATTTGTATGGAACCCATTTGATATCAGGTGTTTACTACGGTGGTAAGGTAGTGAATAATTTGTACATAGAAAATGATGACATAAAAAGTGGTGACATAAAAAGTGGTGACATAAAAAGTGGTGACATAAAAAGTGGTGGCATAAAAAGTGGTGACATAAAAAGTGGTGACATAAAAAGTGGTGGCATAAAAAGTGGTGACATAAAAAGTGGCAGACAAAAAATTAGATTGTATAAGAAAAGGATGGATCCATTTAATAGTACTAACAATAATACCAAGAATGGTGGTAGTTTATATTTCGGTTCGGTTATAACAAATGAAAAAATCATACACATAGCGGAAAGGAATCTTATGATAGACGGAGGAGGTGAAGAGGATGACAATTATGGAAAAAAAAACACGATAAAGAATTCTTATAAAAAATGGAAAAATTCCATTAGTGGTAAATTTGCAAAACCCGTAAAATTAATTTTGGTACCCTTTGCCGATTTTATAAAATCAAATGATGGGAAAAATGCATATTACAAGGCCTTGGAATTTTATTCAAATTTAACTTATTCTAATTATAACCCATACCCCTTTCAGTTAAACAAAACTGAAGAGGATATGTACAAGATGCATATAAAAAAATGGAATCAATACATTGATAAAAATGTAAATTTCAATATATTTCCAAAGTGTAAAAAGGGGGAAAAAATTCTGAGCGGTTTTATTATTACAAATAAAAAAAAACGTTACGACAATTATGATATGATGCATATGTGTCCACTATCAGAAGAATGCTCTAGCGGCATAAATATAGAATCAGACAAAAGTTTTGAATTCGGTTGGATTTTATGTAGTAGGGAAAATGTGAACGAAATACATCAAATAAAAAAGCTAGTTCATGGAAGTAAAGGAGTTATTACATGTCCTACAGAGATGAAAATAGGTTTTGGTTTTTCCTTAACAATGCAAAAAGGGATTCATGCTAATATGACTATCGAACCCTGTAAAAGTAACGTAGAATCATGTGCCCTTGATACCAAGACAAGTGAAAATTCTGAAAGTTTTCTTTGGATTAATTGTCTTCCTAATAAAAAAAAACTATTATTACAAAGTCTAGAATCGAAAACTTTTAGTGAAAAAATGTATCTAAATGATAATACTTTGGTTAGTTTAAAATGCTCAAAGGGCAATTTCATTATTGCAGGATTTGCTGTAGATTACACTTCATCCAATATGGAGGATTATTTAATATGCCCTTTGGGAAGTTCCACATGTGATTTGAAAATTCGTGTTAATGAGTTAAAAAATCAAGAAATGCATTTTCCCATCATTTACATCGTTTGTTCATCTCTCTAAAACATTGGTTCTTTGAAGAGTCCTTTGGATTCTCTTACTTTGAGCTCAGCGGGGCAGGTTCTCAGGGATGGAAGGATTCTCCCCAAACGTGGGTTGTTCCCCCACTGATAGTTTTTTTTTTTTTTTTTTTTTATTTTGTTTTACCTTATTTATTTTGCTTTATTTATTTATTTATTTTTTTTTTTTTTTTTTTACGCAAACGGGATGTTAATGATGTATATCTGATTACGTACTCTGGTAATTACTTCTGCACAGCACGTCCCCCTGGCTTGTTTTCACAATTTGGAAGTATCATCCCGAAAATGATGCACAACCTTATTATGATTATGTTGTAGTTCCACTGTCTTGTAACTTTAAACCAAAGTGTAGTTTTTTCCATTACATTCTTAAGGGCATGCACAAAATGGACAAGTTGTGTATGTCCTTGAGGCACTTTTTAAGCGACCTTTTATGCCACTTTTTAGACCCCCTTTTATGCCCCATTATATGCCCCCTTTTATGCCCCATTATATGCCCCCTTTTATGCCCCATTATATGCCCCCTTTTATGCCCCATTATATGCCCCATTATATGCCCCATTTTATGCCCCATTATATGCCCCATTTTAAGGAATATATTTTTTTATTTAACCCCATTTTTAACACTTCTGTGTTGCCATCATAAGACATACGCGGAACATACGAACGCGAAACATAGTAAACAATACTTAGTAGCTCTTTAGCTTGTCTGTATTAGAAAATTCTTAAAAACTAGTGAGTGAAAAATTTAGTCAAAAGAGATGAAACTTCCCCAAGGACATACAGAGGTGTACCATGTCGTGCGTTAGTTGAATCATTACCCTATATCAATGGGACATGCGAAATTGGGCTTTAACTGCTAGACTACCAAAATTAGGAATCATTTTGAGAATTCAATAGTGAAACGTCCAAATGGTGAAAAATACTTTTTTTTCTTAGGAAGAGTAAAAAAAAAAAAAAAAATAATAATGATAATAATAATAATAATAACAGCAGTAATAGCAATAATAATAATAATAATAATAATATTTTAGAAAAGAAACGTTATTGAACAGGCTAGGAAACATTCCACTGCGAAGAAATGGCCTATATATATATATATATATATATTTACTTTTTTTACGCATACTTTGAGACTATACTAGGATTGATGTTGGATTTTTCAAAAATTAGGGTCCTATATTGAGGCCTTTTTTTTTTTTTTTTTACATTGGCATGTAATACTTGATACATTCATTTAATTAGAAAATTTTTCACGTAACCCCATTTAATGGGTTTTTCACAAATATAAGCAGATACACGAACGTTTATATAATTTGACTCCCCCGTTTGTGGTATATTTAACTCCTTATAATTTTATGAAATTCCCGAATTCAAGCTTTTAAAAGGCGTCCTGAACGGAGAACTTTTTTTTTTTTTTTTACGTAACATTTTAGTACCAAGCACCTTTGGGGCTTATTTGATTATAACAAAAAACAGTAATTGATTATTTTTTTTTTTTTTTTTTATAAATGCAAATTTGTTTAACCCCATTGAGGGTTGAATGAAAGACTATATAAAATGTTTGGTATATTCCCTCGTCCATGTTAACACCATTTAGTGTGGAAGTTTGGATGATGAACGGGTAGCAATCTGGTGCTCACGCCCCGTAGTTTTAGATATACATGTGTATATATATATGCATACGCGTGAGTCTACATGCACACATAACCCTTTCCAAATGTCGAATCATGATTTTTCTCGAAAAACATGGATACGTGATTAAGATTCAGTGGGAGAGATAAAAATAGGTTGGAAGAATTGTTACAAGGGTCGCACTCAAATAATGGACATCACAAGAACGAGCAATGTTTTAGTAGTTTCTCGATTTTTATGGAAATTTATCAATACAAGAGACTGGGTTCAGGGTCGAAATGAGATTGCCAAATCGTGTAATCCATATGGCACTATCGCACACATATACGATTTAACCAACCGTGCATATAAGTTTAGAGAAAAAAAAAATAATTCGAATTGTGTCTGTTTATCCATAAGGGAAAGAAATGAAGACTTTGACAAAAGTTCACACAAGAATCATGATATTGTATTAGATCCCTATTTGGTAAGAAAAAATAAGAACAAATTTGTTCATTTTCAAAAAAAAGCGATAAAACAGAAGAAAGAGTTGATGTTAGAAAATGTTAACAAAAGAACCTTGTCCAAATTGAGTTTACAAATAGAAGAGCTTGATTATAGACAATTAGTGAAATATAAAAATGTAAAAAATGTGATTGTTCTGAAGGATAAAAAAGAAGTATTACAATACTTAAATAGCTATTTATTAAATAATAATAAAGCAAAATACTATATTTTAAAAGTGCTCATGTTTTCCATTACTGCCAGAATGAGTACCTATCAAGTGAAGGAATTGATATATATTTTATATGTCTATAAAAAGCATAATTTTTTAAATCCATATATAATATTTCACATTATGAACAAATTAAGTATGGAAGTTGTATCGAAAAGTATGACAGTAAATGAATTTGTTTTTATGGTGGACATTTTGACAGTACCTCTTATCATGTCAAATAAGTTTGAAAAAATGATTCAAGGGTTCATATGTATAAATGTAAACAAATTTAAATTTAGCAACTATTTTGTAATTGGATATTTTTTAGCGAGAAATAATTTATACAATGAGACAGTTCTAAATTATATTGCACATTTTTATAAAAATTGTGGAATTTATTTGGATAAGTGGGACGAGAAACGGGAAATAATAAAAGAAAACGAGAATACGCAACAGTGTGAAAACAAGTCACTTATTGTAGATGACAAAAAAGATAGAGTAACAGCTGATGATACTTCGCTCCAAAATATGAATTTAATCCATTTTACAAAAGATATTCATAAACATTTGTTCATTTTAGCAAAATATGGATACACAGATGTTTATATGTACAGTAATATTTTCAAAATTATAATTTCTCGATGTGGATATTTACGACCTTTGGAAATCAGCTCCATTTTGAAATCACTTCAAAATCTGAATTACTATAACAGTTGTTTATTTAAAATGTTAGTGAAAAATTTAAAAAAAAATTTAAGTCAATATAAAACGAATTTATTGCTAGATTGCTTAAACAGCTTGTCCTATTTTAACCATATTGATGATGAGCTAATAACAAAAATTTTAGTTAGACTACCGAGAACTATATCAACATATACTTCAAACGATTTTGTTAAATTGGTATTTTTCATGAATAATTTTATTCCGTTCTCTATTTATTTTTCCCTTTTTATAAATCAGCAAATTTTATACTTTTCCTCAAGTTTTAATATGCTTCATTTGATATCACTTTTGAAAATTTTCACAAACCAGAGATTTATAAGTAATCCAATTTTCTACTTATTAAACATCAAATTGGAGAAATTTATTTCTACACATTCATGGATGAAGAATCCCCTAAATGGTGTAAATAATGAAAAATACATGCAGAGAAAAACAGCCATCAACGCAAAGTATAACATAACTTTTAAAAATCTGTTTGAAATTATTCACATAATGAATTTCATGTCAGTGAAATATACCAATTTGATTCAAAATTGCTTAGAGAGCATGTTTATTATTCAAAATGAGTATGAACAATTACATTTTCAAGAAATAAAATATATGACATATTCGTGCTGTTATTTCATACTACTTAACGATTTTTATGACGTTGTCTCAAGCAACCCGTTGTATCAGCGTATACAGAATTTTTTTTACCTTCTTGACCCATCATTGGTGGACGTAAGTCAAGATGGAGGAATCGAATGTAGCGCTAAGGTGGAGAATTCTAAGAAGGTTGATAATGCTGGCAATACTGAGAAGGTTGAAAATGCTGGCAATACTGAGAAGGTTGAAAATGCTGACAATACTGAGAAGGTTGAAAATGCTGGCAATACCGAGAAGGTTGAAAATGCTGGCAATACCGAGAAGGTTGAAAATGCTGGCAATACCGAGAAGAATGAAAATGCTGACAATACTGAGATGGATGGCAATACTGAGATGGCTGACAATACTGAGATGGATGGCAATACTGAGATGGCTGACAATACTGAGACGGATGAAAATATAGTGGAATATGACCATCTTAAGGAGAATAGCAATTTTTCACCGCATATTCAAGGATGCATCCATGGGGAAATATTAAAAAACATCACGTATAATGAATTTTATGAGGAAAATAAAATTATGAACAAAATAAGAGATAAAAAAATGGAGATAAATATATACTCAATGATAATACGAACTTTCCTTGAAGAGCTAATATATAATCATTCAAAAAACAAAATGATAAATGTATACAATTTCCGTGGAGAATATATGAAATACATTTTTTCTAAAAAAATCGATAGTGCAAAAGAGTATAACAATAACGACTGTGTGCTTGCACTGAAAAAATTATTTCCCATAATGTTTTATCCACATATAGATAAATCACTTTTAAAAAATGTTCCAGTAAATAGATATTTTATTTCCACATATTTAGTTGGGTTTCCTCTTGAAGAGGAGTTCAATCAATTTATACAAAGTGAACATGTTAAACGAGAAATGTCTTATCACCAAAAATCGCTAAACGATATGTATGAAGTGTTGAAAAGTCTACCACAGTTATGTTACAAATTTAGAATAGTTAAGGAAGGTAAAACAAATTCAACTTTTCTTTACACTCATTATATATTTGCAAAAAATGTTGTAAGTAAAAAGAAAGTTGCTATCTTATTTGGAACGAAAAATTACTTCTACACTAAGATAAACAAATTGCAAATTGGTCTTAATTCAAGATCTACATCCAATTTGTTTGACAAAGAATACATGACCAAGGGCGCCATAGCACAGTTGCAGTATTTTAAAATGTTTTTTAACAGTGTATATTTAGTGCCTGTTCATGTATGGGAAAATATGGACCTAGAGAAGAAAAAGCTTTTTTTTGTTAATATGCTTAATTTGTCTAGTGAAAAAGTTCCTGATTTCGAATGGGGATACATCTCCCTCTAAATTGCTGCAAGCCCATATTTGCACACACTTGAAATTTGCAAAACTTTTTTTTTTTTTTTTTTTTTTTTTGCAACGTTTTCTTTTCATATATATTACTTAAACTTGCCAATCTGTAAAATGTTGCAGGGATATATATATATTTATGTATGCATAAATTTTGAAGCAGGATCTTTAGTTTCAATTTCCAAGCATTTATTCATTTCTACCTCTCCAATTAGAAAAAACTTGTCAATAGAGAGAACATGTATACACAGTTAACTATTATGGTTAAGAAGATATAATTTTCCCCTTATATGTGATTGTCTCATATCTACATGAAAAACTTTCAATTGAATTTTAAAGTAATTATGAGTATCTCTTTATTTTATGCAACCGTGACAGCCAGAACGATTTACACAGTTAAAATAAATAGCATGGATAGGAATTCACAACTACGTGAAGAGAAATATTTGTTCAATTATGATTTAGTATCTCTATTGGAAAATTATTTTTTCCAGAATGCGTATGCCTTATTTATAAGTTATTAAAAGAACAAATGATACAATACACGATTAGACAAAAAAAATAATATTCGGACGGAAGAAACATAAGAATATGTACCCTTTCCTAGTTTTAACATTTTCTGTGCACTTAATCGAGTTGACAATAATAACACACACACAGCTAGCCATATAAATGTGCTTACACATTTGTACTTTTTTTTTTTTTTTTTTTATTAACAAGTCATATTTTCATTTTTTATGAACAAGTCATATATTTTTTTTTTATCTAGCTGCATTTTTTACAACAGTTGGCATTAAGTGGACAAACTTGTTTCGTGTGTTACCATTTAACATAGCATTGTTTTAATTATTTTTCTTTTTTTCTGACCAATTAAAATGATATTTGTTATTTTATTTTATTCTTAGGGAATAAAAAAAATAGAGAAAAAAAACGGATTATTTTTTGTTTCCTTGTCATTTTTTTTTATAGTATATTTTTCTGTCTCAAACCAGTACCAGGTTTTTTATATATGGGGAGAACTGCGCTAATTTTTGTGTACATGCTAATTTCGTTTTCTACTCTACGTTTCTTGTTTTTTATTATTGCCTTTTTTTTTTTTTTTTATTTATATTATATTGTATATTTGTTTGTTTTTGTTTTTTTTTTTCAATTTTTGCTATGTCTTACTGCTAAGGGGCGACTTGATTTGTTCCATTCCCATTTAAAATTGTTCTTCTGAACAATTTAGCTTTAATTTGCTTTAGAGACATTTTAGGTATGTTATAAAAATCCATTGTAATCCTATATATTTATCTGTTTATTTATCTGTTTATTTGTCTGTTTATTTGTCTGTTTATTTATCTGTTTATTTATCTGTTTATTTATCTGTTTATTTATCTGTTTATTTATCTGTTTATTTATCTGTTTATTTATCTGTTTATTTATCTGTTTATTTATCTGTTTATTTATCTGTTTATTTATCTACTTATTTATCCTTTTTTTTTTTTTTTTTTTTTGTGATTGTTTATCCCATTTGTCCACAATTTTGCCTTGCTTTTTCATGTACATAGCTTGTCTTGTCTTGTTTCGCCCCCCCCCAAGTGACTCATTTGCCAAAACATTTCACACAATTTTCGATGTTGTGAATAAAAAGCTTATTACAAAATGATTAACCATTTAATGACAAAACGATTAAAAATATGGGTATACATTTTTCTCGCCTACACCACGCCTCTATTTGCTATGAGCACTGACTTAAAGAATGATAACCCTGGTAATGAAACATTTAGTGCATACATAGGAAAGGGCTACAACATCCTATTTGGTTATCCATTACCAAATAATGAACTCATTGAAGATCCTGGATTTAGAAAAGAAATATTTGATACAAGAAATTCTCTAGACATAATTAATAATGTTGCATGTCAAAAAGACGAATATTTTAGTTTTGTAGAAGATATTAATGATGTTACGGAGTTAGCAATGGATAATATAAATGTTGAAGAATTGAATACAAATATAATTCCATTTTCAGCATCCATGCCTTATAAAAGCTATTTTACCGATTTAGAAATAAAAAGGAAAAAATATATAGTTGCACAGAACACCTGTGTGCACACTTACGTAACGCATAATTTAAGAGATTCTGCTAAAAATATTAATAAAGATTTTTTACTAGTGACAGACAAGTTACCCATATTATCAAAAGAAAAAATCGAAAAGGAATGCCAAAAGATGCTGTATCTTTACAATTCTAACAATGAACGTTGTTCAAAAAGTATTAGACCATGGGTTGATTTTTTTCAAAAATATGGGACACACTTGGTTGTGTCTGCACATTTTGGGGGAAAGACCTTCAATTCGTTAGAGATTTCTTTGGATAAATTAGAAGAAATAAAAATATATAGCTACAAATATGCCATCCGAAATGTTCCGTATTTGAATGTATTCAAAGCGCCATTGCTACTGCAGGAGGTTGTTAAAAGGAAGGGACGTGGTGGTGGTACAGGTTTGAGTAGCGGTTCAAGTAGCGGTTTGAGTGGCGCTACAAACAGACAAGATGGAGAAACCCGGAGAACGCGAAGGAACGTCATAGAAGGGAAGAATTCCAGCTTAGATATTAAGGGGGGAAACCAAATGGATGAAGAATGGAAGGAATTAACTTACGAAGTTTGGAAGAATTCCATTTATACTAATATGCGTCCAGTTCATCTTGACTTAATTTCATTAAGCTCGTTCATGCGTATTGAAAAAAAACAGTCGTATGACATAGGATTGGCATATTATAATAACCTATATAGCATGGATAAAGAAAATTATTATCTTTCGAGAGACATTACAGATGTATTGTCTGATGGAAAACAAATTACGGGATCAGGAAAAGGTTCCTTGATTTTAAGTTGTCCTGTTGGTTATGTTAAAAGTACTGGATTTATCTTCACCTTTGACACATCTGAAAAGATAAAAGGTTCTAATGGGAAGGAAGGAAGGATGAATATATACCCATGTCATAATAAGGGGGAATATGACATTTCCTGTTTATACATAAATAAAAATGTTCATGTTATTTCATTCGGATGGATGTATTGTGTAAAGCACAGTTTTGTAAAATTTGAAACGATTCACGCGAAAAGGAGTTATACATCACATGGAAAGAATGCACATGGAAAGAATGCACATGGAAAGAATGCACATGGAAAGAATGCACATGGAAAGAATGCACATGGAAAGAATGCACATGGAAAGAATGCACATGGAAAGAATGCACATGGAAAGAATGCACATGGAAAAAAAGCGCATGGAAAAAAAGCGCAAGGAAAAAAAGCACAAGGAAAAAAAGCACTAGAAAAAGAAACACTAGAAAAAGAAGCACTAAAAAAAAAAGCACTAGAAAAAGAAGCAATAGAAAAAGAAGCACTAAAAAAAAAAGCACTAGAAAAAGAAGCAATAGAAAAAGAAGCACTAGAAATAAAATGTTCAGATGGATATACCTTAGCTTTTGGGTTTAAAATCAAATTAGAAAAAGAGAAAAATTTGGAAAATGTAAAAATTAAGCCTTGCGCCCTTGGTGATAGTAAGTGTATTATTAGTCACACCAAGAACAATTCGGAATATTTATTATGGGGATTCTGTGTTCCATTATCATTTCATAGCATTAGATCATTGCAAGTGACATACATTGAAGAATCTCATGTAACTAGTGATGTGCAGGGTTCCTGTTCAGACCAATACAAAAATAAATATGATAACATATTTCTTGGCTTTTCCTTTTCCTTTGACAAGGAACTAGAAAACTTTGAAATGTTTCCGTGCACAATGAAGTCCAAGCATTGTGTCAGCAAAATCGGGAAAAAAAAAATAAAGAACTACATTGGTATGTTACTTCTATGCAGAAACGATGGTGGTGTAAAGAGGAATTTTACCCACTACTAGGTTGTCTTATGTTTATCACTACATGCTTTTGGAATGTATATATGTTAATTAAGTGCCTTATATTGTTACATTAAAAAAAAAAAAAAAAAAAATTCGATATGCATATGAGAGAACGTTATATCCAAATTAGAGAAGAAACTGCGTATTATAATATATTTATCCCTTTGAAGATTGTCATAAATTATAATACCCAGTGTGGAAGTACACACATTACTTTTTTTTTTTTTTTTTTTTTTTTTTTCCTATTTTACCTTGAGAAAATGGCTTCCTATATATAACCCCATTTTGAATGGATTCTCCATTGCTCATGCGAAAATTTAACAAATTGATTCCATGCAGTTGTAGTAATAAAATTTAGATGCTGTTTTTTTTGTGAATATGATTTTTCATTTTTCTTCTTAGAGTTATTTTTCACTGCACTGTTGTGATAAGTGTAGTACTTTTTTTTTTTTTTTTTTTTATGTGTTTTGCATTAGCTTCTTTTATCTTTGCTGTGATTTAGCTCCTTTTTATCCTTTAATTAAAAATGCTTCCACTGACTTATGTGCATCATATTTTCCATTTATTTCATGATACATGTCCCGTGTGTGTGCTGGGTTTTTCACTCCTATTTTCTCCTTCAATTTGAGTTTCTACATTTTCTTCCGCTTGGATTCCGCTTGGATTCCGCTTGGATTCCGCTTGGATTCCGCTTGGATTCCGCTTGGATTTCACTTCGGATTCCACTTCTTCTTCGAATTCCATTTTCGGTTCTTCCTTTTGCTTCCATTATTCTTCCTCACCTTTAGTCCAAATACGTTACAAAACATTGCTCAAATTGCCTTTTAAATTTTGATAAAATTACCATTGTTGCACTAGGGGGTGATTCACTAGTATATGAGAATAAATGGTGTACATGAGTCTATACGGTATACACATGGCTTCATTTATTCGTTACCCTTTCCTTTTTATCCTCGTTAGGAAAAAGTTGGGAAAAAATATATTGTCGTTTTTTCTGTTCTGGTGTGCAAGGAAAATATATGGGAACCTGGGAAAACTTCTCAGATCGGTAGATATGTTATGCACATGTTCAGAAATTTTGTTTGGTGATTGTGATATAAAATAGGGGGAAAAAAAAATTTATAAAAAAAAAATTGAAAAGAATTTAAAAAAAAAAATTATTTTAAAGATTTATATAAAAGTGGTATATTTATTCCTACAAACCGTTTTACACTTTTTATAAGGGATCCCAGAAAGCTACAATTTTTTTTTTTTTTTTTTTTTTTTTTTTCATCCCCTCTATATTTTATTTATTTTATAAAAATAATAAAGAAAAAAAAAAAAAAAAAAAACTTATTTATTCATGATGAGTATAAATATATTTGCACAATTTTGTACATTTTCTTTTAAACGAAAATATATGTTTCCATGTATAAGGGCTTACCTATATGATCACTTAAGTAGCATATCTACATGAGCAAATTCCTCACCCTACAGAACATTACATATTTTTTGTTTCAAAGGGAATATAGCGTTCTAAACGATATCTACATGTGTATATCTACATGTGTATATCTACATGTGTATATCTACATGTGTATATCTACATGTGTATATCTACATGTGTATATCTACATGTGTATATCTACTTGTGTATATCTACATGTGTATATCTACATGTGTATATCTACATGTGTATATCTACATGTGTATATCTACATGTGTATATCTACTTGTGTATATCTACTTGTGTATATCTACTTGTGTATATCTACTTGTGTATATCTACTTACATATATATCCACATGCATCGACGCATGTTTAGTTAATATGTATGTGCTTTTTAAAGACCAGCCCAAGAAGGGGGATGAAGCAAGTGTTAAGCATCAAGCAACTCGTCACAAAGAAAATAATTCCTCGTCTGAAAATGTAATTTGTGTTTGCACATATGAATTAACATATATAGAAAACTTACATATGGTAGAAGCCGGGTGTCCATATTCTCGCAACGCTATTTTTCTTCTTTTTTTCACGTCAAATTTTCAACTTTTCCATGTCTGGAAAATGGCACCCTTTTTCACAACAGGAAAATACATTATCCTCCAAATATTTCAGAAAAGAAAATAGAAGATTTAAACATAACCTAGTAATACCAATAAATAGAAAGACATCAGTGTCTGATCTGAATGGGTCTATATATGAGAAGAATGATACATATGCATACATGCATATACAGATTATTGCACACATATGTAACTATAATGATATTCACACACATGTATGTGAATATATATCTAAGGAGAATCCATTTCCCCTAGGCTATTTTTTTTTTTTTTTTTGTTTTTGCAAGAACCACATATGTAACACTTGCTTTACATTCCTCATAGAACATTCTTGATAAACATACGCCTCTGTCGAATGTTTTAGGAAATGCACCTGAACAAGTTAGAAGGGAATAGGAAAAAAAAAAAAAAAAAAAAAAAAAACATAAAATAAAATAAAATAAGATAAAATAAAACATAAAATAACGAAATAATAAAGCAAAAAAACAACAAAATAAAGCAAAACAAAACAACAAATCTCAGAGTGCTCAAAATTGTCTTCACAAAAATGAGACAATTAGAAAAAAATACAAAAATTACTTTTTTCATTTTTAGAAGCTTGAGCTACCCACAGAAAAACAAAGCGAATTAGGTATCTTAAAAAGCAAGGTAAATATATTTTCAACGAAGCATATATATTTAACAAACGACATTTCAAATAATCATAAACGTATTTTTTTTCTTTTTTTTTTTTAGAAGAATATTGAACCAACGGGTATTGTAATAGCATGCTGTCTTGGAACCGATTTTGTAAGATAAATATATAAAAGCCACTTTTTGTGGCAATTGTGAGATCAAAAAAAAAATTGTTCAGAAAGGACACACAGAGAAATTATTCATCCATCTCATGTCTTTTTAGAAAAATTTGCAATATAGTTTCACAGTTATTTCATTTTTATTTCCACTTCTGCCTTCATCGTTACTGCTACCTTTTTTTTTTTTTTTTTTTTTTTTTGCAATTTCTCCACTTTAGCACTTTTCAGCTTTCATAAAAGATTTCAAAACGCACAATATAAATAATGACTTTATCAAGTAAGAAGAAATGAAATAATCGTGCATATACTCTTTGTGTGAATCTCGAGAGTATACTTAAATCACCCCATCTTCACTAAGCTCTATGCGTCATGATCAAGTTTAAATCTGTGTTTTTTATAACTATATTTCCATTCATTACTCTCACGAGGAAATTTTGTATTTGTCCCTTCCATGTAGAATAAAGAAAGTATACAGTGAAGTAATATTTTGTTCTGCCTTTTCCCAAAAAAAAATTTTTTTTCTGTTTCGTTTTGGTTGTATTGTGTTGTGGGACTTTAGCATAAAGGAGAAGGAGGTAACGCAAAAAAGGAGAGGATAAATGGAAAAAAGATGAAAAATGAAAAAAAAAGTAAAAAATTTTCATAGTATAAAAGACGAGGTGAAGAAGTAATAAAACCATTCCATGCATAACGCATGTATGAGATATGTCTCTTTAAAATCAGCACACATTCGCTTCATACTTTTATCCCTTTCATACTTCTACCCCGGTTCACCCATCGGCACACTCACACATAAACTTATTACTCAGATTTTATTTATGAACCTGAAAGACTACCTAAATGAAGCATACACAGAAAACAACAATGAATTGGATAGCATGTTTTATATTATGAACAAATCAAATGAATTAAGTGATAACAAAATCACAAAAAATATGGAAAGTTGTTCATTTAAAATAAAAAATGACATCATATATATTTACACAAAGGATATATTTGAAAAATTAAGTTATTCCTACGCATTTTCTCAGGTAACGTGACAAATGCAATTCATCCCTTCAAATTGTATCCATATGGAAAATGAGTCTTCATTCGTTTACCCTTCATTCGTTCACTTCCCATTTCGCATTTCCCACTTCGCACTTCCCATTTCGCATTTCCCACTTCGCACTTCCCATTTCGCACTTCCCATTTCGCATTTCCCACTTCGCACTGGATTACTCAACTAATTTCTCATTCCTCGAAACAGAGCGTAAAGCTATCTTACTTCGAAAAGGTGGTAGATGACACCATTGATAAGACAAAAAAAATTCCAGGTAATTTCACTTTCTGTCACCCGTAACTTTAAGCCCTTGTGTGTTTACATAACATATCACATTTGCATGCATTTGTGTTTTTGTGTGTGCGTTCACACGAACACACACATGTATATATATATGTGTATATTTGTATGTATATATGTATATGTGCATATTTTGTATGTATATATGTATATGTGCATATTTGTATGTATATATGTATATGTGCATGGTTGTATGTATATATGTATATGTGCATGGTTGTATGTATATATGTATATGTGCATGGTTGTATGTATATATGTATATGTGCATGGTTGTATGTATATATATACATGCACACGTTTTCACATCTGCTGTGTCCGTTGTCCATGCACCCTCCAACAACCAAAAAAATATTCCTATTTTGAAAGAATGCTTAGCAAGAACTGGAAAGATACAGCTAAAGAAAAATGATATAAGCAAGAAAATTGGGGAACTATTTGTAAACAGATTTTATATTAACATGAACACAGATATGTTAGACACTCCAGGTAAGGAAAATACTTTCTTTTTTTTTTTTTTTTTTTTTTTTTTTTTTTTTTGATAGTACCAATGGGAAAAGGGGTGCATAAAAATTGGGAAAAAAAAAAAAAAAATCGATTACATGAAGGAGATTTAATGACGAATGGAAGAACGGAAATGAAGTAGTACATATATGTATGCACATGCGAAGTTTTCTTTTCTATACATTTTTTCAGAAATATTTTGGGATCATGATGACTTCACCGATACGTATGAACACTTTAGAAAATATTTAGACATCTCAAAGAGGGTTGAAATATTAAATCATAGGTAAAAAGAAGAAAAAAAAAAAGAAAAAGGAAAACTATATAACACAACATGTTCTTATCAGCGAAAAAAATTCCTATGTACACAAGCACCATGTACACTTGTACATGCACATGTGCAGGTGAACATGAATGTGCTTAACACTCTTTGTCAATAGCGCTCGATCGAATAGAACTCTACACCACCACTATTTTTTCCCATTAAGCATACTAGCATATGTGTTAAATAAAATTATTAAAAATAATTTATTTTTGGATAAAGATATATTCTTTGTCCCTCGTTCTATCGTCTCGAGTAGAACACGCATTCCCATATTTTACCAATTAAGGCGCGAATCATTTGTGTGCATAATACTTGGCATGCGTAGTTTGACATATGTGGTGGCCAACAAGCGTGCATGGTGACATAAATGTGCATGATCCCCTTCTCCACTTAGGCTAGACATAATTAAGGATCTCTATGACATGCTGCAAAATGAGTTAACGATTCAGGTTCGTCCTCATATAGAAATATAAAAATGTGTTTACATGCGTACAGAAAAATATATGTAAATGTACATGTATACCTGTACATATGTACATCTCTGTGTGTATAGATAGGTGGTTGCATGGATTAGATAGACATGACTTTGCGGTGCATTCTCATTTTTTGTAAATCCCATTTTAATCACTCAGAACATTGCACACACTGTAATCGCCCTATCACATGTGTCTTATTTCCACCCCCACTTACAGCACGGGTATAAACTCGAGTGGATTGTGATTTACCTCATATGCATAGAAGTTATTATAGACATTGTATGGACGATCATTATTAAGGGTGTTTTCAAATGGGGATGACTTTTTTCATTAAAAATTATATCCTATGCAAAATTTTGTTTTCTCCTGTATTCTTCGTTGTGCATTTTTTTTTTTTTTTTTTTTTTTCTGATATATTTCCTCATGATGGTATTAGGTTATGTGGGATGTGTCAAAAAAAAAAAAAAAGAAAAAAAAAGATAAGAAAGTCTTATATGTTCATGTTCTTTTACCGCTCATTTGTTCTGTTTAACATTTCCCAATTTTGTGAAATTTTACTTTCATTTTTTAACACGTTTAAAACGAATATTTTAAAAAATGTTTCATTTCAAAGAATAGCTAAAACGAATGAAAAAAAAAAAAAAAAAAAAAAAAAAAAAAAGCTGGTCGAAATTGATACTGCAAGGTGGTGAAGCATGGCTAAAAGCTTGACCTACAAAGCATGGACATAAAGGAATAACAAATTGGTAACACAACGAAGAAAAAAAATGATAACATAAGAGAGTTACAAAAAAAAAAAATGACATAAAATAGTTGGCACGCAACACAACAGAATGGAAAAAGTATATGCATCTCCCCTTTATAAAAAAAAAAAAAAAAAAAAAAAAAAAAAAAAAAAAAAAAAAAAAAAAATGGAAGTTTAAAGGGTAAAAACTAGGTCTTATTGGAGACCACGTGTACTTTTGAATGTTGTTGTTGAAATCGGTCTCATTATTGGGGTTTCCTCATTGTAAACATTTCAAAATTTTATATAACTATGATTAGAAATCGGTATTCTTATTTTCTCATACTCATACTCATTTCAAATGTTTGATAGATGATGCAACGTATCTATTTATGCGTATTCTTGTGCAGAAGTGTAAATCATATGTTGTAAAAAAAAAAAAAAAAAAAATGGATCTTTTTTTTTTTTTTTTTTTTTTTTTGTGTGTGTGTGTGTGTATGTGTGCCTGAGTTGTCCCATTCGCACACTTGATATATAAAAAGGTAACAGAAATTTTGATTATTTTTAATTTTCCTTACTATTCAAATTTTTATTCCTATGCTTTGGCTTCTTCATTATTTTCAACATTATTACTCTTGTTAGATTTTTCACTCTTTGTGCTATTTTCTCTTTTCTCCTTGTTTTTCTTATCTCCATTCCATTTTTTCCCTTTGTTCTCTTTATTTTTCACAATATCATCAATATCATCATTGTCAACATTATCAACATCATCATCAACATCATTGTCACCATCGTCATCCTCGCTATTATTTTCCTTCTTCTTTTTATAAACGTAACACATAGGCACAAAGTAATCAATTCGACAATTATCGACAAGTTCAGATTCTTTCAATGTAAGAAAGTTGTTTAGTGGTGCCCCTTTGTACAGGAGGACTATGTTTTCAACGGGTATGCTGCAAAATGGGAAAAGGAAGAATAAGCCACGATAAATGTATGGATCTTTTTTTTTTTTTTTTTTTTTGACATGCGTTTATATACACACCTTTATAAACTTTCTGATTCTCTGATTTGTAAACAGGAAAATAATTTGTACACACGTCAATGTATCACATATTGGACAAATGCATGCAAGTAGTATGCTCCTGTCAGGAGGATATCACCACTCACTCTCCATTTTTTGTCTCTCCTTTTTTGTCACTCCTTTTTTGTCTCTCCTTTTTTGTCTCTCCTTTTTTGTTACTCCTTTTTTGTCTCTCCTTTTTTGTCACTCCCTTTTTGTCTCTCCTTTTTTGTTACTCCTTTTTTGTCTCTCCTTTTTTGTCTCTCCTTTTTTGCTGCTGCTTCCCATTTTTGAATTTCACTTACGAAGACGATTCATCAGTAAGGTTGTATATCCTTTGCTTCAACATACGAACTTCAGAAGTGTCAATTATTTTGATTTTAATGGTTTGTCTAAAACAGAAAGACCATAAAGGTATACATCTACTCGTTCCTGATCCACATGATTGTAAAGTTCTGACATTAATTGTAATTAAGTTGGCTAAATATAACTCCAGTTTAATTGTTTTTCTATTGGATTTATTATATGTTGATAATTTTTCATCGATTTTACATTCCACTCTTGCAAAATATAATACTAACGAGTTATTATCATATGTGTAGTTTTTTTTTACCTTAATTTTGTTAATTATTTCACTTATTTTCATATCATTACATATATCACTTATCTGATATGTTGAAGATTCCTTATTTACAAAATCGTTTATTGTTATCAAGATATCGGGTGCACCTACTGTCACATACATTATTGCTGATGTGGGCCTATACAAAAATGTTCCTCTTTGTGTGGCTCTGCCTGTGCCTGTGCCTGTGTCTGTGCCTGTGCCTGTGCCTGTGTCTGTATCTGTACCTATATCTGTACCTGTATCTGTGCGTGTGGAAGTTTTCTCCGAATGGTGTGATAAAATGAACCGTTTATATATGTACTAATTGAGAAGACACTTATACACATGTACACATTTGTTATGGAAATCTTCATTATATATTTTAAAACACACGCAAAAGGAAAAAAAAAAAAAAAAAAAAAAAAGAATGAATCAAATTTTTTGCATTGTTATGAAATAAATCTATATCTCATGGGTGCCAAACGAACTGGAAGTGGGATAAAAAATTGGATAGAAGAACAAGTTTGGAAAAGTATATTACAAAATTGGCAACAAAATTGACAAACAAATTGGCAGCAAATTTGGCAAACAAATTGGCAACAAAATTGACAAACAAATTGGCGACAAAATTGACAAACAAATTGGCAACAAAATTGACAAACAAATTGGCAACAAAATTGACAAACAAATTGGCAACAAAATTGACAAACAAATTGGCGACAAAATTGACAAACAAATTGGCAACAAAATTGACAAACAAATTGGCAACAAAATTGACAAACAAATTGGCAACAAAATTGACAAACAAATTGGCAACAAAATTGACAAACAAATTGGCAACAAAATTGACAAACAAATTGGCAACAAAATTGACAAACAAATTGGCAACAAAGTTGACAAACAAATTGACAACAAAAATGACAAAAAAAAAAAAAAAACTATACAACACACTACATGATAAACTAGATGGACGTGCGGTGACAACGAAACACGTGTACTCCTTTGTATCAGCAACTTATTATAGCACACAGATTTTCAATTAAGAATGTGTGAAAAGTATGACAATTAATCCGGGTAGATGTTGCGTGCTTTTAAAGACTTGAATCACCAAAATGCCCGCTCCGAATATTGATACAATCCTTTTCTGTCTGCTTCTGTGAATATTTATACAATCGTTTCTGTGTAGTGATGAGAATACTGATACAATCCTTTCTGTCTACACACACACACATATAGTGAAGGATACAATTCACACTAAGGGTACTGAAAAGTCTTATCCATAAAAAAGGGTGGTATTATGTGTGCACACACAGGTATCTCTCTTTTATGGCATTCAAAATTGAAAGCCCCTCTGGATAAGCGAATTTTCTTCTGTAAGAAATGAAAAGGCTAAAAAGGTCTGCTAGATCTGCCGGGGAGAAACGTTTGGGAAAAAAAATAAAAATTAAAATTAACGTAAAAATTAACGTAAAAATTAACGTAAAAATTAACGTAAAAATTAACGTAAAAATTAAAGTAAAAATTAAAGTAAAAATAAAAATCATTAACTGGTTTTTAGTAAAGCAAGAAAACATTCGTTATGCATTTTTCTTCTTTTTATTTTCATCATTATATCATTTCATTGACGTAGTACTTTCAGAAACAGTATAGGCACACGGGTGTGCGGCACAACACAAGGTGGGATATTGTATGGCATGGAATTCGTGGTATTGTAATGATGGTATGATGCAATTTACAATCACACCAAATTGTGCAAAAATAAGTATGCTTTTTTTTCTTTCTCTTTTTTTTCTTTCTCTTTTTTTTCTTTCCTTTTTTTCCTTTTTTTTTTTTTTTTTTTTTTTTTACATGCACAAAATGAGGATGCGAAGGTAGATATGTTCGTTATAATCATCCCTTTTTAAAATACATAAGAAACAATTCATCAATTTTATTTTCTTCTTATCCTTGTGCTTGATAACTTGTATTCACGAGTGCAAAAAAAATTGGGCAGCACTACACATGAATTACGTGTTGTGTGTGCATGTGTATGTTCTGTGCATGTGTATGTTCTGTGCATGTGTATGTTCTGTGCATGTGTATATTCTTTGCATGTGTATATCTGTGCATGTGAATGTGTATATACTTTATATGTGCACGTACATTATGTATGTTTTCCTTTTTGTTTTTTTACTTTGCTCGTTCTCAAATTTTAGCAGCAAATGGTATATAAAATGCTTGTTTCTTGGATGAGCGTTACTTATGGTTTCACTTTTGCAAATAAGAATATTTTTTTTCGAAGTATTTCCTTTGTCTCACTCCACATGTCCATAATGACTTCTTACTCATCACTTATTCTGAGTTTCCCAAGGGAACCATTTCGAATGAAGACAAAAATTACTTATACTATTTAAGCAGCGAAAACAACAATGACACGGACGAACTTATCGAAATAGAAAATAACAGAACGAAAAAATGAAGCAAAGAAAAAAATGCAAATGCGGTGGTAGGTGGTGGTGTGTATGGGAGGATGTTTTTTTATGTTACACCATGTGCATACGCAAAATGAACATCATGTGAACGTGAAAGTGAAAGCAAAATTGGAAGAAAGGAAAAAAAAAAAAAAAAAAAAAAAAAAAAAAGTGAAAATTTACACACGCATAATTAAACTTATTCCCCTTCTTCTTCTCCGTTCATTTGGATGTCATATGCACAATTCACTCCAATTTGTTCAAAGTTAGTTTATAGAAATAAAAATTTTTAAGAGGAAAAAAAAACAACACAAAATGGGACTTTGAGAGACCCCACTACATGTTTTTGTGTTGTACCTGCGTGTGCGTTTCCATGCATGATTTTCCCCCTTCCATTTTCTTCTCGTTTTGTCTACGATATAAATTCTTTACAACTGGAAGTGTAGAAACGAAGTAATACACACACACACACACATGAACAAAAAAAAAAAAAAAGGACAACAATATGAATTACTAAAGAGGAATTTAACAAAAGCAGAAAAAATATCACTTGGGATTATTTAACAAACAAAACATTTATTCAAACCATATGCACACACCATTTTTGAAACACAAGGAAGCTAGAACATTCTGGAGGATATATGTAAAAGAATATGTCATCTGAGACACAAGTTTTTTTTTTTTTTTGCTTTTTTGATTTTTTTTGGCATAATTTTACAAATTATATATTATGAAAATTTAGGGTCAAATAATACATGTAAATAGAACTTATTTTTTTTCACATATCTATATGTAAAAATTGGTATGTATAAACAAAAATATATATTTTTCTACTCCACTGGTTGTTATAATTCTTTAAATAATTTCCAAAAAAAAATGTTATCACTACTGTGTTAAGGTGAACAGTTGCAAGGGTAGAATGGATAGATAGGGGGCAAAAAAAAAAAAAAAAAAAAAGGAACAGGAAAAAAAAAAAAAAGGACAGGTAAAAAAAAAGGAAGGACAGGTAAAAAAAAAAAAAAGGACAGGTAAAAAAAAGGAAGGAGAAGTAAAAAAACGGAGATGAGCAAAAAAAAAAAGAGACGAAAAAATATGCATATTTTTACAATTCTATTGTGTCACATCTGTCACCTGGATAAACATGCGTAAGCGCAAAGTGGTGAATCTCCTTAAAATATATATATAGCCCTTGCTTGGGTAACGAAGAAGCAGTTATATATATACAAACAAAACAATGTTCATATACATACGCAGGTATTATATTATAAAATGTGTGTTCAATGCATGGGGTTATTATACCTCTCTCTCTCACCTCCCCCTCCCTTCCCATGAAATCAAACGTTAGAAGCAACAAAATTCAGTACCCATGTCTCTGCATCGAACTGGCATAGTAAGCCATCGCTTGGTTCACGAATGATACGTTGTAGCCAAAAAATTCATAAACCTCTGAATTTGACAAAACCCATGGTTGTATTCCATTTTTTTTAAAAGGGTGAATAATGGTATATAAAAAAAAAAAAGAACTTAAATAATCCATTAAAAAATTTATAAATTTTTTTTTCTGAAAAGATTTTTTATTTTTATAGCACCGAAAGACATATGCTAAATAATCAATTAATCCAACTCTTAGTGATATAACAACATCGACAGGTGTGTAATTAAAAAGATTCTTAATGTCATCTTGGAAAATGTCATTATAAATCGGTTTGACATAAAGAGGGATACTATTTCGTGTTAACTGTTTTATTGTTTCTATTGATTTTTGATCTTTTACAACTGATTTTTCAAGAAATTCGTGCATAAGTTCAATTACGTTTGTATCTCTTGTGAGTTCTTCTTTGTTGCACAGAATGTTGCCTCTTTTCTCATCTTCATTTTTATGGTTAATATTGGTAGCAACTTTTTCTTTTTTTCGTTTAGACATATCAGCCCATTTATTGTATTTCTTTCCCTTTATTGGATAGTGTTGTATTCCCAAAAGGGCTTTGAAAAAATTTACAATTTTTCTTATTCGAGATAAATTGTGTATCACCTTTTCGTGCATTAAGCAATAGATATGTTTTAAATGAGTCACACATATTTCTTTCATTTCTTTAATAAAAAAAATCAAAATATGATATGTTCGTTTATCATATTTTGATTTTTCTTCATAAAATATCTTTTTATCAAAATCGAAAATATTTTTTATTAAATTTTCTACATTTTTATTGTACACATGATTGCAAAGTGCCTCTCTTACAATTTCTCCTTCTGATGTTACATGTCTCTTTTCTGCCAATTTAATTAGCTGGTTATGTGCACTCCTTCTGTTCATGAACTCTAAATGGAGACGCGCTTTTTCAACCCTGCAGTCCGATTGGCAGAATTTTCGATCTTGTCCTTCATGCCCCCTTAGTTTACAATTTTTGGAGAGTTTAAATTTTGCGATGGAGAATTTGTGCCTCCCATCCTTTTCACCGTACTCATTCGTCATTTCAGAGACACCTTCGGTGCTGCTATTAGCACTATTTCCATCACTTCCATCACTTCCATCACTTCCATCACTTCTATTACCACATTGGCCTGCACATCTTACGCCTCTTCCCCCGTGTGCATTGGGTAACAGACCCGTGGTGGTGTTCATAAAAAAGCGATGCTCTTGCAGTTCACGAGCAAGGTAATCATAAAAGGAAGAATCAAATAATCTATTCGAGATGTATATGCTGACGTGAAAGACTTTGTGTTCATATAGACATATAAGAATATTCACGAGGTAAGATGAAAATTTTCTCTTACTTAATATAAGAATATCACTTGATTTTAACACAATATATACATGCTTTGGTGTTTTTGTAATGTTTTTGTTTTTTACCGTGTTAATGGATCTTGGGTGCTTAAAAAAGTTAAGACACTTTGGAAAGATTTTATTACACAGACATTGTTTCTTCAGATTCAACCATGTAAAACTGTTGCAAATGTTCAGAAGCTTTTGTACATTTGTTTTTATATGTAATTCATTATAAGTGCGAAGTAAAAACGTGAGCGCTTCTTTTCCTTTTTTTATTAAGCCATAAATGGATAGTATAGCCCATATCATTATATATATTACAACTAGGACAGTATATTCAATTACGTTCTTTACATTTTGTTTCGTGCATCTATGTTTAACCATTGTGGCCCTTTGGCTCCACGTGATTTGTGAATATCTACCTTAATAATATGAATTAACTTTTACTTCATTTATTTTATCACTTAGAGGAGTTTGTGGGAGTGGCGTCCCTACTCAATTTAACTTTTTTTTTTTTCTCACTAGAGTGCTTTTTAATTTACGACCTGTTACTGTATCATCTTGCAATGTTCTGTGTTTGCACTTTCAGTAAGGATGCATTGGCATGAATAAACGTAGGTAAACGTGGATGTGAATATACAATAGACAAATCAGTGTCAAAAGTACATTTGTGTATCTCTTCTGGTGTAACTGCTTCTCAACCATTGAATTTAAAACTTTCCTTTGATGTCTTTATCTTGTCAGTATCTAATTATAAAAGGAACCCCGCACCCCACCCCCTTGCTCATTCCACCCATACACATGTGTGTTTGTTTTATGTACATATGTACAAGCATACATACATGCATACATATATTTCATTTGAAAAAAAAAAAAGGGTTATTCATATTATAACTGCCATTTGTTTTATTATATACCCAGCTTAAACGACCATACATAATAAATGTAGAAACAGATGCTCATGTGCACATTTCCCTTGCAAGGTAAAAAAATAAAATAAAAAAAAAAAAAAGTTCTTATTACAAATTTGATTTGGACCAATTTAGCCGAGCTGCTTGTTACTCCAAAAAAAAATGGGAACCTTATTTTTATTTATTTTTTTTTTTTTTTTAAAATATATATCTGAAAAAACAAATTGTTGCTTTTCTTATGTTACCTTTTTTGTGACATATGAAAACAGAAGAATGTGAGTAGACCAGTCGGACGAGAGAAAAAAAAAAAAAATAATAAAATAAAATAATAAAATAAAATAATAAAATAAAATAAAATAATAAAATAATCTACACACAAATTTAAGTTTTCCTTTATCGCCCATTTCTTCTCAAAGTATCACCTTGTACGTTCATGTTTTAACACGTGCGTCGCTTTTTCTAAAACATGATTTGGGGTCTTGTTCCCTCTTATGCGGGCTTGCTTTATCATAGGCATCTAGTTTCCTTTCACCATTTTCTTCTTCTTCTTCTTTATTAAACCTTCCAATTTAATACACCTTATGTGGAGAGAATTAAAGCTTAATTTTTTTTTTTTTTTTTTTCTTCTTCTTTTCGTACTTGTCGATTTGCCAAATTTGCAGCTACACGCAGTAATATACCAACTATATACATTGCTATACCAAACTTATAAACAGAGTTAAATTAGAAGAAAAAAAAAAAAAAAAAAAAAAAAAAAATCAGAAGTCTAACCTTTGTTAGAAGTTTATTTAAATTTTTGAAAAAATGAAACCAAATAGTAGTGTGAATTTTTTTTTTTCTTTCTTTGATTTCAAATACAGTTCGAATGGTTCACATTGGGTAGGTATATATAATACTATAAATTGCCTGAAGCATTTTTTTTTTTTTTTTCAATCTATTTCTGAATGCTTATACCTATATATATATATATGCAGTAAATGTAAAATAACAAAAATATATTGAAAAGTTCATTGCACACTTTTGTTTTATGAACAAAGGGAGGGAAAAAATCATCGAGATAAAATCGTGATATGTGTGGTGTAATAAATAATATGTAAGACGCGTGATTAGTGGGAACTCAATTGTATACAAATTTTATAGTTTTTTTTTTTTTTTTTTTTTTTTTTTTTTTTTTTCACTAGGTTACATTTTTCCCACAATCAGTATTCTCTTCTCGTTCATGAAGAGTTGATAAAATTTTCCATCCCTTTTCATATTCAACCATTTTGTATGCGGTTAACATTTCTGAAATAATCATCTTGTCATATTTCTTCATTTTTATAAAGTTCCCTAAACATTTGTCTGCTTCATCCTGTACGTTAGAATCAAGAATTTGAATGTAAGTCAGGGGAGAAGAAGAAGAAGAAAATAACGAAAAAGTGTATTTATTTTATTTTTATTTATTTTTTTTTTATGTCCACTTTTGGATTGCACTTTACGCATGTTTGTGTGTTCAGGGCACCTGACACAGGAATGCAGATATGTGTATGTATGAATGGGTAAGCGTGTCTTTCCCTTTTTTTCCCCTTCATCTGCATATGTTTAACTTATCGACCGTGTGCCAGACGAACAACGTGCTTGCTGGTAGCGCCTTGGTCTTACTTTCATTCCAAGATGAAGAAAAGTTATGCAAAAGTAAGCCCATAATTTGTGGTTGAAGAGATTCATTTCATTTGACTTGTGCAAGAACTTGTAAGCTTGCATGTATTTTTTTTTTTTTTTTTTTAAATAATAATGAGCCAAGTAAAGATAAGAATAGCTAGTTTTGCACACATCTAGTGATTTTTTAATCTCTTTTTTGGAGTCTTCATATTGATTAAGAGAAATGTACACTTTGCTTAATTGAAGATATATTTTTACACGCACGTTGCTCATTCTGCATAGATATAAACACTGTTTTAGTAGCACCATGGACTTTCTGTAGTCCTTCAACTTGTATGCACTTTCAGCATATATATACAACATGTCAAAATTTTTCAGGTGTTCCTTCGTTTCTTCTATGAGTTCAATGCATTTCGCGAATTCTGTGGTAGGTGGAAGTTAAACGTTGTGAGATGTGAGACGTGAGACGTTAGATGTGAGACCTGATTAGACCCGATTTAGACAAAACAGAGACGTCACAGTGCAATGTAGCGAATGGCATAACGAGGGAGTAAAACAAATTCGCAGATATTCTCAGGGTGCACCCTCTATTTATATGTCTACATCTGTGGAGGCCTTGGTGCGTGGTCTGATTTTAAACGAATTTCTACTCACCTGCAAGAGCAAAAAAAGCACGAATAATTAGATGCCTGTATAAAGGCGTTTCCAATGAAAGTTCAGTTAAAAATTTATGTCGATTTTCATGAATAAACATTACAATATTTAAAATGTTGAATTTTATGCAGTGAATAAGAAACAAGAACATAAAGATATCCTTCACAGGCACATGGTTAGATAAGTATGCTTCTGGTAAATTTATCTCCGTTTCATTTTCCAGTACACTGTTTTGTTTTTCTTTTCTTATGCTACTTCTTCCTTTTGTTTTCACTTCTTCAGAATCGTTTATATGTTTGGTTTCTTCTTTATCCGTGTCGATTTGTTCGTTCATGTCTTTTGTTTTTCCCTCGCTTCTGCCCTCGCGTCCATTCTGCCAATTTTTTTCTGTTTTTTCTTTTTTTTCTGTCTTTTCTGTTTTTTCTGTTTTTTCTGCCTTTTCTGTTTTTTCTGTTTCTTCCTTTTTCTTTTCCCCATCATTTGTGGACGACGCAGGTTCATTTTCCGTCTTGTCCTTGTCATTCTCAAGATTGTTAATATCATTTTTAGCTTTGCTATTTTCACTTTTTCCACGACCAATCGTAGCACGTGTTTCTTTTTGAAGATTAAACTCATTTATGGTTTTTTCGATGGCTGATCGTAGATTGTTTTCATTGTTATTCAAAAGGATACTCATGTTAATGTAATAGTTCACATAATTACGTTGAAAGAAAAAGCATAGAGCTTTGATATATATACATATCTCTACACTTATATTTATGTTTGAATAATTAAATGTGCTATATAAATATAGCTGTTTTATGTTCCATGGATTTTCTTCCTCTGACGTATCACCCAGTGGAGGAGTGCTTATTATTTTGTCTCGGTTTGTTTCTTTTCCACGTGTCATTTTTTTTCTTTCCTTTTTCTTCAAAACTTGTATCAAGTAGCTAGCCAGTTTCATAGCTTTGTCATATTTGTGTGTGTTCAGATATACCAAGGTTAATATGAAAATGCTTTCTAAGTTTTCCTGTAAAGATGAACACGTGTGCACAATGAAGTATGATGAGAGGAGGGGATGGGAAATGCATGGGATGTCGTTTCACTGTAAGTGGAAGCGCTTGTAGAACCCTTCGTTCGTTCTCGTGCAGGCTGCCTCTGCCTCCATTTCTACTGGCTTACAAAATTGGTGAGCTCCACGTAAGCAGATAAACAGGAAATGCAGGAGTCCATGTTCTCGCCGTTGAGGTACTTTTCATACAAGTCAAAGTTGTCGTGATACTCAAAATTGTCATATTCGTTTATGTTATGAAATGCTGAAGCAATTATTCCTTTCTCGAGTTGAGCTGTATCTGTCTTTCTGTCTCTCGCAGCACAATACTGCTCATAGTACAGACGCTGCTGTTTTTTTTGAGTTTCACAATTGGTGTTGTTATTCGATATCAACAAAACTTTTGCATATTTATAAAGTACATCAATAAATAAATTTTTAATTTCTTTATTCTGTGGTAAATTAAAAGTGGAAAAGATATTCTCCTGTTTGGAATCCTTTACAAAGGTTTCTTCACCTACTCGATTTTCATTTTTTTGATTTAAAATTATTTTTTCAAAGTGGTTTATATAATCAAACAAGTAACAGTTAGAATTTTTTCTCTGCATAGTGCTTATTATGGATGTTAAAATGTCAGCCTCGTTATTTTTCTCACTTTTTTCACTTTTTTTGTAAATGTAATTATCTTGGGGAGTATTCTCCCCTTCTCCATGCTCTTCACAGTTTAGCAACATGTTAACGACATGATTATAATCTTGATTTTCTATTATTCTTAAATCTTTCTTTTCTGTATTTTCTCCCGAATTTAGTATTTTTTTAAAAAGTAAAACCAGTGTAGCCTCACAAAAATACACACACTTTTTATACTTTAGTAAAAATTCACTTTCTTTTAATACATTAAATAGATAATTTTCAACATTTTTGATATTATTTTTTTTTTTTATTTCATCTAACGCATTGGTATTAATATTGTTTTCCTTCTCGCAGTAGCCATTAATGATTACATTTGATGATTCATGCACAAGATTAAATAGATGTGCCAAGATACAATTTGTATTTTCTTCAGATATGGTTATATTTTCTACAAACTTTTTATTACCACCGTTCGAGTGGTTCTTTTCATTTGTATTATTCATCCCATGATTAATATTGTTTATATCCACATATTTTCCTTTCAAATCTAACTTCTTTTCTGTCTCATCATCTGTGTACATCACATCATCATGGAGATTGAAATTTTTATATATTTTTTTCTTCACTATTTCATAAGCCATTTTTATCTACAAAAAAAAAAAAAAAGGATGAACCAGGTTGATTTTGTGTTTGGTTAAATTTTGCCATTTTTATTCAACCATAAGGAGCAGAGGTAGAGACGGAGGCACACACCGACACCGACACAGCGGCAGAGTTAAGCTACCATAACTTCTTTGATATTGTTATACAAATTAATGTACGTAGGATTTTCTTTTAAATCGTTTAAAAAGGAGAGATACTCCTTGGATTTTTTATAAATCTTTATTTGTTCTTCATTTTTCCTTTTGTTTATTTCGCTATTGACATATTGAATTCCTTCAAGAATTAATCTGATTCGAGGGTAGTTGAATGGGGTGTAACATGGGGTGCATCAAATCGGGGCTTAATATAGGTGCATTAAATTGGGGCGTAATATAGGTGCATTAAATCGGGGCGTAGCAACTAATTGTACACTCTATACCTGTTAAACAAATTGCCAATATCTTCACCTTCCTTTTGATTAGGCGACAATACACCGTTTACTTTTGAGCCTTCCTTCATATTATCCATTTTTAGGGGAAATTCTACTTTCTTCTCCCTTTGGAAAAATGCTGTAAATATGTCATCAATTTTTTCAAAGTGGTTAATTCGACAAGTGTAAAATTCATGAAAGTAAATGAGTTTGGACATAGGAATAAGCAGAAATAATATTGGGAAAACGTTTCTAAGAGTATATATATATTCCCTTTTTCTACACATTTTTCTACAAATTTTTTTTTTTTTACTTACGCTTGTAAAATTTAATGGTCAACATGATGTAAGCCCCTCCATATATAAATGAACCTTCATTAGTATCACCTTTTTCTATGGCATTTTTCACTTCTCCTTTTTGGAGATCCAAGACATGTAATCTGTACTTGGCATTAAGGACTACACGAGTGGGAAGTAAAATTAAAGAAAGCAAAGGATTTAGCAAAAAATTAAAAAAGAATAAAAAAGAAAAGAAAGCAGCTTCATTCTTAGTTCTTGTACATTCTCTGCAATGTAGAAAAACTTTCCCTTTACCTTTATTTGATATTACATCGTTAATGTTTACTTCGAACCTCCCACAAAGGAAGTCAACCACGCTTGGAGAGTTATTGTCTGAATATCGTGGAATGGAAAGCTGTAGATGAGTTAGTGCTCGTGCACAAGTACATACATGGAAAGAAATGAGTGAACTGTGCACTGATATTTTTTTCTAATTTTTTTCTAATTTTTTTGTAATTTTTGCACCCTTTTTTTTAAAGTCTACATAAACACTGTTGTACGCGGACACCCACTTTTGGCTTCTCTACCAAGCATGTACTTTTTATGTATTTCCATGGATTCAGGTATGCATTGTAAACTCTGCCTCTCTCGTAGAGACACACCTTTTCCCATGTGTTATTTTCCATTTTGTTAATTTTCTATAATTACCTTTTTGTTTCTTTCCCTCGTTAAAACATAGCAAATAGGCATTAACGTTAAAAGATTCGTAAAACAGAAAGTTGTAAATATATTCAATTTCCTGAAGATTCGAAAAAAAAAAAAAAAAAAAAATCATAGCTTCTATTTGGGTGATTTCAGGTGATGAAGAATCTACATTTTGTTATGGTACTCCGTGATCATTTTCCTGTTGATCGGTTGTGATACCTTTATATTTCTATATTTGTACAAGTCATTTTTTTTCCATTCAATTTTGTATTTGTCTTGCTCATCTGGATGGGGGAAAAAAAATAACGCGTACGAATTATAGAGAATGAAGAGAAAAACTGTCAGCATAACTGTGTAGTAAAAAAAGAGAAAAAAAAAAAGGAGGCCCTCCTAAACTTAACCTTTTACTAGCATTCCGTCGTTCATGCAAAAATCCAAAAATTTCAACTAAAAAAAAAAAAAAAAAAAGAGAAAATAAAATGGAGACTTACAAAATATGAAATATGAAAAACCTCTCTATTTACACCTCTTCATACTTATTCACACACAGTTTACAACCCTTCTGAATTATATACTTACTTGAAACGTGTGCAAATTCTTTTTTGATATTTTGTCTTCTACAGATTTGGGTATATTGTATACACCATCAACCTTGTAGAGGAGAAAAGGAGAGTGGAAAAATAAAAAAAAAAAAATCACATGTTCATTCGTTAGTTTTTTTTATTTTTTTTTTTTTTTTGTTTTACACTTTATTATGCACACATTATAACACATTAATACAATTAGAAGTAGTAATCCAAAATGGATAATTCCCCTCAAGTTGTTTTCCTTTAGACTCTTTTCAAGTTAACCTTCATGTTCATTATGTTGTAAGATGACCTCTCGCAGTAGTTCCCTAGTAGTGAATTTACATTCAGCGTGATATTAAAGCCTTAAAGTGGGGGAAAATAAAAGAGAAACGCGTAAAAATGAAGAAAAAAAAAAAAAAAACACCAAAATTGTAATAAGCGTGAAAAGTGCAATAAACGTAAAAAGTGTAAAAAATTATGAACGGGTCAGGTGAAATAGGTAGACCAAATCGAGATAATCATTTTGTAAAATTTACAATTTTACAATTTTAGATTAAAGCTCATGTAGAACACGCGCACGAGCTAAACTAACTTATGCCAATATTCGATTTGATACAATTTTCTGACTTTCTTCCGTCCCCTCCTGATTTACTTTTTACCTTATCGCTATTTTTTTTTTTTTTTTTTTTTTCATCCTTATCGCTATTTTTTTTTTTTTTTTTCTTGTCACTTATTTCGCTTGGCTTGCCCGGTTCGCCTGGTTCACCCATTTGGTCTTTTTCAATTTGATTATCGATCTCTTCCCATCGATTTTCACATTTGTACGATACGATAACATTTCTCGTGATTATTAACTGATCATGCAAAAAGGGGAAAGTCTTAATGTTATCTGATCCAATGCAAATAAAACTATTACTTCCATTGTCACTGTTGTTTTCGCTATCACTTTTCTGATTGTCATCCTCCTTGCCCTTAGAATTGCTTCTCGCGAGAACATTAATTTTTATACAACTTTGTATGACATCCTTAATAGCAGTTTCTGTGGATTATCAATTGGAATGAGTAAAAGAAAAATAAAGAAAGTAAAATTAGGAATTTAGAGAAAGTTCATAAATAGCACATATCATCAAACGAACTTAATTATTCATAAAATCTCACAAATGGCATATTTCCCCCTTTGTTCCACGTACCTTCACATATTTCAATGTAATTGCTAGAGAAATTAATTTGACGATAACTGTTTTTACTGATGATGTTGGACTCGTAGCAGTTTCCATAAAAATCTGTAATGAACACGCGTACAAATAGGGTTCAGGCATTATATATATATATGTGCATGTTCATGTACATGTACATATTAATACATTTGTGCATGAGAGGAATGCTGTGTAGCGAATTTTTGTGCAAATGCGCACGGACATCCATGCATACACATATGATACAAACATGTCTAACTTCCCCAGCTGGAAGGGGTTACATTATATTATTCATTTTGTTTATTCGGCCTTTTTATTTATTTTGTTTATTCGGCCTTTTTATTTATTTTGTTTATTCGGTCTTTTTATTCATTTTTTTATGCACCCTTTTTATTCATTTATTTTTGACCAAACGCATCGCATGTTTTGAAATTGATCCTAAATTTAGACTCACCTGTTATATTTATTTTGTACGACACTGAATCATCCGATGCTGTAAAATTGGTCACCTTTATATTTTCGTTTAAAAAAAAGCAGAAAAAAAGAAAAAAAATAGTTGTTATTTTTATGTATACTAAAGCATATATAGCACAAAGTTGCAAGATCTTTTTTTTTTCTTTGTTTTTTCTTTTTTTTTTTTTTTTTTTCCTCTCATCCTTTCGCTTTCTTTTTCTCCTTTCTGTTTTACGTAAAAAGTCACAAAGAAGGGTCCTTCAGGTTTTTCTTTATATTCCATTTTGTGAAATCATAAAAAAGTGCATCCTATGTATCTATTTGTTAATGTGGGGAGTTACATGTTTTTGAATCACAAGCGAAGAAGTGTTGGAAGAACCCCCATCGAGGAAGAAAAATGTCCAAAATCGAACGTAGATGTAATGGAAAGGTTGGTAAACAGAGGCCGGATGTGAAAGGTTCTTTTGGACGAAGAATCTAATTTACCCTCTATTCATTTCTTTTCAAATTCATAAGAACACACTTTCCACTTTGAGAAAGAAGCCAAGTGTGTCCTTCATGTTTGTGTCGTACAAGGTTGGCTATTTTTTTTTTTTTTTTTTTTTTTTTTTTTTGCTGCATTATGCTATGTTTCACTATGTGCATATATATATACACACGCATATATATATATATATATATATATATATATATATATATATATATATATATATATATATATACATATATATATATGTACATCATCTTCTCAATGTGTTATACATGCACTGATCAAGCTGAAGGGACGAGAATTTTTTTTTTTTTTTTTTTTTTTTTCTATGTCTACAAAATATTTGCTGCGTAAATTTTTCAAAATTTTACAGTTTCAGTTATATCCATTCAAGTGAACGTTAGAAGTTAGCACAAAAATTGGAAAAAAAAAAAAAAAATCAAAATAATCATTTTCCAAAAAAGGTAAAAACAAAAGGGTACTAAAAATTATGTTTACAAAATTCTTTTTTTGTACAAAAACAGACGTGTATACATAGGAACGTGACGCAGTACATGGGAGACACAAAATAACATGTAGCGACCAGATGTATGTATTCATACAAATGAAATGGAAAGGGGATAAAGAAAAAAAAGAAGCAAATTAGCATGCACATGTACATGTACATATATATAGCTAGAAGCATGTACACTTGAAGACAATGCAACTTTTGTACACTTTTTGAGATGCAACATTTTCTACTTCATCACAGATGACACTAGGATAATAGAATCTCCCCGAACAAAAACCATGTCTAAACTTCTTTCTATTTTCTGAAAAAAGAAAAAAAAAAAAAAAAAAAAAAAAAAAGTATACATATATTATACTTGCTGACATGTGTAAATTTTTCTTTTTCACTATTCAATTTTCTTTGTTCATCTCTTTTGCTTCAAAACTCATGTCATTCAATAGCACGTGCCACGACATATTCGTTAGTCGTACACAAATTAACCGTGTAATTGTTATTCAGTTTTTTTTTTTTTTTTTTTTTTTTTTTTAACCCTGAGTTATTTGGATATAATCCATATGGGCATATGAATAAATGGACATAAGACATATTGTTATATTTCCATTTTCACGTCTCCGCATCTCTACATTTTTTATTATGATTTAAGTTCAAGTACCTTTACAGATTCCTCATCATTTTCGACGATGTTCTGCTTGTATGATTCGCGAGCATTCGATAGAATCATGTTCAGGTGGTTATCATATGCCTTGAGGGGGAAGGTAAAACGAGAACGCATGTATGTATGTGCTTGTACGTATGTATGTATGTGCTTGTACGTATGTATGTATGTGCTTGTACGTATGTATGTATTGTGCTTGTACGTATGTATGTATTGTGCTTGTATGAATGCATGTATGCGTGTGCGGTATAGCTAAAGAGTGTGTATGTCCATGTAAATGAATTTAGGAACAACATGTCACACGGACAAAACTCGTTTTCTGAAAAAGAAAAACTCGCGAAGGAAATAATGATAGGAATTCTTTTCTTACATCTAACTTTCCTCTTATTTCTCTATCCCCTTTACATTTAAGGAATATTTCTTCTTCCATATTTAGGCGTATATAATCAAGCGGATCTGTTAATAAAAAAAAATAGAAAAAATAAAAAAATGTCATTTTAAATGGGAAGAATTGTACGAAATAGAATAAACGGATGGCTCAACAAATTGTCCCTTCTTTGCTTTGCTCTTTTTTTTTTTTTTTTTTTTTTTTAATCTAATGGTTGTCATTATCTTTATTATTTTCAAATTACTTTGTATTAGTGCTATTTTCTCCATTTTCTCTTAAATTGTGTTGCAATTCTTGGTTGAAGCGTACGTAAAGAAAAAATACAAAGTGCTCTTAAGTTTTGTGAAGAAAAATATATTGGGAATAATATATACAAATTTGTTTTGTTGGTTAAAATTGCTGAAGTCATTCCATCTCCCTTCTTCTCCTACAGGTGTGGTTATGCGATATGTACAAATGCGTTAGTTTGTGAAAATATGTATTATGTCGGCCCCCAACAAATGTATGGGATAAGGCTTGTTCGAAATTTTTCGCATTCCCCTTTTTTTATTCTTCAAAGGGTTGTTAACTTTTCATTATGTTCGCAAAAAAATGGGAAGAAAAATGATAAGGAGAAAAAATGAGGAGAAAACAAGAAAAAAATCCTACGTTATATGGTATACTATATGGTATACTATATGCTATACTATATGTGTACTTGGCTAGGCCATCTGCGTTATGCTGCCTTCGAAGCGTGCCATAAAAGTTACTCCTATGGGAGTGTAGATCTTAAATGCTGGTTGCGAGGGGGTCTGTCGAATTATATACTCTTTTATGTATAACCTCATTAATGCTTTTCAGATTCCGGCATGCTGGATGTGCAAATGGGAAAGGGGAGAAAAGTTCAAGTAAGGATGTTTACTTTTGCTTCATTTCACATGTTGACACAGTAATTTAATCCAATTTTTTTTTTTTTTTTTTTCTAACTGCATCCTGATATGCACGCTGCATATGCCCATTCTGTTAACACCATTGTTTTATTTCATTTTACTTTATTTTACTTTATTTTATTTTATTTTATTTTTTTTTATTTTATTTTTTTTTATTTTATTTTTTTTTATTTTTTTTTATTTTATTTTTTTTTTATTTTCCCACTGGGTCTCACCGCAATACAAATGAAAGCAGGGTTGCCAATTTTCACATTCCACGGCATTTTTCCTTTTGATTATTTTAAAAAGTGTCAAATTTAAAAGCATTGTCCGATTTAAAAAGTGATAATAATAAAACACGAATGAAAAAAATTCAGATGTAGTACCGTGAAAAAGACGAGATAAGAACACACACATAAAAAAAAAAAAAAAAAAAAAAAAAGAGCTTCTTATGCGTGTTTTTACACATGTACATTAGTTGACAGTGGGAATATGAAAGAGTGATGTATTTCCTTCTATGAACATACGTAGATAAATCAATATTTAAAAAAAAAAAAAAAAGAAAGAAAGAAAAATAAAACTTTACATGGGATGCAGTTCTGCATGTATTCCTAGGTAAGCAAAGAGAGAATGTGCATGTGTGCATATACGTATATGTGTGTTATAAGACATATGTTTCCCATCACTGTCTCAACCTTCTCTCTTACATCTGGATAAACAGATAAACAACACAAACAACCATTTTGTTCCGTGTGGAAATTTTTTTGCATTCAGAGGAAGGGGGTGCGGGGTGGAACACATATAATCCTTCCTTTTACAGTTCCTAATGAGGAGTAGAAAATAAATAGAGTACCCGAATTAGAAACTGTGATAAAGTGCCCCTTTGTGTTTCTCTCTCCATTTGTCTCCGCTTATTTCTCTGCTGCTCGTTCCGCTTCTCTCTCCGTTTCCGTAGACGATGAGGCCTCTTCATCGTTGGGATACTCATCCTCATCGGCATTCATCATTTCGATTTCGATTTTCATTTTCATTTCATCAATTTGTTGCTTCAGGCTATCCGTCAGATTGTCGTTTAGAAAGTTGAAGCAGTAGGAGGTGAGGATGTACGTGTCTTGAAAATTGTTCTTGTTCGTGAATTCCTAAGGGGGTAGTAGATGCACTGGTGAGTAGATGCACAGTTCGGTAGATGCACAGTTTGGTAGATGCACAGTTTGGTATATGCACAGTTCGGTAGATGCACAGTTTGGTAGATGCACAGTTTGGTAGATGCACAGTTCGGTAGATGCACAGTTTGGTAGATGCACAGTTTGGTAAATGCACAGTTTGGTAGATGCACAGTTCGGTAGATGCACAGTTTGGTAAATGCACAGTTCGGTAGATGCACAGTTCGGTAGATGCACAGTTTGGTAAATGCACAGTTCGGTAGATGCACAGTTTGGTAGATGCACAGTTTGGTAAATGCACAGTTTGGTAGATGCACAGTTTGGTAAATGCACAGTTTGGTAGATGCACTTGTGTAGACAGTGCCTATTCACCTGTATATCCTGAGAAATTGCGTGCTGAGTCTCCTTCTTGTTCTCGTGCAAAGCATTAACATCATCCTTGTCCTCGACGTGTTCCAGAGTTTTCTCAAAACGAACATTGACTTTTTCGTTTCCATCCACCTGTTCATGCAGTAGTCTATCTTTGTAGATGTCATCATCCTCATCGTTGTTTTTTTTATTGATAAAAATTTCTTTAATGGTGTCCACATTCGCAAACCAATCTTTATTTGAAGTGTCGTTATTCGAAAAGGATTCTCCATTAATAACATGGGAAATTGGTGGAACAGCTATTGGTTGAACAGCTATTGGTTGAACAGCTATTGGTTGAACAGCTATTGGTGTAATATTTTTGTCATCATTGGATATGCGAGAAATACTTTTTCCATGGTTATTATTCAAAATAGGTTGTTGTTGATTGTTGAAATTCCCCATACTTATACATATGGTATCTAATTTTCTTTTCTGTAATTGCTTTTTCCATATATTTTCTTCTACGGTATATTCTGAAACAAATCTGAAAACATGAACATCTTTCGTTTGACCGATTCTGTGACATCTATCCATCGCTTGTTTATCAATCGACGGATTCCAATCAGTATCATAAAAAATGACTATATTAGCTGCTATTAAATTGATACCTATACTACCACTACGTGTAGAGGATATAAATAAGAAAATAGATTTATCATTGTTAAATCTTGTTACAATTCTTTGTCGTTGTTCTACTTTAGTTGATCCGTCTAATCTTATAAATGTATAATTTAAATGGTTTAGGAAAATTTCTAAAATATCTAACATTTTTATAAATTGTGTAAATAATAAACATTTATTTCCTTCTTTTTTACATTTACTTAATAATTTTTCTAATGCAAATAATTTTCCACTTCCCAATGCTATATCTTTGTTTAGAGGAAATATGATAGACTGCTTTAGAAAAGGTTCATGAAATACTCTGGTTGCCAATTTGATTCTTTCGATTATGGGTTCTAAATTACTGTTATTCTGTAGTAGATTATTGTTAATTGATATTCTATGACAACTGCTAATAACTGCAGGAGTATTCATAATTGTAAAGTTGTGAATTTGTCTTAGGTGTATCTTCAGAAAGCTCTCCATTGTTGGGAAGAATGTCTCAATTACAGATTCGACAGATGCCATTTGAGTGCACGGGTATCCAATCTTTCTTCTTATCTCTACACTATCAATATTTTTATTCACTTCTGTATCGGAAGTATTTTCCTCTACACTAGTTAGTTTTCCATCTTCGCTAATATTCCATACACTTGTCTCCTTCATTATGGAATAGTCAATTGAAATGTTGTTACTCATATGATATGTCAGACACTTATCTTTGATGAATTCTTTTCTAAGAAGACTTAATAAATTTACACCAAAAATAGGTATTCTATTATTCTTCAAAGAAATGTAATCATTTAGAAATGCTTCTTTCGATTTTTCATCTTTCTCTTTCATTTTCTCTTCATGTATTCTTTGTCTTTTAATCCATAAATTATGTTCAATTGAATTTAGATAACTTGGATATGTCTCCCCAGAGAGGAAATTCTCATATTGAGTATCACTATTAATTACTTTCATGTTGTATTTGTAAACAAAATTCGATCTCCCATTATTTATTATATCGTTTGTTACATGCTTGTTATGAGTTGTTTTGTGATCCACAGTAACAGAGGTATTATTATTACTCCCATTTGTGTGTGTATCTTTAACAGTTTTATAGAGATATTCATTATAATTGCAATACTTGCGCGATTCGTCAATGTAAAGAGACAGGATATCATAGTTATTGTTTAATTCTGTCACAAATTCATTGGAGTATGTTAACAAATTTATCGGGTCATTTTTCTTATAAATTTCATTTTTTATGTGCCTGTGCACATCTTGCGGAATTATTTTATTGGAATCTGTTTTGGGATACAACAGCACGTTATATGGAACGGGTTCTTCTCTTCTACTCTCACCAGGTTCTATTTTTTCTTTTTTCATTCCATTATATAGACAATTTAACTGCACTTCCCCTGCCCCAGCCTCTGCCTCTTTTGAGTGTATTGTTCTTTTTCCATTCGCGTTGTGCAGGGAAAAAATATTACCACCTTCGAACGAACTGCCCATGAGGGGACCTACCTCATTTCGTGCATCTGTGTAAGCATCTCTGCCAGCATCTGTGCGCACATCTGTGTCGTCATAACAGTTCCCCTGTTTCTGTTCCGATTCAAAAATATCTCCATTTCTCATTCGAGCGTTTTCTTCCGCCATAGCTAGTTGTACATCTGCCCCAGCTAGTTGTGCATCTGCCCCAGCTAGTTGTGCATCTGCCCCAGCTAGTTGTGCATCTGCCCCGGCTAGTTGTGCATCCGTCACAGGACGTTCATATATTGGGAAAGGTTTCCAGTTTGGGAAATGCTGTGACGGGATTGCAGGAGGGACAAGAGTGCAAGTCGCATCGTTGTTAATTCCATCTTGGTGAAAACCATTCCTTTTCAGGGTTTTGGATTCTACTCCATTCGTGAATGAACATGTGGGATCTTGGCCACTTGAATGCAAGTGGGATATCCTTATTTGTTTCTTATCGATTTCACTTTCCATGTGGTGGGAAAGGTAAGTAGAATCTCCTTCTCTTTTAGTATGCTCAAATTCGACATTGCGTAGTGTATCTTTTTCCGGGGAGATATTCTCAACTATGAAAGCATGGGGTCGACGATAGCAGCCATCGTCACTGCTTCTGCTATTACTTCTGCTATTGGTTCTGCTATTACTTCTGCTATTGGTTCTGCTATTGGTTCTGCTATTACTTCTGCTATTGGTTCTGCTATTGGTTCTGCTATTGGTTCTGCTATTACTTCTGCTATTACTTCTGCTATTACTTCTGCTATTACTTCTGCTATTACTTCTGCTATTACTTCTGCTATTACTTCTGCTATTACTTCTGCTATTACTTCTGCTATTGGTTCTGCTATTACTTCTGCTATTACTTCTGCTATTACTTCTGCTATTACTTCTGCTATTACTTCTACTACTGCTTCTGCCACTGGAGGCATCGTTTACGATCCTGCCTTTACCTGCACCGCTGCCAAAACCCAACTTTACTTCAGAATTCCTGCGCGTGTCGAGACCTCCCATGGCAGTAAACTCATTGTGGAGAAAGAGAATAATGTAAAAATCACGGTGGTATGTCTTATCGAAGAGAATGCAAAAACGAGGAATGTAGAAGTTTATTGGGAGGAGATAATAAAAAGGTGTTTGAATGTGCTTATTTGTGAATAAATCACAATGGTTACATACTTTTCGAAGTTGAATAAGTATATTCATTAATCCTATATAATTTCCACTACTTAGTGTATTTTGTACTTGCTTATTATGTATAAATTCATCATATAAAATTTTTTGTCTTCTCGTTAATTTGCACTTAATAATATGTTCATATTTATTGGACATTTCTTTTTCTACATTTTTTTTTAATCTCCTTAAAATGTAAGGTCGTATAACTGTATGCAATCTATCTATTAATTCTCTAGAATCGTTTATTTTACTTTTCTGAATGGCCAAATTTAGAGGATCTGAAAACCATTCTTTAAAATCTATATGAGAGGTAAAAATATTTGGCATCAAAAAATGTAAAAGAGACCATAATTCTTCCAGACTATTTTGTAATGGCGTTCCAGTGACTAAAAGACAATTTTCTCTCTTCAAACTCAGGATTATATTCCATCTTTTTGTGTTAAAATTTTTTATATTGTGAGCTTCATCTAAAATTATATATTTCCATCTTTTCCTTTTAAAAATAATATGATCCTTAACAACTGTTGAATAGCTAGATATACATATATGAAATGAGTCTTTATTGAACCAGCCAACTCTTTTTTTATATCTCTCATTCTGATTTCCATAATAAGACAATATTTTAAAACAAGGAGAAAATCTCTTGAATTCTATCTCCCAATTAATCAGTATAGATGTAGGTACTATTATTAAGTGCGGTCCCCAGATATTAAAATTGTAAGCCAAATAACTCAACAATGATATACACTGTAGTGTTTTTCCTAACCCCATTTCATCTGCCAAGATTCCATTAATATTATTTTTGTATAAATACAACAACCAGTGCAACCCTGCGTGCTGGTAATCCCTCAGGGTTGCCTTTATGAATGGCGGAATTACGGTTGTGTGCTTTTCCTCCATATTGCACACGAGCATGTCATCATTGGAGCTGCTTGAGCTAGACGAATCGCTACTCTTCCCCTCCTCCAAATCGTTTGCACCGTTGGAAATACCTGCACCGTTTGCGTTGCTCACATTGTGTTCGTTTTTTCTCCATTCTTCCCTCTTCTTCTTTCTCCTGCTCTTCCTCTTCTTCCTCCTCTTCTTTCCGTGCTCATCACAGGAAAAACTTTCCTTTGAGATCCTTTCTTCCCTCAAAGGATACTCTTCATCTCTCATTTTTCTTTTCTTTTCATTTACCTCCGATTTATCGTCTACCTTCTCTAGATCCTCCTTACACGTCTTGTAATTTATTGGAGCCGACGATCCTTCCTTGTTCTTCTCCTTTTCGGCTTCTTCTTCTATTTTGAATTCGCTTTTACCATTTTCTTCCCCTACTTTTTTTTCTCCATTTTCTTCCTTATTTTCTTCCCCATTTTCTTCCCCATTTTCTTCCCCTTCTTCTCCCTCCTGTTGCATCAAATCGAGGTACTCCTCACCACTCTTAAAACCGTAAATTTTTCTTAGCAGTTCCTCAACTGGCATATTCGCTTCATCATCCAAGAGGTTGATTTCCTTTTCCTTTTCATCTGATTCATCACTAGATTCCATTTCTTTATCCAGTAGAATATCTTCTTCTTCCTGATTGGTCAAATCCTCTTCCTTCAATTCATCGTCTTGGAGATTGTTAATGCTGGTCCGAGGGGAATTGTTCAAACTTCCTCCCTTATTATTTTCTTCTCTACCAGCATAGCTGCTTAGATTGTTGCTTCGATTGTTGCTTCGATTGTTGCTTCGATTGTTGCCTCGATTGTTGCCTCGATTGTTGCTTAGATCGTTGCTTGGATTGTTGCTTGTGTCATTGCTTCCTGCGCTGCTTCGATCATTGGTTACATCGTCAGGTGCTTCATTACGTCCTACGTGTGAAGAAAACGTTACATTTTCACTGGGGTTATAGGAACTTACACTAGCATGTCTATTGACAAATAACTCATGGGCATTATTTTGTCTTGCATGTTTAATCTTTTTAATGGCATCCTTTACAAACTTTTTAAATCTCATCTCTTTTTTTTTATTTAAAGTTTTTTGTAATTCTCGTTTTTTCTCTTCCCAAACTAATTTCTCAATTTTTTTCCAGAACAAGTCCATATACGAGGAAATATTTTTGGAATAAATTTTTAATCGCTTTTCTTCCTCTTCCTGCTTTTTCAATTTTATTTTTTCCCTGTTACTTAGGTATTTTACACAACTGTGGCTCAGAATTTTGAAGTGCTTTTTTTTCTTTTTTACTTCGTACATCACAAGGTCTTGAAACTCTTTCTGCAGTGTGGGTGTGGAGGTGCTTTGAATGAAGAAGCGATGTGGGAGCAGAATGGGGGTGCAGTATCGGAGTGCAGTATCGGAGTGCAGTATCGGAGTGCAGTATCGGGGTGCAGTATCGGAGTGCAGTATCGGAGTTCAGAAGTGGAGTGAAAAAAGATCCACTCTGTCATTTTGGTTTACCATTTCCTTTAGTTCGTAACTCCAGAAGGTAAGCTCGGGGGGTTTCGCAGGATCAACAACCTTATGTACGTATCCGCTGTCATAGGGAGAAGAGATATCAAAAAAAAAAAAAATAAAAATAAATAAAAATAATGTTATACTTGATAGATAGTGCTTATGTACTGTACGTACAAGTTGTATTAATCGTTTTGCATGTTATGTAACGTCTACATGATGAGATCCATATACATATTGTTTATTCCTTTGTAACTAAACTTCAAGCTCATTACCATTTTCCCATTTTTTCATTTAGGTGGCTTAGTCTGAAGACATGAATGGTGGAGAGTGATGTTAGAAAAAAAAAAAAAAAATATATATATATATATATATGTATGAAGCAAAGAAATAGGTGCAAATGAATTCCCTCCAAAGTGTGCAAATAAAGCACACGAATGTGAAATAACACACCGATGTAAAAATAGAACATAAATGGAAAAATGCAAGGATGGGGAGATGGATATCAGCACAGGCCGGAGTTTCCCCTTACACACACACACACACACAGGCAGGTACACATTCATCTCTTCGCATATTACTGTTGCTTCAACAGATTTATCTCCTCATTGTATTTTTCGATCTTCTTGTTATTTTCAGAAAAATACAGAGATCCCAAATTCTGAATGTCATCGATACTAAGTCTGTATGACTTCGCATGTAGTACAGTATTACCAAGTGTAGTGTTATTCATTGTGTGTTAAATTTTTATTTTTTCATCTACAGGAGAATTTCTTTTGTTTGATTTGTTCGTTGGGGTTGGTAGCAGCAAGGACCAGAGGTCATCAATGAGCAATAATTACCATGAACCCCGCATCAAACAATGAAGTGCTTAAATAGGTACATATAAAAGTGTACTTCTATTTTGGAGTAATGTAGAGGGGATCCATTTCACGTAAAAAGATATATGTATATATCTTTTGCTCTCCTATACCCCTCAGTAACACATTTTTACATATTCTTTTTTTTTTTTTTTTTTTTTTCCAAAAAGAATTAAATTATCATTAAATGGAAGAAAGAACTTTAACAAAATGGAGAAAATGTTAAAAATGAAAAATAGTTTATATAAACCTGGTTTTAGTGACTTCTGTAGCTACTAGGTTAGCATTATTAAAAAAAAAAAAAAATAAAATAAAAATAAAAAAAATTGCAAAGTTCACAACAATGTGGTTAAAGGTGCGGAAAAAAAAAAAAAAAAAAAAAAAAAAAAAAAAAAACCTGAACGTTCAGGTGACAAAAAAGTACACTTTCAAAAGTATGCACATAAAAAAAAGTATTCATAATAATTGTATATGATCCATGTAATTAAAAGAATACCGTACAAATAGTAGTAAGAGACATAGGATGTATACTACGTAGAGTTTATAATTATAAAACAAATATTATGAACATTTATGAAAATTGTTGTAATCTCCTCAAGGGGTAAAAAAAATTTTGTTGAAATGAGACACCTACAATGGGAAAAAAGTTCTGGGGGGAGTTCATATTTAGCGTGCATGTGCGTGAGAGTATATGTACGGAACATAAAATATATGTACATGCATACACACTTGTAGAATATATAACTGAGGAGAGAGTTTGCTTGTTCACATGTGATTACTTGGTATACACGACTTGAGCAACTGATAATAATTTTGAGGTCCTTGTGTATTTTACTCATTATCGTATGAACGTTCATAAAAAAGTGTATTCATAGGTACATGTGTACATGTGTTAGTAGAACAAATGTTGTCATATGCTGAATGGTCATATGGTATAGCTAATACATAGACACCAAGCCGGATATTTCAAAAAGTTGCTGGAAAGTACACACAATTGTCATAAACAACCATGTGTCAACTATTCATAATTTTGTAACACAAATGTGAGTGGAGAGGAAAGCAAAAAAAAAAAAATAAAATAATAAAATAATAAAATAATAAAATAAAAAAAAAAAAAACATGTATTGCCTCTTATTACTCTTATATATGGGCAAAATCAATAGTAATATTATTCTCCATGAATAACACATAACACTGAAAATGGGTAAATATATATATATCCCAAAGCAAAATGTTAAGCATGGTGGACAAGCATAAATATTGTTATAAGTCTTTTCTTTTTTTTTTTTTTTTTTTTTTTTTGAGTAATGCTTAATTCAACCCTATTTTATTTGATTTTATTTACTCATCTAAGTTGTATAGGAATATATGGATCGGAGTTGTTGAGAAAAACGGCAAGATAGACTTGCTCTTTTTTTTTTTATATTTTTTTTTTTTTTTTTTTTTTTTTTCCCCCCCCATTACACATATGGATACATTCTTTTACTGCTTTATGTTAAAAAATTTTTCAAATTGTTTAATCTCCTCTTTGACTTTTGATAATTGCTCGTTAGTTTTTTCTTCTAGAATTTTTTTCTGCTTCTTTGTAAATCTCTTTCTTACAACATAGCTGAAAATGGAGAAAAAAGGAAAGAGAAAAGTGAAAAGTGAAAAGAGAAAAGAGAAAAGTGAAAAGTGAAAAGTGAAAAGTGAAAAGTGAAAAGTGAAAAGCGTTTTTCTATGCACGTGTGTAGTAAGGCATAAACACTCTAAGCAAGGATGATGATTTCTCGTAAGTTTTTTTTTTTTTTTTTTTAATGGTAGAATATACTTTGAATGACTTTGCGATTAATCAAAACAGTGAACACATGAAAAAAAAAAAAAAAAAAAAAAAAAAAAAAGGTAAGACATGTGTACACACAAAGAATACAGTAATTTTGTTATTTTTCTACTCCTTATTCATTCGTTTAATTGTTATTTATTTTCTGTTGCGTCTTACTGGCTTTCGTGGATTTTTATGACATCATTGAAAACTTTCACTTCGTCCTCTCTTGGGTTTATGACATAATTTTCATCGTCGACTTGGGGATTAATGAAGGGGAAAAAAAAAAAAAGAAAAATAGTATAATATAGAAGTAGAATAGAATAATATAGAAGTAGAATAGAATAATATAGAAGTAGAATATAATAGAATAATATAGTGTAATGTAGAAATAAAATAAAATCGCGCAATGTAGAAATAAAATAAAATCGCGTAATGTAGAAATAAAATAAAATCGCGTAATGCAGAAATAAAATAAAATTGCGTAATGCAGAAATAAAATAAAATTGCGTAATGTAGAAATAAAATAAAATCGCGTAATGTAGATATAAAATAAGATCACTTAATGTAGAAATAAAATAATGTAAAAGTAAAAAATAAGGAAGATAATATAGGGCAAAATAGAAGCGTTTCATTTGAATTTCAGAGTAAACTTAATTAGTCTGGAACACATATACATGCAGTTGTCTGCAAGCGTGGTTTGCCATATTCCTTATTTGCATTACGTATGTTTCCATTAATCTTCACAGCTTTAAGACCAATCAGAATTTTTACTTCTTCTTTTGTTGCTACTTTGTTAAACACTAAATAATCGGTTACGTTCTTGGGAATTTTTTCGTAATCTATATTTTTTATTCGTTGTACAACGGCAGTAGGATTGTCTGATTTCGCTGAACATAATGAAATGGTGGTGATGGGGGTGGTGGAGAGGTGTAAGGATAAGAAGAAATATGTACTTTCAAATTGTTGTGTAATTCAAAGTTTGTTTCTTTGCGTAGTTTATTTTTTCATCATGTGTTCATACATTTTTCCTACTTTTAGCAAGTTCATTATGCATTTATAACATTTGGGTGTTTTTTTTTTTCTCATTCGTTCGTACCTAATTTGTTAAACTCCTCGGTTGTGCAAACTTGCCTCTTCTGACGTGTCTTCTTCTTTGAGTAAAAAAAGGGGGACAAGTCATCAACATTTTTTGATAAATTTTTTTTGTAAGCTATATATTTTTTTCTGTACCTATTAATTAGGACAATTTCATTTTTTATTTGTTTTTTTTTGCTCAGTTTGACTTGTTGACTCTCAGTTAATATATTCGGATTAGTGCAGAAGATGGTTTCTAGTTTTTTTATTTCTCGTAGTTTTTTATGTAATCTCCCTAATTTACTCGTTAAATAATTGCAGAATTTTTTGGTCTTTTTCAAGTTATCCTTAATGGGATTATTTTCACCTGACTTGTTCATAAAATTCGGTGTCTCTATTTTGTGCTCCTTTATTTCGTCCAAAAGTTCGACCTCCGCATTATCTGGCATTTCATTAAATAACCCCGTCTTGTTGAACCCCTTTTGTTGGGAATTATTTCTTGTGAAGAATGAACGGTGCTTATCCTTTTTGTGGAACGTGAAGAAAATCCTCTTATGTTGATTATTCCTTTGGAGAGGATTTATTTTATACGCATATATAATTTGATACTGATTGAGTAAAAGTAGGCATAAGTGAACAAAAAAAGAATAAACAAAATTCATAGTTTGTGGCTTTGAGGCTCATGGTTAGAAGTAAAAGATTCGTGACTTATAAATCATGGTTGAGTTAATACTATTTTGTAGGGTAAAATAGCTATTTACACACTGTCCTTTTTTATACGTTTTTTTTTTTTTTTTTTTTTTTTTTTTTTTTTTTTTTTTTTTTTTTTTTTTTTTTTTTTTTTTTTTTTTTTTTTTTTTTTTTTTTTTTTTTTTTTTTCTCCTTTTTGTGTTTCCATAATATTTTACCATTCCTCACATAATTGCCATCGTTCAAAAAGGGATAAAATTGCTAAGTCTCCGTTTTTCACGACACCATCTGACGAGGCTAAAAACGTAACCAAGTAGGTTTTTCACCACAAGTTGTATCACTTTTCCATTTTATCAAATTTGTGTGAATTTCTCCATATGGTATTTTCCTGATCAACTGTTGTTTAATCGAAGGTTTATGTGGGTTTCACCCATGAAGGGTTTTATTTTTGCATAGAAAATAGCTTTTCCCTTTTGGCACGTAAAAATGAGAAAAAAAAAAAAAAAAAAGTGAGCAATTATAGTAGTAACTAAGAAACAGATGAGAGATTCATTTTAAAAGTGCACTTAATAAAAGGATGCACATTTGTGAGATCTGCATATGGGGACAATTAGGCATCCCAAACATTGATTATACACTTTTTTTTTTTTTTTTTTTTTTTTTTTTTCCCCCAGTTGTAGCTCTCTATATGTGGCCTATAAAGTTTGGAGAAAGGAAATATGAATTTATTCTCAGCTCCTTAAGTATTTTTACATTTCAAAAAAAAAAGAAAAAAAAAAAAAAATATTCCTTCATATGAGTCACTCCACACGCAACTTTCTCCCGCAACTTAAAAGGGTACCCCAACCCCAAAACAGTCATCACCCAATAATTTAATTTTTTTTTTTTTTTTTTTTTACATGTAGTAATTGTGCTGTGCAAAAAAAATGGGAGGCCCTATTTCGTAACATGGAAGAAAATGTAAAGTGTTGTAATATGTATGAAAAGTATTACGTACCTTTTGATACATGTGTATAACAATTGCTTACGCCTTTTTATGAAGTATCCACAAATGTGTCCTATAATGTGTGATCCTCCTATTTGCTATACATTATTATATCATAGAAAATGTTATTTTAATCCGTCTTTATGATAGTAAAATAAGAAAAAAAAAAAAAAATTATCAACACTTCAAAAAAAAAAAAAAAATTTGGAAAAAGTAGACAATTAACACAAATATGAGAAGAAAAGTACATGTGCACTTGTGTACATTTTGCAAATTGTCGTCAGAAAAAAAAAAAAAATATTGCACAAAAATGGTCTCAAGGGGGACTTTGTTATTTCTTACTCAAGGCAAATAGTTCATACGAGACCCGGGGTAGTGTGAACGTTGGAACAAGGGGCGAAAGAAAAAAAAAAAATAAATAAAATAAAAGAACAAATGGGAGAAATTGACAAATTGGAGAAATGAGCACGTGCACAAATACACAAACGGACGAATTAACAAACGGACGAATTAACAAACGAGCGAATTGCAAATCGATGAAATTGCATATCAATCGAATTGCATATCAATCGAATTGCATATCAATCGAATTGCATATCAATCGAATTGCATATCAATCGAATTGCATATCAATCGAATTGCATATCAATCGAATTGCATATCAATCGAATTGCATATCAATCGAACTGCAAAACAATCGAACTGCAAAACAATCGAACTGCAAAACAATCGAACTGCAAAACAATCGAACTGCAAAACAAATTAACAGAGTAAATTTTTTTTTTTTTGCAACCCTTGTAGGGAAGCTGAGACAGCGCTGATTGACCTTGCCATCTCATCATCATCATCATAGGAGCCACCGCACAATGTACCTTACGACGAGTCGTAACCAGCGAGGGTACCTCAAATTTAATTCATTCATGTGAACAAAATTGGACGACTCGTAAATAATATTTAGCTCTTTTTGGAATTGTCGTTTCAAATTTTCATCGTTTGTTTTTAGTACAAAGCTCATTTCTAAATCTCTGTAAGTTGCTCTGTATCCATAATTGGAGCTACCAATTACTGTACCCCAAGGTAAATCATCCGAATTTTTTGTCAACAGGGACGTGTGTTCATTTGTTTTGTCACTGTTAATTTCTTCTCTTTTTAAAAAATTTGCACACATTTTATTTTTCTTCTCAAAATTGCATGAACGGGTCAGACAATTTTGAGAATTATTAACCCCTAACGTCTTCCCATTTTGGGAATTAATATTTTTTTTTTCTGAACATTCATAACTTTTGTCACTTTGTAGTTTCCCGCATGTGGCAGTACAACTAGCTAAATGGTCTTCCCCATTATCTCCATAATTTAACCCTAGCCTTCCTCCTAAAGAGTCATCAATTAACCACATCCCTTTGGAATGGAAAGTCCACGTGGGTTTGTGATATTCCATATAAATATTTGTGAAGGCCTTATCTTTTTTCTTCAATGGATCTGTTATATTTAAATTTTTAAAAACGTTTATAATATTTTTCGTAATGTACTCAATGCACATATGTGCAATGACTGTATATCCAAGAGGTACATAGTAGGTAATTCCTTTGGATTTAAAAAAACTGTTAGCCGATGGAGATGCTGTAATAAGGCGTAATTTACCCTTTTTAAAGCTTAAATTATCATATATACTTCTAAATAATTTTAAAAGATTTTCTGGGAAATTTAGATATCCAGAAGAAATAATTAAACTTTGATCAAACTTTTTTACCTTTTTCAACATATCTTCCAACATGATACTTTCATCATATATAGGAGGTGATGAAAACCCACTCTGAAGTGCCAGCTCAACAGTTAAAATATTTTTATTTTTCACCATTAATGGGCTGAAGAAATTTTCTCTTTCTTCTGTTTGATCACTTGTATGTTGAGGGGGTGTTTCAATATCTATAGTATGACAGTTGCTTTTTAAAATATCTTTCTCAATTTGGTTTAACATAAATCTTATCCTCCTGTAGTACTGTTCTCGGAATGTGTGTGCATCTATCAATGGGTTTATTAAGTCACTAACCCAAATGATAGACGAATCAGTATCTACAGTGAATGACATTTTCTGAATGCCATTCACAATTTTATGAACAGAGTCAGCTAATAATTTATTTTCAATCATAATGTACCTATCTTGTCTATTTCGTAAGTAGCTATCGCTTAAGTTCGCACCTGATAAAATTACACGATCGTCAGAAATAAAAACTTTCATATGCATCACTCCAATAGCTTCATTAGCTCTGTACGGTAAAATGTTATACAATATTGCACCCAATAGAGGGTTATGAAATAAGCTAAGGTTTATATTGTTTGCATAATCAAATAAATCGAACAGGACACTGACTGAGGATTCTTTTAATTTCCCTTCTGGTCTTGTCGCTCTTTGTTTATCCAGCAAAATATCAACTCTTAAAGTTTTTATGTTTTTATTATTTTTTATGCTTGTTATTAACTCTTTTTCTAGGTCTCCTATACCTACATAGAGGCAGCTGATCACAATTCGTTTTCTCGAGCTTCGAAACATATCTTTCAATGTATCGAAAAATTCGGTGGGGGAAAATAAAACCTTTGCTTTGGGTTCAGCAATTACAAATTTTAGAGCCATTTTTTGGTGGTCGTCGTGGTGGTGATGGGTATAGATGCTTGTACAAATTCAAGGTCAACAGGGAAAGCGTATTTTCTTCTTGGCTCCTTTTTTTCTCTGTGCTAAATCTTTCTTTACACTCTTTCGTGTGATCGGAATGTTGACAATGTAGATACTTGTGGAGTACACTTTTCTGCTTCCTTCGGATTTTCCCCTCTCCCGATTTCCTTCCTATATTTTCTTCCAATTTCTTCTTTTCTTTCGTCCCTTTTAAAAAAAATCACGTTTGGAGATCTTCACAAAGGACGTACTTGGAGTTACGTCACGTTCGGTGGTACCAACGATGTAGTTGTACCGTTCAGGAGTAAAATAATTCTGTCTGATAATTTCTCCATGTGTTGTTTTGCCACCTAAGACATAGCAAATAAAAAGGTGTACTATGTCTGATGTAATTGATTATAGTTTTAAGTGTGTCTCGTGAATTGTGTTAACTTTTTCACCAAACTTTAGGTGGCACGCGTGTGTAGTCTTTTTGGAATGATCAGAGATTTCAATCCGGTTTGGAAATTACAGTTCTGAGTGCACATGACAAAAAAAAAAAAAAAAAAAAAAAAAAAAAAAAAAAAAAAAAAAAAACATACACATGCTCTTGTATGTGTACACATGTGTGCAGTTAAATGAGTAAAGATATGCTTTGGATGTGAAATCTATGTATACAAACACAGCGCAAGCAATTTTTTGACGGAAATATGTAAAATCTGCATATATGCGTTGAGAAGGGATCACAATAGGGGTGTGCACTGTGAGAAAATACTAGATATGTATGTGCTCTCATATATATTACTTCTTAATTGGAACAATTATGTTCATACACCTTTTCCTCAAAAAAAAGGAATTTTTTTAGCAAAAATGATTAAAGTTATGTGTGATGTGCAATAGAGAGAAACAGCTAATAGGACGAGACAGGTGGTAAGGGTAGCATGTGTACTTATGAACGAATATTTATATTTTATCTAGTTTCTTGTGCAACTGTGAGCTATATGAACGGAAGTAGATGCGTACGAAAAGGCATACGCATATGTACGCGTACATACATATATATATATATATATATATATATATATATATATATATATATATATATATATATATATATACGTGTGTATGCTTTATTTTATTATATGTTTTTTTTTTTTTTTTTTTTTTTTTTCCTTCCCTTTGCGTTCGTGGCATCTTAAGCATGCTTAACGTTGAAATTGTCGCAGACCAAATGAACGATCACACTAACTGAAGATTGTGTTCCACACACGGGAATTTAAAAAAAAAAAATATAATATATATATATATATATATATGTATACATGTACATGTATATGTATACTCAGCAAAGTTGTACAGAGTAAACGCTATGACTTCAGCCCCACAGGGTAGTGAACTCCTTAGTGCGGGGTTAATTGGCATACTGCAGCTTTGAATTGAAAGAATGGACGATTAGAAGAACACCTTAGTAAATTTAGATATTCTCGCACATACAAAATGTTTTTAAGGACGAAAGTTCGTTCTTAAAGTGGTAAAAAAAAAAAAAAAAAAAAAAAAAAAAGGGCATTATATATAACAGTATTTATAATTTTTTTTATTTATCATTTTTTTTTTTTTTTTTTTTCCATTAACCCCTATGTACCACTTTTCTCTTTACATAATTGTCCCAAAAATATATAAAATCATACAAGGAAAAAAACAAAAAAAAAGAGCGAACGAGGAAGGGAATGAAAAAAAAAAAAAAAAAATCTTTCCCGTTCCACTTATATGTCATATTTTTAAAGGGCTATATTTTGTGAGTCATATAAAACGTGTGGAGAGCGTTTTTCCCCAATGGTACGAAGTTTTAAAATGCGACATAAACGACGCTTAGAAATAAGTATATATCTTAAGGAATGAGATACGTTCATTTAATAAAAAAAATAAAATAAAAAAAAATAAAATAATAATGCCTTTTTCAGTAGTCTATATATATATTACACATATTATATTAGTTTTAAGTGTGAAATATAAAGTTCTATAGTATACACTTAACAACTCCTTATGGGCATTTCTTCTTTTCCCTTCTTTCTTGTTAATGCACCGAATGGATTAAATTATATCTTACTGGGGAATCGGAAAAAATAAGGTTACGCCAAATTGTAGCTACTATATTTGTGTTCATTTTTTTTTTTTTTTCCTTTCTTTTCTTTTTTTTAAGACAAGGCAAAAAATGGCATCTGTCAGAGTGACACTTTTTAGCTTTCCCAACTGTTTGTATATTTATTAAATAGGTTAATATGAAGGAATTTTTTTTTTTTTTTTCTTATTAATAATTTTTAAAGATGTGCTCTGGTACTTCTACCTGGAACAATGGGGAAGTATCACTGTTGGTACTTATTTTATAGAAGAACAGCATAAATTGTCTATTGTTACCCTTTCTTCTCTGAGGTAAACAAATGGGATGAGGAAAAAACCGAGAAGAAATGGCTAAAATTGGGAAATCATTAAAATTATTCTGTCCATACAGTATGCGATTTATAAAAACCAACACCACGACCCTTATAAACTCGATTATAATTTATTTTCCTTTTGTTTCCTACCTTTGTGTATGAAACGTTTTAATGATGATGAGAACCCATTACAGGAAAGTGCAAAAGTTGTGGAGGTATTATAATCTTCTCCCACATGTAATCGGTTAATGTTTTTTTTTTTTTTTTTTTTTTTTTTTTCTTCCTTTTGAGACACAGTTGAACATAGACCTATTAAACAGTGTTACGGTTAAGAAGAAAGGGAAAGAACGTACTCATTTTCATTTATCATATTCGGATGATGCGGATGTCTACATTGGTACGTGCAAAATTGAAAAGGTTTTTTTTCTTTGTTATAGTGATGGTGCAATGATGACCCATAATCTCCCACAAGCTATACGCATTTGTGATTTCTTTCATGTGAGCATACTACAGTTCCTGAGCACAATTCCTTTGATACAAAATGGCTTCTTAAAGTGCAGATAAAAAAAAGGAAAAAAAAAAAAAAAGTCATTTAACTAACCATCGACGACTCTTGGGAGAGGGGAGCGGTGTTACATTCATTTCATCCATTTCGACAAAAGTATCATGTTAGAAGAATATATATTTTTATCAACTAAAATCATGAAACAGGTCGAATTGCAACGTCCAGCAAAATTGCGCTACGGAAATATCCCTGCGTTTATATCTATGCGGGGACATACAATGGTGAAAAAAAAAAAAAATTGTCAAAGCGCATGAACGCAAAATAATATGACTACGGGGAAAAAAAAAAAAAAAAAAAAAAAAAAAAAAAAAAAAAAAAAAAAAAAAAAAAAAAAAAAAAAAAAAAAAAAAAAAAAAAAATTTTAAAAATTTTCAATTTTTTTTTTTTTTTTTTTTTTTAGCACAAAGGCATAGATATACATATGCAATTGGATTTCATGTTCGTAAACTTTTCCAAATTTTAAAAGGTTATTATATGTGAATATGTATTGTTTGATAGGTCGCTAGAGTTTTATGCCTTTGGGGATTTTCAACTAGTACTTAGGAATTAGTGTTTTGCTGCGATTAGCACTTTATGATAAGCAATTCACAAGTCGCAATTCACAAGTCGCAATTCACAAGTCGCAATTTACAAGTCGCAATTCACAAGTTGCAATTCACAAGTCGCAATTCACAGTTCATAATTTACAATTTCACAGCTTGTAGTTTTTCGCACCAAAATTGCCCCATTTTTTATTTTTAATTTTAATCATATGACCATGTGCAGCACGGATAAACGAGAATTTAAATTTCTGTTCAGCTCCTAGTGATAATATGTATATATATACATGAACAGGTGCGAACGGCGTTGCAAAAAGGATGCTGAAAAACAGTGTCACTGTGAATGTTAATGTGAAATGATTCTGTGAATTCTTTTTGTCTTAGCAATAAGAATGTTGTTACAGTTTCTGTACTTTTATTGATGCTTTTCATTTTTTGTAATTTTCCTTTTTCCATATATTTCAAATCATTTGAGTATGCAATATAGGGAAACACAAAGGGGATGTAGCACGTGGCAATAAAAAATAATAAAATAAAATAATAAAATAAAATACATATTCAAAATAGCTCCATTCGTGCATGCATTCATAATTACAATTAGAACAGCTTTTCCTACATGTATGATTTTTCCATACCACAGAAGATATACATTTTTAATTGAAGAGTTTATAATTCTTGTCATATCATAACGCTAACAGAGAGAACCCCGTTTAACCCATATAGACTTAACAAAAGCTCTCTCTTTTTTTGGGACTAGTTAAGAGAATTTGGCGAATCAGATATTATATAGTGTAAAATTTGCAAAGAAGAAGCATGAAGAAGTTAAAGCTAATCAGGTAGGACAAAAGAAAAAGAAGCAGAAGCATTTACTCCAATTTGAATTACTAATTTTGAATGGCTAACTTTGAATGACTAACTTTGAATGGCTAACTTTGAATGGCTAACTTTGAATGGCTAACTTTGAATGACTAATTTTGAATGACCAAATCTGAATGACCAAATCTGAATGACCAAATCTGAATGACCAATAATCATCCCTTGAGTTGAGGTATACCTCAGAGAGAATGGGGTTTTGTATTGAGTCCCTATGGGCAAGAATACTTATCAATACAAATATTGTTGGGGAAAAAATAAAACAAGATCAACTTATCTAATTTAAGAATAGACACACGTGGACACATCCATACCTGTACATGCATATGTGGATGTGTATAAGTATAAATGTGTATATGCACATGTCCCTGCAATCATAGACCACAGACATATAACCTTTTCAAACAGAATAAATCGAATGTTCATTCTTACATTCAATCATTGGGAAAAAGAGGAGAAACGAGAAAAAGTATAAAATATGGGATACATTCATTTTCATAACTTCCGAATTTGTATGTACGTCAAATATTGTTGACAGCAGTTTAATGTGTTCATAACTTTTTTTTTTTTTTTTTTTTTTTCTTATATTTTTCATTGTTATTATTATTATTTTTCTTCTCTACATATACATTGTTTATTTGTTTGTTTATTGTTTTATTATTATTTTTTTATTATTATTTATTATTTTTACATTTTACGCTGTTAGTCGTAACAGCTGTGCTTCTTTTGAGTAGTTGTAAAAAGTACACAGAGTTGTTCATACACAAATCACATATGTGTGCATGTATTATACATTCACATAAAGAAGAAGAAGAAGAAACGAAAGGAATCAGTGTGAAATAATAAAAGGATAAGCTTTTATTTTTGATAAACATTCAGATTAGATGAGATATATTAACTAAGTTAAAACTGGGGGGAGGGAAAAAAAATAAAAAAATAAAAAAAAAAATAAAGAAAAGTACGAGAAAAAAAAAAAAAAAATAAGAGGATAATAAATCCTTCTTTCCAAATATTTAAGATTGAGAAAATATGTTCGATCGAAGTTATATTTGGAAAGAAAAAATTAAAATGAAATTAGTAAAATCAAGGCACACAGTGACTGTGCACTTTATTCGGCACACCAGCATATACTTTTCCAGCTCGTAGAAGTGTATTTGTGTGTACGCTTGTACATACTCGAATTGTATCGAAGACGAACAGAAAGAGAGAAGACGTGAAAAAAATTTCCCAGATTTGGCAGATTTGGCAGATTTTGCAGATTTTGCAGATTTTGCAGATTTTGCAGATTTTGCAGATTTGACAGATTTGGCAGATTTTGCAGATTTGGCAGATTTGACAGATTTGACAGATTTGGCAGATTTGACAGATTTGGCAGATTTGACAGATTTTTCGAATTAAACCTATTTTGTAGATTTCTCATTTAAAATTTCCCGACAGCGTCGAATAAAAAACCATGGAAGAAAAGGCATTGCAAACACATATCACAATATTGTTCTACCTGCTCGTCCTTTTTTATTTGAAGAACTTTACCTTTAGCTTTATGGACATGCCAAGGAAGCTGTATAAATACATAAAATTTTATTACTCCTTTTTGATAATCCTTACAATTGTTGGCTTCTTTAGCAGATTGATTGCACTGATTCGATTGTTTATAATTCAACAAGTGCACAGAATTATAAATGGTATTTTTTTAAAAAATAAAACTAGCAATATAAAATGTATTAAAAGAGGGGAAAGACATAGAAAAATTACAAGAAGTGCTACACGACCACCATGGCATGATCTCTTAATTGGAGACATCTGTGAGAGGAATACTTATCATGACATTGTTGAAATGCCATATGGGATAAGTAGTGATATCTCGGTTAATAGTGACGGTGCAGTTAACAGTGATTGTGCCTTAAGTAGCGACGGCGCAGTTAGCAGTGATGGTGCCTTAAGTAGCGACGGTGCAGTTAGCAGTGATGGTGCCTTAAGTAGCGACGGTGCAGTTAGCAGTGATAGTGGAGTTTGCAGTGACGGGGTAGCTAGCCGTGTGATGAGATGCGAAAGCGCTAGAAGTGACTTTCGAAGCAGAAGCAGCAGGTGCTTGAGGAAAATTTTCAGATTCATCCGAATAATTCGCAGTAAAAAGAGAAAAAAGGTAGACTCAGATTGGAACGCAAACTTAAAAAGTGGTGAATCCACTCAGGCAGACGGTGACACTGAGAAAAAAATCAAATTTGAAGTGAATTGCAAGAAGTTGGGTGTGGAGAGTCTAGCGTGGGATCCTAAAACTGTTGCTTCAACTGCTGCTTCGGTTACTTCAACTACCTCTTCAGCTACTGCCTCTAATACTAACGGGTCCCGTTTTAACCGTGTAAATGGAAGTGTGCGCGAGAAAAGTACTAGCAGAAAGGAACACAATTCTTTTGAAGGATCGTCATCAAGTACTTCTGATAATGTCACAACTGGTGAAGGTATGATGAAGCATATAAACAACTACAAGAATAATAACAATAAAGAGATAGAAGGAAAAGGAGAAGAAGACTCAGATATGTGCTTACAGAACTATTTAAAAAAACAGAAATCTTTTAGATTATATGCTTTACTTACAGATATAATTTCCAATACAAAGAATTACTCAATAACTGATGATACATCTGAGATAGATGTGCAAAAAAAAGCACATAAATATGATCATTTTAAACAGGATTTGAACTATTCCCATGAAAATATTCATCACAATGTAAGTATGGGAATTAATAATTCTACCTGTGCACTGTCAGAAAAAATTAAACCAAAATCTATATTAAAAAAAAGTACGCTCATCTCGAAAGGAGATACAGAAAAAAGAAAAAGCGATAAACGTTTGCGCTTCAATTCTGTGGTGGAAACATATTATGTTGAAAAATATAGTGATGAGGATTTGGATGCACACAGTATACAAGTGCTAGATGACAAGAGGTCCGATCTGTACAAAGTGCTGGAAGAGTATAGTATTACAAATTCTGACATTTTTAGTTACTATAATATGCGATACAATTTGAATGAAGTTTTCAATGATATTATTAACTCAGTGTGTGATTATAAGAACAAAATTGTAAAGAAATTTTAACTGCCACGTGTTTTTCTGTACGTCTATGTGGTAGTTAGGTCCAAATAACTGTGCTGTGTTTGTGTTGTGGGAGAAACCCGTGTTATGGGGTTCTGTCATTTGGAACTCTTTTCTGCATTAGAAGCATATATTTTTTTTTTTAAACACGTAAACACGTCTTTTGTTTTATTATATTGATTTTTTTTTTCGCGTGTTTTTTCTCTTTTTGCGTACTTTTCTCATTTTCTATATCCTCCCCTCTCCCCACATATATATATATATATACATGTATATATATTTTTATGGAACTTTTTTTGTTTGAACACACATTTGTACATGTTCTCACATTTTATATGTACCAATTTGTGTGTGTAAAAAAAGAAGACAAAATAAGATAAATTTTTTCCTTTCCCCTTTCTTTTTTTTTACTATCCTAATTTTTAAGAAAACATTTGCATGAAGATGCTATTTTAATTGATGACAAAAAAAAAAAAAAAAAAAAAAATAATCACCCCATTTGGTGCACATATATGTAGTCCTCTATATATAATAATATACACAGTTGTAATTTCCTTTGAACAAAGTGCTAGACCTCACGACGCTGCGTTCTCAAACTTGGGAGAGAAATGTAAAGAAATATAATGCTTTTGTTTTTTTTTACTCTTTTAAATTTTTGCCAATAGCAACTGTAAATAGGGAGAATTATATATTTTTTTGGAAATGTGAATTTCCCCCGGTTTCCTATATATATTCACCGTTACGTATGCTCCTTGTGATGAAAAAACTCGATAGAAGTTATTTTCTATTTTTCTACTTTTCAACATTTTTGATAAGAAATTTTTTTTTTTCTTTTTTTTTTTTTTTTTTTTTTTTTCTATATCAAACGAAATGCTTCTCTCCCATGTGTTACAAACGATTTTTGGTGTACCTGTAAATAAGTTGATGGAGAAGATTGACTATGTGATAAGTTGCTATTTCTATCCTTTTTTTATTCATAATATAATTCCATTCATCGCAATTGTATAAGCAGTTTTGTTTTTTTCCTTTGGATAGCTGAGTTGAAAAGGCACTCCAATTAATTTGTAGGAACGTAACACATTTTTTATTGCTTTATGTTATTGCATTTTATTCAATTCAATCCTATTCAATTCTATTTTTGTATAGAGGGACATGGTAATGCTTGATTCGCTTAAATATATCTTCTTTAAATTGGAACCAAACGAAAATAAATATAGTCGCATGCGCAAGCCAAAGGGTGAAATTCTCTCACCTCTCAGCTTTTCCCATATGTTAAACATAAGAGGACGACAACTCTTATTCCATCTTTTGAGTCAAGACTATAATAGTGAGAACAAATGAAACATTTTTATCGCTTTCTCAAATCATTACGTGAAATATTCTAGAATGGAATACTATATAAAAAAGAAAGTAATATGAAGATGCATCTAAAATGGAAGGAATAAACCAATGTTTGTATATGTGTACATTAAAAATATTAAAAAAAAAATGAAAAAGTATACGCTTTCATCAAATGGACATATAGACACACACACAAGCTCACGAGGACGAAGACGTTTTTCTTTTTTTTTCTTTTTTTCTTCTATTTAAAGAGAAAAAAAATAAAATTAAAAAAAAAAACGACAACCTAGAACGAGCTACAACATTTTCTTAAATTAATTGCGGAAAAAAGTTAAAAAATTTTCTGAACTGTTCAGGCGATTTTAAGAAAAAAAAAAAAAAAAAAAAAAAGATGGCCATTTTAATTGGAAGAATATGTCAATATATATGTCCATATTAATTGATACCCCAATTTAGCACGTTTTTTTTTTTTGTAATAGACTAATCTGTATGATTAATCCTGTCATTCCATTCCTTTATCTTCTCCTATGCTTATGAACATGATTATTAGAAATATCAAATTATGCTCATTCAAGGTACGTCGATATGATGATTTCCAAGGAATAGTAAGAAGGTATAATTTTTCCCTCATAAAAAATGTAGATGAGTTGAAAAAAGCTATTTTTAATTATTTCCATTCATCGAACAACTTGGTTGAAAGGAGAAAGGAGCATGAAAAAAAAATAAAAAACATTTTTGAAGAATACCTGGGTGGGTATCCAAACGAAGATCAAATGATACATCTTTGCATGCCCTCCGGTGAAGAAAGCATATTAGACGAAAAATTGCGAGACATGAAACAACATGCACAGGATAGGCGAAAGAGTGATCACATGATTGGCCATGAGAATTGCAGTGCGAGTGGAGAAGGGAATAACGGCGCACATGTTGATAAGAACAAATTTGGAGTGATGAAAAAAAAGCAGGTGGAAGACTTTGCACAAAGAACTGAGCTTCTGAGAATTTTATGCACGTGTGGCATTCGAGTATCACCAAAAATTTTGCTATATTACACATCAGAAGCAGTAGTAAATCTTAGAACCCGCTTGGAAAAGCACATGAATGACATTATTAAATATGAGGAAGTAACAGAGTTAGAAAAATATGAACGTGTTAATAACTATTACTACGATAGGGAGAAGGTAAATGTTTCATTTATACACATGTACAAATCGTTAGCTAATACTCTATACAGTATCTGTGAAAACACAATTGAACCGAATGAATCATATGAATCTATGAAAGAAGAAATTGTGCTAAATTATCTGAATCTAGATGATATTGTGAGAAAAGCACCGGCTTTTCTAAATATTAGCATCCTCCTTTTTTTAGTCAATTCTTACATCTGGATGGGTAAAAATACAAAAATGAAAAACTTATGTATTGACATTATGAACCCATATATAAATTCTATATCGGATGATGAAATGAATATATCTACTGACGATAAACATTACTTAATTCTAGCGCTACGCCTCTATTTCACCAGCTTTTTATATAGTACTGATATATTAAACCAGTTAACCAGCTATAACAAGAGATTCATCTCATCAATTTTACTCGTACCTAACCATTTGGAGATGTCAAACACAGAACAAGATGAAAAATATTTGTACATAACACAGTTCCTTAACAGACATGACAGAAAGGTAGAGTTGAAAAAAGTATATATTTCTCCATTTTTTTATTCCCTGTCTTCTTTGAAAAACCGTGTAATCTACATTATGGAATCACACGACCATTACTACACCAATGAAAGGGACACTCTGCGAAGCTTCGTCCTTTGGAGGTAACACCAGAGCGTTGTGCATCTGTTTTGAGTCTCTATTGAGACAGTTTTGCGTCTCTTTTGAGCCCGCTTTGAATCTGCCTCCGTTCGCGCTTCTACCTGCACCGTCAGGTGAACCAGATCCCCAATTGATCCCAGAGTGAACAAATTCTTTATGACGAATCAATTTTGATCCCTATTTCAGACATTACATCTGTGCTAAGGAAGGTTTCAAGATGGTACGTCTATGTCAACGAGATGAGTATGTTGATTTGTTTACAGAAAAGAAGAGAGATCAAATTTTACATGACCAAGTGAATAAAGATGTTTATGTTTATGATTGTGATGAGATAATTCGGTCAAATGTTCAGAAACACGGAAAGGGTAAAAATTTAGATTAGCTAGAGGTGCAAGAAAAAAGCTAAGAATTTATTTATTTCATGTATATCCTACAAATTCGGACGTTTATGTATTTTGTGGATGGTTTGTCTCTTCAGCGATGCAGTAAATTGTGGAGAAATTGTGGGGAAATTGTGGGGAAATTGCAGAGCATTTGTCTGCTCCTTCCCTCCCTTTCGAACAAGTTGGCATATAATGCATCTCAAAATAATTACTTCTTTTGACAAAATGGAAATTAGTTTCCCCCACACACACTCACGCCCACACATCGCATCCACTTCATCTTCATTGTTCTCTGTCGAGTATGTAGCAATGGATGGGATGATGGTTGACGTGGATCCTAGTGTCAAATGTTCAATTTTGTAATATTTCGTTTTTTTTTTTTTTTTTTTTGCAAATACAATTTGAGTTATGTCAACACGCAGCATATGAGAAATAAACAGATGCACAATGTGGTATACATTATCTTACATTAATTTTTCTTAGTGATGGTGTTTCCCACTGTTCCATGTGCAATTGAATAAAGGAAAGTGAACCTGACATGGTGTATGCATGCCGTATGCCTTTAACAAAAAGGAGGAGGGCGAAAAAACTGTATGTACAAACAGAATTACAGAACATACCAGATCATGCACAATAGTCAAGCTGTATCCATCAATCTAGAAGATTTTTCAAACGTTTTTCAAACGTTTTTCACTCGTTTCATGTTAATAGCTTTGTTTTGTATCGTTCGAAATGATGACATCTTGGTTATGCATTCCTACTCTTCTGTCCGCGAGTGGTGGTGGTGGTGGTGGGCCGTTCTTGTGAAGTGGCCAAGGAAAAAGATAAAAAAAAAAAAAATGAACATATCTTACATAACTTGGCAGAAACAGAAATCCTCATTTTTTTTTTTTTTTTTTTTTTTTTTTTTGTTCTTGTTAGTGTAAATATAACGACATATCATGTTGTGATGTTTAAACAAAGCACTGGGAGGAGCAAACATATATATGTGCATGCACACATGTATACATAAATATGCATGGACCGATGACTAAGGGAGGAGACACTCCTTATCCTGGGCGGAGGGGTTGGGGGTGGAGGATCCCTCATCGCAAGAGGGAACTATGTATAAATGTGTTTTAAATCCACAGGTATGATATACATTAAGTATTGTACCAATAATATGTATATCAAAAAAAAAAAAAAAAAAAAAAAAAAAAAAAAAAAAAATGCATTCATTTTATTATATTTACCTCGTTTTACCAGTTACAACTTTTTAACATTCTGAGTAATGAAGAGAGAGAAATGCCACACGATATCACATCCGGAATTGAAGAATCATAACTGCAATCGTAGCTGCTATAATTGTTACTTCTATCGTGCATATATTTGTATTGCAATATATTCCGTTATTTTTCTTCCTTCTTTTTCTTATTATATATATATATATATTTTTTTTTTCCATATTGTTTTTTTTTTTTTTTTTTTTTTTTTTTTTTTTTTTTTTTTTTTTTTTTTTTTTTCTTTCCCATTTTATATCTTCTCCGTTTCCTGCTCTTTTTGCTTCTCCTTTTCTTCCCCCTTATTGTTTCTCCTTTTCCGTTTCTTCCTTTCTTTTAACGTAAATTTTAATTTCCATTTAAGAAGGCATTCCATGTTTATCTCAGTTTGAAGGCTTTCATTTTACCATTTTTTCAACGTATGTTAGAGAATTCACATTGTGCCTCTTTCTTCCCGGTTTTTGGTGTGCAAAAGCTTCGCGCATCTGTATGGGTCGCTTATATGTAATTGTGCATACAAGTATACATGTACATGTACATGTACATGTACATGTAATATGTTACTTTTTTTTTTTGTTTTTTTTCTGCATTGAATTGTGTTCACCCATCTATGTATGTGACAACTGTAAATCTTTACTTTAAACTTGGTGTATGAAACACATCTTGAGTTGGAGAAGAGATATATAACTTACACGGATGTAAAACACATATAATATGTTCCTACTGTCATCCACGTATGCATGAGTGCATAGTTACGTGTATGCTTTACTCCCTTATGAAGAATAAAACTTGTTTTCTGTAACCAGATTATCACCCCATTCCTGATTTTCCTGCTACAGAAAAAAAAGAGAAAAAAAAAAAAAAAACGATGAATTACAACAATAGCTATGTTGATAACAACATACATGACAGAAGAAAAGTGAACAATGCAAAAGGGAAGGAAAAAGAGTCTTGGAATAGTATGAATTATGTGAAGAATAATTCAATGAATGTAACAACGAGACCAAGTACAGAAAACATGATGGGGTATAGAGGATACACAGATGTATCGACAAACGAGAATGGCATGGAAAACACGGGTTCAGATAGAGCATTGGGAGTTGGCAGAAATATACATATAAATCCAATATATGATCAGGGGAATAATAATATACATGCAGAAAACACAAAGATGAGTGGCAGTATGAGTGGCAATCTGAAAAGCAGCAACAAGTTTGGTAATAACTTTATTAATCCAAATGATAGGAACAATGCCAATGTTCCAAGTGCAATATCTTCCAATTATGTCGGTGCACATCCGACTTGGAGTGGTAGGAGGGAAGGTGCTTTTATGAACACGGGGGAAGGAAATGCTCACTATGCCTTCAATGAAAGAAACTCCAATTATGTCATTGGTGGTTTTCATCATGGAGGTAAGGAGACCAAGTACAATAGTGGTGGCATCTCAAGTATGGATCCCACTTTCCACATCAATAACAACACATTGAGTCAAGAGAATCGACAAGATCTAGTTTATGCACAACATGGCATTACAAATAAAGAAATGAGCGTACTAGACAATCGTTTAAATTTTACGAATAATAATTTGTATAATCAGCACGATATGAACAACAGGATGGTTATTCCAAATCAGCCATTTAAATCTGAAAATAATGGAATGGTTAACAGTAGCAACAGTGCTAGCAGTAGAAATTTTATGCAGACACAGATATGGGGAAATATAGCAGAAGCGATTAGTGGGATCGATGGGTACAGTGCTACGGGTTCGACAGAAGTGGGGAAGGAAGGCAAGGAAACCAAAGAAGCAAACAAGGGAAAAGGAATAATACATAATATATTTGAAAGTCTCACAAGTAATGCAGAAACAAACGATGAAATAAATAAGTTGGTTAAACAAAGAGTTACTAATCTAGTGATGAACGAAATAGGAAAAAAGATAGAAACACATGATTCAAGTTTTATTGGAAATAAATTGCAATTACTTAGAGGATACTTCGATGTCACACATTCTTACGTAGTTAATAAAATTTTTTTTATCCTTTTCCCATATATGTACATACGTAAAGCTTTGTGTGAATCTAGAACATATTATGTGTATAGTCACTTGGAAAGAAAGATGAGTAGTGCAAATCATGGAGAGAATTGCATGTCTCCCTTTTCTCTTAACCATACGAGTAACATACAATCCTTCGCACATGGCCATCAAAATATGAATAACATGATGAAAGGAGTGCAACAAGCTCAACCTTTTATGCAAAATAAAAATTTATTTTTCGATTCGGCTCGTGGAGGAGCAGCAGGACCCGGTGGATTTCACACTGGAAATATGAGAACGGAAGGATTGAGTGGAAATATAGAAACGCACGGAGTGAGTGGAAATATGGGAACGCGCGGAGTGAGTGGAAATATGGAAACACATGGATTTAGTGGAAATATGGGAACGCACGGAGTGAGTGGAAATATGGGAACGAGCGATCAGAGTGGAACCATCGGAAGGAACAACTCTAATGATATTAATTATGTGAATTATAACAACAACATGGGAATATTCAAAGCAGATTTATACATACCACTTATGTCAAGTATTACGTATATTCTTCTATACACATTGACTATTACAGCACAGAAAAATAACTTTGTATTCAAGCCAGATAACCTTTTTAACATATCTTCGTATGTTTTTCTATTGTTATTTTTTGAAACAGTAATCATTAAATTTTGTTTTCTGTTAACATGTCGAGATATTAACCTTTCTTTTCTCCACATTTTATCGTTTATCTCATATAAGTTTGTAATTATGTGTGCCTTAATCATTACAAAATTTTTGTTTTATTTATTGTACCTTATGTACACATCTGTCTATGGAGATCCAGAGAATATCCTAGAAAAACAAGATTTAAATAAGAAAATTGTAATGAACAACAATTCACATAATATATTCAAAAGTATGAGTCCAACATTTTCCTCTAATTTTACCCCATACAATATCATTCTGTTTTTAAATGGTCGTACAATGTATAGGTTGACTCAGATGTACTTCTACCCAACAGTGAGTATTCAGATGATTCAGCTTTTCAAATCAATTCATTTGTATGTTCATGACAATTCCAGCTTGTCCAATCATTTAAACATTAAGCGAATTAATATTTTGATCCTTATTTTTTCCCTTTTACAAATTTTTTTGTGTTGGATTTTGACCCCCTATTTTGCCTGAACAAAAAAAACAATCGCTGTTGCAGGGAGAGAAGCTCACCAATTCCTCGGTGCATCCATGGCTTCTTTGAATTGCCCTACATATGTATGTATGTTTGTGTGTGTGTAAATATAAAAATGGATAATACAAATTAGTAATTAAACAACAAAAGAACTGTGGAACAGAATCCGGTCTTAAGTTCCACTCGATTGAAATGCAGCATTTTTTTTTTTTTTTTTTTTCGTGCCATATCAACCATTTGCAATCCCATTTCTCCAAACCCAGCTCTTATGAAGAAATGAAGGGGAGTACAGAAGATAACATGTAGTGACTCGCAATACTTATGCTGGTTGGGGAGAGAGGAATCATGGGTGATTGCCATCACCAAGCAAATTTGCGTGTAGGGAGTATCGAGCCTTTGGAAAAAACGTCTCCACATTTATGTTTAAGCGTTTTATACATATATGAACAGACCACATATACATGTATGCTGATTTTATTTTCTATGTTTTACATATAGTTCGTTTTTTCTGCATACATTATATTAAGAGATCTGCTTTTTTCCTTTTTTTCGCCACTTGGATTTTTACCCACAGTATCTGTCTGGAGCCTTATTCATCTTGACCGTACTTTTCTTATCTTGTCCCATATACCCCTTTTTTATTTTTATAAAACAGAAAAGTTTTATTCAATTTTTTTTTTTATTTATTAGTACCTTTTTTTATGTGTACCATTTTGATCTTTTTTTTTTTTTTTTTTTTTTTTTAATTCATATTTTTTAAAACAATAACTTTTTTGTTTATACCAAAATTTATTTGTAAAAAATATTTGCACCTTGAAAGTTTGGTACACTCATTGGATTAGATATGCTTCTTCATTCTTTCATTCATCAAGGCAGTATGAGGGGGGAGAAATATGAAACCAAAATTTTTTTACACTTTAGGTTTTTGCCTGAACAAGGTCAGGTAAAATTGGGAATGAACTCTCGCATTATTTGTGTGCAGAGACGTTGTATCGAATACTTTAAAATTTAAACTTAGCACAATGGTTTGTGTTGAAATTTGTCATGTTCCTAGGCAATTCGTCGGGGAATGCAGAACAAATTTCACACGTGTGCGGATATGAAGCATATTCGCAAGTGTACCAATGAGTGTTATTTTATGCGAGTATCCATATTCAAGCAACTGTATGCGAGTATCCATATTCAAGCAACTGTATGCGTGTGTTTATCTACGTAAGTTAATTTTTTTTAAATACGCAAATGGGGGAGAGAAATTTCACGACGACATTCAACTGAGTCCGTTTTTTCGAACCAATGAGTCACCTCTCTCATCATATCCCTTCTTAGGAGAAGCACAAATGAAGAAATGCGTGTCGTGGGAATTTTCCATTTAAGAGTGGCAGTGTGTGTGTCTTATTTTGCACACTGGGTGTGGGGGATAGCGCTTTCGTTTTTTTTTATTTTTTTATTTATTCATTAATTTATTTATTTTATTTATTTATTTATTTATTTTTTTTATTTATTCATTTATTTATTTTTTTTATTTATTCATTTATTTATTTTTTTTATTTATTCATTTATTTATTTTTTTTATTTTTTTTTTTTTTGGTGCACCTTAACATTGCACTTGTGCATTTAGCCCCCTTCCTCTCCCTAATTAATGACTTATGCTAAGGTGCTTTTTTTTTTTTTTTTTTTTTTTTTTTTTTTTTTTTTTTATTTTCCACTTTTACAAAAACGTTTTTTCCCCATATTTTTCGCTAACGGCAAGTGCACTTATTTGCTGATTCATTTATACGTGTATTCATTTATTTGCTTATTCATCTGTTCGCAGATTCATTTGTTTATTCACTTTTGTGTTTTCTCTCCATTCTGTTTTAATTAAAAATGCACAAAAAGGGTGATAATGCATTATTACAGTTTATCTCGCCACTTTCTTCTCCTCTCCTCTCTTCTGTTTTTTTTTTTTTTTTTTTTTTTTTTCCCTCCCCTCATTTACGGAGTTTTGAATTATTAATCAGACGAGAAGACGTGCAGGATCAATGACTTGGAGGGATTGTCACTAGGGAGGCAAATGAAAAGTAGTAGGGTTTTTTTGTTAACGGGTAGCTATGAGTAAAATATTTATATAGACTTATTCTCGAAGATGAGAATCATTTCGATAATTTTATCCTTGTTGCTTTTATTCTTTATAAACTTATTTTTTGTAAAGTCGAGATACAAAAATGATGAAAGTTATAACATTCCGCTGAATGTGTTATTCAGTAAGGGAAAACACATACGAAAGAGATTATGTAATGAATGTTTTTACAAAAATGAAATAAATTTGATATACAATAGTTGTAGGGCTTTGGAAAATGTCAATTATCATAACATTAACAAAAATAAAATTTTTTATTTTATAAAAGAGTCTCCTAAAATGTTCAAGAGATATATTAACTTAAAATCAACGTATAAAATTTCTCAAGTTTTATCAGTACATTTTTTAAAAAATTTCTTTTCCCAAAAAGCATCTTCACTCTTTAATGGAGTATATTTCTTAGAAGGCACATATTTGAAGGATAATATTTTACGTGGTTTAGTTGGATTTTTCGGAACGCTCGTTCTTCGCTTTTTAGGTAAAATGTTTTTTTTCCCTTACACCCTCTCTATATCTCTATCTCAGCCTCAGCCTCAGCCTCAGCCTCAGTCTCATTCTCAGTCTCTGTGCTTGTATTAATTCCTCGTAAAAAATACAATTATTATACACATTGCAATGTTCATTTTTTTTTTTTTTCCCCCATTATGTGCTCCATAGTTGTATACATAATTCAGTTGATCTCATCCTTCCTTATGTTCCATTATGTGAATATTGTTTCTCAAAAGACACAAGCATATATTGTAGAAGTAAGTGGATCTAACTACGTGTCTAGAGTGATTGGGTTCTTTCAGTTGAATTTTATTAATTATTATATAAATGTCTTCAGTGAGGTCGTTCAGGCAATTCTCATAAAAATATTGTTTAATCAGTATGAAGGGCATCTAGTAAAGACAATTATTTACAATAGTTCAGATTATTACATAAATACAAAGTTGAAAAACAAATATGAAATTCTATATCAGTGTACTAAGAAGTTTGTCTTGACACGAATTAACAAGTTAAGTATGTTCACGTTCAATTACCTCCGCTACTTTGCCCTCACCAACTTATTCTTCAAGCTTTGGGGAGGCACGTAAGTTTGCATCTGTGTCTGTCTGTCCGTACGTATGTTTGCTTGCTTGTCTGTCCGTACGTATGTATGTATGTATGTTTGCTTGCTTGCTTGTTTGTCTTCCTGCTTGCATTGTCGAACCCATATCAAAACCCCAATCTCTGCAACCGTGCAGGTATAACAAGTTCTCCCCCAGTGACGTGAAAATGCCTGGAGTGTACTCGAACCCTAAGAAGAGCCTGAACAAAGACATGAAATATGCGACAAAAAAAGAAATAGAAGTTTTACGAGAAATATGTAAAGAGACAGGTTGTCACACATGTGGTGTTACGTGTCATGAACGATTCATAGGAGATCATCAGCCACCTGTGCAAGTGATAAAAGACATGATTGAGTACTACAAGAAGAGAAAATTTCTGAGAACAATATTGAAAATTTTTAAATTGTACGATACAAAACAGCGTTTATATCCACAGTGTGTTAGATGTTCACAGTTACAAGCTGCTTCTGTTAGATGTAAGAAATTAAGACTGATTCCACATTATAATACTATTAGGGCTTTTCATTTTTCTTCCATTTTTCATTTGGCACTCAAGATGCTTTTACTAACGCAATGGCATAAAATTGTCTTCTGGGATGGTGATAATGTGTGGTAAATAAAATATATATATATATATATATATATATGGCCATATGAATTTTTTTTTTTTTTTTTTTTTTTTTTGTAAAACCAAATTTTGGAGGACCTTTTGGTTAACGAAGTTTTTTAACTTAAGTCTTTCATATGAAACTAAATTATCTGTAGTACAAACTGAATCGTTGTTATTATATAAACGAAAGAAAAAAATAGTTGAACAGAGTTCTTCTTCCTCTATAGTGGATCCTCGCGAGTACATTTTGGCATTTCTCATGTGAGGTACGCGCGGGCTGAATAGTTCTCCTTTTTTTTTTTTTTTTTTTTTTTTTATTATAACATTTTACTGTACCTCGCGACCGTTCTATACTTCTCTACTGATAACAGCATCCATAGCTTTATTAATACATTTTAAATTTCTCAATTTGTCTTCTCCATCTTTGAAACAATTTGACACGAGTTTACGTGTATAACAGCACACGTGATTCTACACCATGCACTGTGGCATTTAAACTTTATACACAAATGCTTGCCAGAGCTTCATTCAAATATATCCCAAGCTTTTTTTTTTTTTTGGCAATTTGGCCAATTTGGAAACCGAGATATGTGATTGTGTAGCACATTAGGTTCTTTAGTTATTCCAGTTTAGCTATTTTTATGCACTCATATGTATGTGTATATCTATATATATATAGGTTTTTTTTTTTTTTTCGTTCTTTTCTTCCCCTTTACATTATTCATCTCGTGCGGATGCTCCTCCTTAGATGCATGTCTTTATTTAACCGCACCACGTGAGCAGCAAGTTGCATTTCTGCAAACATTGCCATTATAGAATACGCATCTTTCCTACTTGTATGATCGATTAAACGTATGTACATTGATCCATGGCCAAAAAAAGAAGAAAATCCCATACAAATGTTTTTATCATAGAATGATTGATAAAGGTTCATGTGAAAAATACTTTAGTATAACACCACAGTGGAAACATACACTTCTCACAAGTGTATGTAACGATTTCTTCGAATAACATATAGTGAGGTATACAAGTTCATGAACTTGCAAACATGGCACCTCAAAAGTCGTTGTTCATTCTTTTTTTTATGAAACATTTGTATATTACGATTGGATGAGCATTCCACACACGGGTTCTCATTCATGAAAAAACGGATGAGTCCGAAGTGTTCTACCCATTTCATCCTCCTCCTCCTCATCATCATAATGTGTGCGAAGAAGTGAAAATTGTTACGAGGGACTTCCTAACAGCACAGAGACGGATATAATTTTTTTTTTTTTTTCTTTTTTAAAACACAACCAAAAGGAAAATAAATATAATAAAATTTGCACCTTGGAGAGTGTGTGTGTGTGTGGGTGGGTGGGGGCTTTCCCATTTGGTCTCTCTTAAACTCGTGGAGAAAAAATTTGAACAAGGTGATTTTTTTTTTTTTTTTTTTGCAAAAATTTGCTGGTTCAGTTGTTCCTATATGGGTAATTTCATTTGTCTCACGTATGTATGTATGCGTGTAAGTAATCGTGTGTGCATGTAAGCATGTGCATGCATATTTTAGTCGCTCTTCCAATTGCTGTGCTTGTGCTAGTTTTCATTTTCAGAGACGATGATCGGATGCACCCTTGGCTCTACCTCCGCTTAGACAAAGGTGTGCGAAGAAAATTTCATACACGAATTCCAGAAGTGGCCTCTTTATACACATTTTTTACAAACACTTGCGTTTTCTTCTTTTTTCTTCATTTTGTTTAACCTTGTATTTTTCAGTGCATTCCCCACCCCTTAAAAGCATAGCCACTCGATTTCTCTCAGAGGTGGCATAAAACAAGTTTGTGGTTTCAAGCAACCGTGAGAAGTAGGACGAGATAAATAAAAGTGACGTTTCTGTTCGTTCACTCCTATGAAATGTTGTTTAAGGAAAATGCGTTTCCCAGTGAGGTGCAAAATGGAGAAAAATAAAAAAATAAAAGTATTAACAAGTAAAAGAATAAAGAAATAAAAGAATAAAGAAATAAAAGAATAAAGAATAGAGAAATAAAAGAATAAAGAATAGAGAAATAAAAGAATAAAGAAATAAAAGAATAAAGAAATAAAAGAATAAAGAAATAAAAGAATAAAGAAATAAAGAATAAAGAAATAAAAGAATTAACAAAAAAAAAAGGCGAAAGCGCGTGTTTTTTGCGCGCTCTTGATATTTCTGCTCTTGTTTTATTTCATACCATAAACTCTCATATTCACACATTTCTGTATGTACACATGCATGTATGTAAATAAAACTTGTGGAGATGTGGTTCCCAGGAATTTTTGTGACTCGTCCTTTTCCTGGTCGTGATTTCATTTAATTTACTTCACTTTTTTTGGCATATTTTTTTGGCATATTTTTTTGGAACATTTTTTTGGAACATTTTTTTGGCACATTTTTTTGGAACATTTTTTTGGAATATTTTTTTGGCACATTTTTTTGGAACATTTTTTTGGAATATTTTTTTGGAATATTTTTTTGGAATATTTTTTTGGAATATTTTTTTGGAATATTTTTTTGGAATATTTTTTTGGAATATTTTTATCGCTGTGCCACATGAAACAACAAAGTAACCCAAAGATGCTAAGATTTCATAACACGACAGAATATAAGCTGCTTGTGCAGAAATGAGTTGAAATAGAGCAGTTCCGTTTTGATATCTCGCTCTTTCCTCTCTTGAGTTCGAGGAACACACACACGCTGGGGGTAGCAGAACTTGAATTTACGTATCAGTGGTGACTCTCCCGTGGATTTTATTTTTGTTTGCAGAGATGCACACCTGAGTGTGTGCACAATAAAATTAAAACAGTTCTAAGCGTTATCATAAATATATATGCAAGCGGTGCAATTTCCACCCATTCAGAACCACGTAATTATGAGGAAAATATTGAACTCAAACAAATTATTGAAGGAAAATGGAAATCTTATAAAGAGAAGGATACACACAGGCTGGTCACCCAATAATGATAATTTCAATCCAAGTATGGCATCATATATAGAAGGAGTATACAGAATATGGAGACAAGATAGGTTAAAAAAAAAAAAAAAAAAAAACTTCTCCGTTAGAAAAATGCAATTGTAGAGGCTGTAAAAGACGCAATTGTGTGAGTGTGTTTATATATGTATATATATATATATATATATATATATATATATATATATATATATATATATATATATATATATATGATGATACTGTAGCGATAAAATATTCGTTCTTTTCATGTGGATTTATTTTTTCTTTTTCCTTTTTTTTGCACCTCTCCAGGAATTCTCTCCATAAATCATGGGACGTGTACTTCGAAGAAATGTCAGACAACGGAGGGTTGTACATGAAAAGGTCAGCAGAAATTATGCACATGATGAAAGAAGGAAAGGCTGAGAGAAAGAGTAGAATGGAAGGAACGCATGCCATGGAGAAAAAGCACAATGGTAAAGACTTACGAATTACATATGTTAATAAAGAAATGTTAGATAAGGGAAGAGGAGGAAATATTTACGACATTGCACGTATAGTTCAACTTATTCGATGGTATCAAAAGAAAGGGCATCTTTATGCAAAGATAAATCCACTACCTTTGCCAAATATGGCACCTTACAGTAGTGTAGTGAACGAAAATGATAAGAAGAAAATGTATTATACAGATTTTGGGTTCACAGAAGATGACTTAGATGCAGAATTTTCTTTGGATTTACCTTCAATAACTGGTTTTTGTAGAAATGGAGAGAAAAAAAAAAGTACACTGAGAAGTTTAATTGATAGATTAGAAGAGACATACTGTGGAACTATTGGATTTGAATATATGCATATAACAGACGAGAATGTTGTTAATTATATAGTGAAGAGAATAGAACAGGATCGAAAATTTCAATATGACAATCGAATGAAGAGAAAGATATTAGAAAACACTGCTAGAGCTTTCATATTTGAAAATTACATGGCAGCAAAATTTGCAACCACGAAAAGATTTGGAATTGATGGATGTGAAACACTTATCACAGGAATGAAAGCACTAATTGCACGTGCAGCAATGTTACATATTGATAGTGTTCTGATGAGTATGTCTCATAGAGGGAGGTTAAATGTTCTTTTTAATGTTTTACATAAGCCATTAGAAAACATGATGTCAGAATTTAGAGGGAAAACTGGATTTACTGATAATGTTTGGGGTAATACAGGAGATGTAAAATATCACTTAGGTGTTGAGATTGATCATTTTGATAAAGAATCGAATAGATATATTCACATGGGAATTGTAGACAATTCTTCACATTTAGAATCTGTAGATCCTATATTGATGGGTCAAGCTAGAGCACAACAATATTATTGTAACGATATAGAAAAGAAAAAAGTCCTTCCTATTACAATACATGGAGATGCATCTATAGCTGGACAAGGAATTGCTTATGAAACTTTTCAAATGTCTAAATTGCCAAGTTATAATGTTGGTGGAACTATACACATTGTTGTGAATAATCAAATTGGATTCACAACATACCCAGTAGATGCAAGATCTGGAAAATATTGCACTGACATAGCCAAATGTATTGACATTCCAATCATTCATGTGAATGCAGATGATCCAGAAGCAGTAACCTATGTATTCGAATTGACATTAGATATAAGAAATAAATTTCACATAGACACAATTATTGATATTGTTGGTTATAGACGTTATGGGCATAATGAGTTAGATATGCCAAAATTTACGAACCCACTTTTGTATGATATAATAGCTAGACATGAATCCGTTTTGGATCTATACAGTAAAAAGCTAATCAATGAAAAGGTAATTACACTTGATGAATTTGAAAAAAACAAAACAAGTATTTATAATTTATACGAAGAAGTATATGAAAAATCGAAATCATTTATTCCTTCTCCTAAAGATAAATATCTACCACAATGGGAACATATGGTTACTCCTCAAAAATTTTCTCCATCTAGAAAAACAGGTGTTGAAAAAAAAGTTCTACTTGATTTGGGAAAGCAAATATTCACATTAAGAGATAATTTCCATGCACATCCGATTATAACAAAATTGTTTAAAAGTCGTTTAGACAGTTTAGATACAGGGAAGAACATAGATTTTGGAACAGCTGAATTGTTAGCATATGCAACTCTCTTATCTGATGGATTCCATGCAAGATTAAGTGGGCAAGATTCACAGAGAGGTACATTTTCTCATAGACATGCAGTTCTTCATGATCAAGTTACTTACGAGTCGTACAACATTTTCGATTCTTTAAAAACACCTCATAGTATAGAAGTAAATAATTCACTTCTATCTGAATATGCAGCATTAGGGTTCGAAATTGGATACAGTTATGAACATCCAGATGCACTAGTTGTATGGGAAGCTCAATTTGGAGATTTTGCAAATGGTGCACAAGTTATGATAGATAATTACATAGCTTCTGGAGAAACAAAATGGAACAAGCAATCAGGAATTGTTATGTTTCTACCTCATGGTTATGATGGTCAAGGGCCAGAACATTCCTCTGCTCGTATTGAACGGTTTTTACAACTTTGTGATGATAGAGAAGATATAGCAACATATTCAGTGGAAAAAGATAAAACGATTATTCAACAACATAATATGCAAGTTATTAATTGTACTAAACCATCGAATCTTTTTCATGCACTTAGACGACAGATGCATCGATCATTTAGAAAACCTTTAATTGCTATTACTCCAAAAAAAATGTTAAAAATGAGAATGGCTTTTGATGTTATTGAAAATTTTCTTACATCTACCGAATTTAGGCCATATTTGCCTGAACAGCAAGGTCATAAATTAAATCCAAAGGAAGAAATTAAAAGAATTATCTTATGTTCTGGGCAAGTCTACTATGATTTATTAAATTATAGAGACACTAATAAGATCAAAAATGTTGCTATTTCTACCATAGAACAGTTATCACCTTTCCCTTTTAAGCAATTTATGAATGATTTACAAACTTATCCAAATTTGAGGGATGTTATTTGGGTTCAAGAAGAACATATGAACATGGGTCCTTGGTTTTACGTATCTCGTCGAATAGAAGCTGCCATCAAACAGTTAAAAACAGACAACACAAAATGGAATATTGAGATACCTCAGGTTAACTACTCCGGAAGGGATGTGTACGCTGCACAATCTGCTGGTGATCTAAATTTGCATCTCTATCAGCTAGACGAGTTCTTGCTTGATGCCTTTGATTTGTCCAAAAGTCACAACATGCATGCGCATAAGTATACTTCTCTCCTTCCTTAGGGAGAGTAACAGCTATCCAGGACGAGGAGCTCTGTCCCTGTGCGATTATCACACCCCAAGGAGATAGAAAATGCCCCTCAATAGTTATATTAAGCATGACAAAGTGCATGCCCATGTGAAAAGAAAGACATATAACATTTTTTGCAAGTGTCTCTATAATTGTGGATTGGAGGAGAGGAGGGGGCTACATATATTCTCTCATTTATATAGATCATATATCTTGCACTTTTACGTATATTTTTTTTTTTTTTTTTCAAAAACTTTCAACACATGTAAGGGAAAATAAATTAAGAAAAATACACCATAACTGCAAAGTGGATGAGTTTGTACTTTCACATATTTACCTTCGTCCAATTTGAAAATGCTAAAAAAAAAGAATGAAAAATATATGAACGTTACAAATTGGTTATTCGTATGGCTAGAAAAATTTCCTTCTTCCCCTTCGTCTGCTTCTTCCCCTTCGTCTGCTTCTTCCCCTTTGGGAAGCTTCCAAACTGGTAGGGTCAGAGATTCTTGACGAGAGACCATCCCAACCAGACTCAAGCGACATCCGATGTCTTGGTGATTATGCCCTTTTTCAAAAAAAACTTCAACATAAACTTGGAATAAATATCTAATGGTATTCCTCTACCATGGGTATGTTCACGGCGTGGTGAATTCTGATGAGTGCAACATAGAAACACAAGTTTGAATGATTCAGAAAAACTTTTAATTCGGTCGTTATGGATGGCCTTTAACCTGTCTGCATAGGAATTGTACCCCCACTCGCAAAAATAGAGTCTAACCTTTTTGTTAAATCTAGTATCATTGTTTAATGCATTGAGGTCTTCATATTTCTGATCTATTATATGAATTTGGACATCATCTTTTTGATGGTACTGACTAATAATGAAATTAATCATGTCACATTTTTCCTTAAGTATGTTCATGTAATAACTATGCGTAACAAAGTTGTAATCATTTTTTTTTGTTTTCTCTCTATATTTTAAGTAATTCAGATCGATGTTGTACTCGTCGTGTAGATAATCATCTGGGAGGAGCTGTTGTTCCTCCTCTGATTGGGATGTTCTGCTTAGATCATCTTCACGTCCAGTTCGAGAGAAGTAAGGTGACTTGAAAAGCCTCTTCAAATTAGACACAATTGTGTTAGACTTCTTCTCATAAGTAGGGTTATCCCGATTTTGTAAGAAATCTTTTCCAAATATTCTCAATAATTGCTGATCTTCTTTTCGAACAAATTCCACCCCATACAATTTCAATGTGTAATCGATAAAATCTGTATTTTCAACAGTAGAAATGATATATATTGGTTTTTTAAAAACATTTATGTTGTGGTTAATCAAATCAACTGCACAGAAATTAAAAGTTTCATGATTTTTTCTTTCTTGTTCATTTAATTCTTTAAAAGCATATCTATATTTCATAAGATTCACATATGCATTGTTTTCATTTTCCATCAATAATTTTCTTATTTTTTCAAATTCTGATTGAATATCCTTTGGATTTACTCTATACCTTTCATACAATTTCAGATTCATTTTTTTTTTGTAAAAATCCTCAAAATCATTTTGAAAACTTGGAAAAATGTTTGGAAAATTTTCTATTCTTTTATATTTCATAATAATTGATGGGTTGAAGGTTCCCTCCGTTAGTTCCTTAACAAGTTCGTAAATGTTTAAATGTGTCTCATTGTCTGGCTCTTTTCCCTCCTCCTGGAGATGTGCTGTGCCATGAGTTTTTTTCCAGAGCTCTTCTTTGGGTCCCTCGTCGTCCTTACCATTTCGTCCACTTCCATATTGTTCATTTTTTTCTCTACTATTTCTCATCTGAGTAACACTGTTACTAATACTTTGGAGCTTTGCTTGCATAATATTCTTATTTTTACAAATTCGAATCATCTGATTAATGTCGTAGTTATATTTGGTGCATATAGCGTCTATTTCATCATAGATGTATTTAATTGAAATTACTAAATCTTCGTTATTCTTTAAGTATTTATATATGTGCAATAATCTCGCATACAAAAATTTTGGGATCAACTTTAGCAAGATGAATGGATCTTCATTATGTTCATGTGGTTTGTTCCTTTCTCCATCCAGAAGTAGATATTTTCTAGATTTTAAAAAATCATATAAAGGTAATCCCTCTATTGGTTTATTGTTAAAGAGAAAATTTATATAATTCTCTGAATTGGCAAATTTTTGCTTACTTATGTTCACTTGAAAAATACGTAGAAATGTTAAAAATGCTACAACTATTTTTTCTTGCTTGTTCATATTTATAACTCCATCGAAATTAAAAATGAACATGTCATCAGGAAAATAATTCAGTATATATGGCAATTCATATTTGGTGTCTTTATATATTAGAGGATTCTCTAAATAGCTATTTTTCCTTATTTTTTTAAGTTTTATATAATCATTTTTCTTTTCAATTTGTACATCTGCTAACTCTGGATTGAATGATGGAACCTTTTTTAAATCTTTAATTTCGATATCTTTCAAAAAACTGTATATGCACATTCCTTCATCATATGCTGAGCTTGTATCGTTTTTACTACGAAAAATATTTATGTTCATATTTGAGTTTATTTTCACATTTTCTCCTTCGAATTTATGTATATTTAAATTGTCATCTCCTTGAGTTATCTTTCCCGTCTTGACATTCCCCTCTGATTCATACTTTTCTTTTGATTCAGCAAAAATTTCATTCTCTTTCAAGCATAGCAGGTTGTACCTCCTCAAGTTTCTTCTTCTCTTTCGTTGCTGCAATGTGCCTGTACCGTTCAGGTAAAAAACTACTAGTCTATTTTTCAAATGTGATTCGCATATATGTATGAGACCAATTATTAGGAGGAATACTAGTGAGGGAGAAACACTAGTGGAAGAACCACTAGTGGGGAGAAGAGTTTGGAAACACAGCATTTGTATTCATTGAAAAATTTGTCATGCGGTCTGCTGAACCTTTGCTTCTTCGTTTGATTGTTGATTTATTTGTTTCTTTTCTTTTTTTCTTCTTTCTTTATGTTCTCTTAACGTGGAAAGGCATCTCATTTTTAATCACGAATTCTTGGAAAATCGGCTTTCCTGCATAAGCCTATACACAACCTCTTGCGTGCACTAACACATTTGTCATTATAAAATAGGATAAAATAGGATAAAATAACATAAAATAGTACGAAATAGTATAAAATAGTATAAAAGAGGTTCTATCTAGATCATTTTCCAGACGTTTTATGAGAAGTCTCTTCTTTTCATTGTTTGCATAAAAAAGAAGAAGAAAAAAAAAAAAAAAATAATAAAAAAAATAATAACTCATTTGTCACTTGTACAGTGTTGTTATCGGAATTGTCACATCCTACATTTCTCCAAATGAGAAGAAATTTAATCAGTTCTTCAGATTTTCTATATTGACATATATATGCTAGTCGGGGTGTGGTGGAAAAATCCAAATTTTTTATATATGTCCCATGAAGGAGTGGATAACACGGAGGAAGAAAAAAAAAAAAAAAAAAAAAAAAAAAAAAAAAAAAAAAAAAAAAAAAAAAAAAAAAAAAAAAAAAAAAAAAAAAAAAAAAAAAAAAAAAAAAAAAAAAAAAAAAAAAAAAAAAAAAAAAAAAAAAAAAAAAAAAAAAAAAAAAAAAAAAAAAAAAAAAAAAAAAAAAAAAAAAAAAAAAAAAAAAAAAAAAAAAAAAAAAAAAAAAAAAAAAAACAATAAAACATGAACGAAAATGGAAAAATAAAATAACAATTTGATAGCTGTAATAGGGGCATAGCCAACTGTCACTTCGAAAATGTGCCGCTTTTAGCGCTACAAAAAAAAAAATAAAAAAAGAAAAAAAGAAAAAAAGAAAAAAAGAAAAAAAGAAAAAAAGAAAAAAAAAAAAAGAACAAAAGAACAAAAGAACAAAAGAATAAAAGAACAAAAGAACAAAAGGAAAGTGAAAAAGAATCCAGTTTTTCACGCAAATCACCAGCACCGTTGCTCAAGCCATACTAGGATGAGATACACCCATGCATGGAAGGGAAGTTATTTTATGTTTCATTCGGTTTGATTTTTTCCCCGGCTTGCTTCTCCTGACCTCTCCCTATTTCTTTTCTTTTCTTCCCATACATGGACTATCTAGTTGTGCCTCTCCCCACTCTCGCACCTACGCACATAAGCAGGAGATATATCCCTCAAAATGTGACACAAAAAAAGACACAACTAGATGTGTGATCCTCCGTTTGATACACCTACTCTCCAAATGAGTATACAATTTGAGTACTTACAATAAACATTCACACTGAAGCAAAATGAGATTGAAATATATATGACACGTGTGGATGAGAAACTCTCCTTTTCTCTTCGTTTTTCTTTGTCGATGTATTCATGGTAGTGTTATGAGTTTGGATACAAAACATGAATGTGTAATATTATTATTAATGCAAAAATGCAGTGAAAAATCTCCTTTTTTTTTTTTTTTTTTTTTTTTTGCAACTGATGTGTGAAGCGACGAGATGTGAGAGGAATGAACTGAATTTGTTTGCCACATGAAATTATTTTAATATGTCCAAAGGAGTTCTATGTCTTCATATTCAAAAGATATGTCAAGTGTGCGTGATAGAATAGACAGCATACAGAAACCAGTATGCTTTCAAAAAAATTTCGTTTTCACATTTGTATTTTATTAAAAAAAATAAATAATGCATTTTGAAAAAAAACAAAAAAGAGGTAAAATATTGATTATATATATTCACAAAATGGGTATTTTTTTGTGGAGAAGAAAATAAACTCTCAAGATAATTAAAAAAGTTGCCTTTATCATTTACAACTTCATTTCTGTCATTCATTTTTTTTAAATTTTTTATTGTAATTCCTACATTGTATTTTATATTATTCATAAATATGCAGCCAACATTCGTCAGCATATTTATTAAGTTATTCTCGTCTAAATAAATTCTTTTTTTAATTTTTTTTTTCATTTTTTTTAAAAATGAAAAGCTGTTATCGCTGTTCATGTTTCTTTCATCACAAAATTCTTTTGACATGTCGTTGAGGCATTTCTTTCCCTGGTTCAACATAGAGGAATCATCATCATGATCACTTTTGCACTCGCTATTGCTTCTTCCTTTTCCCATCATCATGTAGATGAAAATAGAATCATCAATCTTCTTCGTCTGCTTCGTCTTATTGTGCTTCAATTTGTTCAACTTTTTCAACTTCTTCTCTTTAAGGACCATTTTCTCAGAATTTTTATTCAACACCTGATTTGATAATAAGAGCGTTTTCTTTTCTTCGCCATTTGAAACATTTTCATTGTGTGTGTTCTTCAAGCGGCTGATGGTTCTGCTGCTCCTCCTTCTACTCCTACTCCTCCTACACCTCACGATTTGTTCTTCATTTGGAGAAGAAAAGGTGGTACTACTATCTGAAGGGAGAGGCGTGGGCTCGTTCATGCAACTTGAAGAAGATTCTTTCGATGGAGTAATGTCTTCACTTCTACTACTTTGTTTCAAATTTTGTGTCTTCTTAGAGAATGAAGTTGCATCTGTGCATCTGATGTTATTCTTTAGAAGAAAATGATTTGTAAAATGATCGTGCTTTTTCAATTCATGGAAGTAAAAAAGATATGCTTCTAATGCGTGATTATAATTATTCATATTAAACTTTTGCATACATGATTCAAAGTATTGTCTGTTCAAAATGTGATAGTACTTATATATACAATTGGAAATATAAGACCCGTTCAATCGGTTCCTCTTATCATTCATAAATTTAAAATCAACACTACACAATGATATACACAAATCAAAAAATGAATTTATAATAATATCAAATGTATTCATCCGCAAAATATCTTTATTTTCATATTTGTTAAAATGTGCAAAATAGTTATTATTCCGGATTTTTTCCTTTTTTCTTTTTTTATTCAAAAATTTTTTTTTTCTTAGAATCATTTCTGTGAGTTCTTTTATCTTTTCTCTTTGGCATGTTCTATTTTTTTTAACACCATCTTGAGAACTACTTGACAAAATTTCTTCTACTCCTTCTTTCTGTGTCTTTATCATACGTACTTTTTCTTTTTTTCTCGTTATTTTCAATTGCCCTCGACTTAACCCTTGTGTCGTCCTCACATCTTGCTTCATGTCAGGCAAATTCGATTGTGCATCTGAGGGATAGGTGTACACAGGAAATGGAAAAAGGGTTGGGAAATAACATGAATACTGTCTCAATTCTGGCACTCCACGTGCTGGTTCAGCTGGTTCAGCTTGTTCAGCATGTTCAGCTTATTCAACAGGTTCAGCTTGTTCAACCGGTTCAACTTCCTACGCGTTTGCGTTCGCGCCACTCTCATATTGGCAATGGCTAACTCATGGTTCATGTGATTCACACATCTCACTGAAGTTGAAACAAATGACCCCATCGGATGAAGGGCTTTCCTTACGTGGATAGGAGGAACCAGAAGACAAACGACCATTGCTATACTTAAAGATCAACTTTATCGAATAAGAAAGGAGAATATTCAAATATGTAGATGAGAAATATATATTGTGAAGGTGTATGAATAAGTAAAAGGAATTTATAACAAAAAAAAGAAAATCATTTAAATTGAATAATTGATTTTCTGAATAATACTGTTTGGTATAATTATGCAATGATAAGTTATCACTAGAGTCACTATTTTCATATGAATTGCAATCGGATTCAATAAAATTTTTATTTTTATTTTGCACAAAATTAAACATGCCATCATACATTTTTTTTTTTTTTTTCTTTTTTAATAATGGAAATCTGCTAGTAGATTGCATGTATATGAAATCTTCTTTTTTTTTTTCCTGATGAATTTTTTTTTTTTTTTTTTTATTTTCCTTTTGCTTTTTTATATATTCTGTTAGTTCCTTAGAATTCAATACAGTTTCAATTTGGTTATTGAAAATTTTATACGTGTATAATTTAGTTCTTTTAATTTTTTTTTTAATATATTCATTATGTACTAAGGTCGTATCTTTGTGGAGACTTGGAATGTATAAATGATTAGCTATGTATGATGATGATTCCTCTTCTCCTTTCTGATTTGCATATATAGAACTACATTTCTCTGTATCTAACAGGTCGTAATCTCCTTCAGTTGATCTTTTCATGTCTATCCTGTTCATATAGAAAGAAAAAAACTGCTCATTGCATATAATACTTATACTTTTTATTAAATTTTTCAATCCAAGACAATTCTTCAATTTTTTTCTCTTTACTTCCTTTTCATAAAATGAATGAATTCTATTCATCATTAGATTCTTTTTCAAAATTTCATGAAATTCCTTCCTTGCATCATTTGATGAAATAGATTCTCGCGTTATTAACGGGACACTATGTATGGACATCTTCTCGTCCTCCATTCTTTCTGATTCGCACAATGCATCTGTATGTTTTACTTTATCGCCTCTATCCATGGAATCTAACTTATAAGTGGGTTCACATGAAGATTCATTCCTCTTCTTTGTATTTATACAAGCGCTTGCCTCCTTCCTAATGTGCTGCTCATCCTCTTTCTCAATTTTGCAGTTTAACTTTTCAAAATCACTTTTAACTTCTAGTGTGTGCAGCATTTTTATGCTGTTTCTAAACACAGACAAGTAGTCCTTGTAGACACCTTTAGCACATTTCAAAGTGTCTAATTTTGTTTCAATATCTTGGTTGTTAATATATTCCCAAAAGTTACCATCTGATTCGTTCAAATTCATATAATCATATTTTCCTCCCTCCCTCTGATCATTTCTTACACTTTTATTATGTGACCTTTTGTGATTCCCATTGCACAGTTCTTTATCCATTCGTATGATGCTAGTGCTAGTCATCCAATCAAAATATTTTTCCTGTTCTTCTTCCTCCTCGTTTTTGATTTTTCCATGTTCTTCTTCCTCCTCGTTTTTGATTTTTCCATGTTCTTCTTCCTCCTCGTTTTTGATTTTTCCATGTTCTTCTTCCTCCTCTTCTTTGATTTTTCCATGTACTTCTTCCTTCAAAGGATGAATGTTCATTTGCACAATCCCACTACACATTTTCTTATCGTCAAGTATGCCATTCATATTCATACCTACTTGGTTATGATTAGCTGTTCTAGAAGACATCATGTCATAACAGCTGTAGTGTACCTTATCCAAATTGATTTCTTTTAAAAAATAAATGGACTTTTTTTTTATCGTTTTACATATATATATAAGGTAAGGACTGATGTGGAATTTGTCATTCTTCGTTTTTAACATCCTGGTTAGGTATACATGAAAAAGGGTTGGTATTATAGATAAGGAAAAATATAACAGTATGTATAAATGCTCATACTTGAGCTTGTTAAACATTAAAAACATGTTTTTTAATTTATAAAAATTGTTAATATTAAAATTTTCATCGAGTGTATATAATGATTCTTGTTGACAAGAATTATTTTTTTCTTTCTTTCCATAGCTGTTATCACTTAGATTGTGTATGTCAGCCGATTTGTTAATTACACCAGATGAGTTAAAAAAAAATTTATTTAAAATAATTCTTGGATTTATACTTTTCTTTTTATTAGTTATATTTTTGTCTCTCTTTGCTTCATTGCACACATTATCATTATCTCCTCTCTCTTTTTCTTTTTTTCTAAAAGTGGACAAGTCATTTTGACTAAAAAAATATTCTTCCGTGTTCTTGAAAGGGGAATTGTTGTCTCCATTTATTTTAAAGTTATAGCGATTCGCCTTACTGTTCATATTTTTTTTTTCATTTTTTTTTTTTTTTTTTTTTTCCATTCTTCTTTGTTCATAAAATGTGGAATTTTCTGTGAAATTTACCTGACCTTGGCTGTAATTTGAAAAATAGCTACTTTCACTTGAGTAGGAGAATAAAAGCTTTTCATCCTGCTCCATTCCAGAAGTGTAATCTGAGTTATTGGGAGGTGAAAAAGGAAATGCTCATAAGCATTAAAATGTGTTGTTTTTATGTGTTATTTTTTTGTGTTATTTTTTTGTGTTATTTTTTTGTGTTATTTTTTTGTGTTATTTTTTTGCGTTATTCTTTTGTGTTATTTTTTTGTGTTATTTTTTTGCGTTATTCTTTTGTGTTGTTTTTTTGCGGCGTATTTTTCTTCCCATTTTAGGATGGTCGTCTTAGCAATGCCCAAAATTTTTGCTTGTCAAGTGGACGGTCCCCTGATTAAGCAGTCTATTCGTATGGCTCTTTTTTTTTTTTTTACTTATTTGTTTATTATTTTTTTTTTTTTTTTTTTTTTTTCTTTCTTTTACCATTTTGTTGTTGTTTCGCTTGCATGCTCGTCTCGCATACATTCTTATTGTCGTAAATGTCTTCCAAGCTATGATATAGCTCCTTGAAATAGTGACAGTTGTTGAAATAGTAATAATATTCAATGAGAATTAAAAAGTGTTTGTATATCAATAGAAGAAAAGGGTCGTTTTTGTCTCCACTAGTGAATTTGCAAATGTATAGGAAATAATTAAATAGCTCACTGTTAATTATTAGTGTGTAAAGAAATTCAATGTATGTGTTAGTCTCGTATATGCACAAGTGCAGCATGTCGCGAACGAATTCTTCGTAATTTGTGAAAATGTGAAAAAAACTGTAGTTTGGACAGTTTTCCACGCAGCACTTTTCACAGTTTTCTGAACAACATTTAGTGCAATTTCCTCCTCTGAAAAATTTCCCCTGTCTTTTGTCTTTCTTTAGTGTGTCGCTTTCTCTGAGGAATGCCTCAATTTCACCCACTCCACCTCTTCCTCTTGTTTCACTCCCACTTTCGCTAACCCCATCACGCTTTTTTCTCTTCAAAAATTTAACATATTTTTTTCTGCAAATTGATAAATTCTTTGCCAAGAAAATAATTTTTTCTGTTAGTTCGTTCACTTTCTTGTTGTATATAAAATTGTTTCTTACATTTGAATTGTTAACTTTCATCATTTAGAAGTTCTGTTAGGGTGTTCCTCTTTTTTTTTTTTTTTTTTTTTACCTGAGTATATGTATATATATCATCGTTCCTATACCATTTGTCCTTCACGCTTAATCTGATGAGAAGCAGGTTTATCCGTGTAAAAAGTCGAATGGGAATGGGATTCTTATCGTTGATTATATATATTTTTTTAAAATAACATTTCGAAAAGGCATTCTAGATTTGTATAATGTCAGAACATGCGCATATGTATTTTCAGCACTTAAGTTAAATGTTAATTTTTTATTTTCTACTTAATTTGGCTGAAAGCTATAATTTTGTTTCATCTCTTCACCTATCCATTAACCTTCTTGTTTTATTAATTTTATATACCTATTATATCTTTTGAATTAAGAAATGAACTGATCACATTTTTAATGTGCAACTTGTGTATTAGGTAATTTTTTTTTTTTTTTTTTTTTTTTCTTAAAAAATATCTTACTATGAGATGAATGTGCTAAAACAGCATGAGAACTTGGGTGAAACAATTGTAAAAATAAGGAAAATAAAATAAAAGGAAAAATATAACCATAAGTGCCTAGAGTATTTTTCAAAAGAAATGAATACTACCTTTTTTTTTTTTTTTTATGTACACATAAAAAAGTAGCGCCTTTCTTGTGTTGTCCCCTTTTTCATTTTTTATTTTTGTACTTTTCTACTTGGAAATACAACTGAAAAGGAAGGAAAAATAATAGCGCGAGACACACCCTTAACCATTCTACAGAATAAAAGATTTTCCTTTTTTTTTTTTTTTTAATTAAAAACAGTTGTGAATTATATATAGCCCATCGTGCAGAAATGGTTGTCTAAGAGGAGCATAAAATTTTTTGGGATTGTTCCTCAGGCATTATATGTAATACTGATTGGTTTTCCTCTAAATATGTATGCAAATATGTATGCAAATATGTATGCAAATATGTGTACATATATATATATATATATATATATATATATATATATATACATATATATTTATATAAATTTAGACCTGAACCCTTAACATACGTGCATGGCTGAACAGTTTTCCACCCTTACCAAACTGGTCTTACATGAGTTCCATAAGTTAAAATGGGGAATGGCACGGAATTCACAAAATAAATCTGAACAAGGGCGTAGGGACTATTTTATATTATATTTTTTTTCCAAAAAAAAAAAAAAAAAATTATACATATATATAGCCTAGAGTTGAACTACACTGTGTGTGATTTGTGCAAAACATATAAAATTTATGAAAAAAAATACTTGAAGGTCTTTTGTGTACCGTCTCCTACACCTTTGTTGCTTTTTTTTTTTTTTTTTTTTTTTTCTATCATTAATAAAGAATAATTGGTTTTTTTTATATTTTTTTGTGACATGTATTATGCATGTGTGTGGTTTTTTTTTTTTTTTTTTTTTTTTTTTCAAGTATATATCCTTTACTTATTTTCCATGACAGTTGTTCATTATCCCATCAGTTCTTTCATTATGCGTACTTTTCTCCTGCAAAAATGAGGTGAACACAGAAAAGTGCTCAGGGAAAATCCCCATGACATAATTAATGTCAGAGAAGAACTATTCATGACTAAGTATGCCAAAGGAGAAAATCTAAAATTGGAACAATAGGAATTTTTTTTTTTTTTTTTTTTTTTTTTTTTTTTTTTGTTTGTAAATTTTAGGCCTCCTTTTACTATTTCGTAAAATCATTTTATCGGAGTATAAACGGAATCGTAAAATTATTCAAAATGGGAATTATTCGGAGGTAAATAACTTTAAAACAAAATGGAAAAAAAAAAAAAAAAAAAAAAAAAAGAAAAAAAATAATGAAAGAATAACGAAATAATATAACAAAATGTGAAAAAACAATGCAACATAAAGCAAACATTTCAAGAACAAAACTGTTTTTGTATTTTCCTGCGTGACAAGAAAAACTTGTTAAAACAGTTAACCATACATGCGTTTATCAGCATATGGTATTATCACGTTTTTTTTTTTTTTTTCTCTCTTCCTTTTTTATTTCCTCCTTTTTCTTTTCTTGCTTTTTTTTTTGTCCTTTTTTTTTTTTTTTTTTTTGCTTAAACCTTTTGCAAGTTGATCACAAACCAAGAATACATATTTATATCCTAATACTAGAAGGTTACATAAGATATAAAAAAAATACACAAACTTTTTTAAAGTCTGTTTTTTTTTTTTTTTTTTGTTGTATTATTTTTTATGTCTTTCAAAGTAAAAGGAATTCTTCCTTGAGGTGTAAAGTATGACTCTATTTTTTTTTTTTTTTTTTACAAACTTGCACAGTATATTAATTCATATGGTATGCTTATGTCATATACCACCATTTTGTTATGTTATTTTATGTTTTTTTAATTTTTTTTTAATTTTTTTTAATTTTATCTTATTTTTTACTTATTTTTTACTTATTTTTTACTTATTTTTTTCATATTTTTTCATATTTTTTTCATATTTTTATAATTCTATTATCATATTTTTATATGATTGCCACTAGACTTAGGTTCCTCGTGGTAGAGAAAGGGGGTCAAATTATATGTGTCGCAAAAACACATATGAGCACAACTGTGGTAGTATTTTTTTTTTTTTTTTTTTTTTCTTCTCTCTTGAATGCAATTATTACACACATGCACACACAATTTTAGGGGAAACTCACATATTTATTTTCATTTCTGTTTCTTCTTGTTTCATTTTTGTTTCATTTTGGTTTTATTTTTACTATATTTTTTCTTTATTTCTTCTTTATGTTTTCTTTTTTTCTTCTTTATTTCTTCTTTATTTTATTTAAATTTTTATATTTCTTTTTTTTTTTTTTGTTCTCACGACACACCTTATTTCCCAAATATGACCATATGAGAAGAATTTGTAAATAATTATTAAAATTGAATAGATGAGGCGTTAACTTGTTTGAATTCCTTTTTTTTTTTTTTTTTTTTTTTTTTTTTGTCATTACAAGACTGAGCTTATTTTGTATCACTTTCATGTTTATTTTAATTTCTTTTTTCTTACATTTGGTTCATGCGAGCCTCCCTTCAAATGCACACATAAGAACATGCACACAGAACCACTTGCACACAGAACCACTTGCACACAGAACCACGTGCATACAACCCAACCTCGCCCTTAGCATGTTCAACCCTGTTTCCCGTGCGTATTTTCCTTTTTTTTTTTTTTTTTTCTCAGAATCAGTGTCAATTTTTTTTGTACATAAGCGTGTAGGGACCTATGTAACTACTCTTTCCTTACTTATATGTGTTGTCAGAAGTTGCGCGTTTGCAACTGGTACTGAGCCCTTGTGTACGTGCATACAAAAGTACACTATTGCACTTCATTCATCAAGCAGGTTGGATAATCACATTGGTGCAGTGCATTAGTGAAGTGCATCAGTGAAGTGCATCAAATTAGTGCACCAAATTAGTGCACCAAATCAGAGCTGCATTTCAGTACACATCTGCGTGTGCACTGTGTTGAAGGATTTTCCATAGGATACCTCTTCATAAAATTAAAAAAAAAAAAAAAAAAAACAGAATAAAGGAACAAGAAAAAGGAACAAGAAAAAAGGGAGGCACACAACACAGTGCATGACATACCACAAATTGAGACAATACCTGTGGACCATTTGAACCAAAGGAGACGTGTGCAAGTTCCATACTCTTGACATAAAAGGTGTGAATGTGTACAAGTTCATGTGTTTCAATTCAGGGGAGAAATAACTTCTTCTTATTTGAGTTTTAATTTGCATTAGGTTAAGATCCTATTTTCAATTCATGAAGAGATCATCAGAAAAACAAAACGGTTTAGAAGTGTATGAACGTGGCTCATGCTCTAAGTCTTCTTACCCGATTAAGCTGTTTACTTGGCTTATCCGTTAGCAGCACAATCATGCATCTAACTGACGTCCCACTACTCTGTCTTCCATCTAGCCATTTCTAATCAAGCCATTTCCAATCAATCCATTTCCAATCAATCCATTTTCAATCAAGCCATTTTCAATCAAGCCATTTCTAATCAAAACCCTTTCCCCAGCCCTTTCCAATCAAGCCATTTCTAATCAAAACCCTTTCCCCAGCCCTTTCCAATCAAACCATCTCCAACCATTTTCTCCCCCCACGAGGTTCAAGAAAAAATGCAAAGTGTTCCCAGTGAAACAACGCTGAACTCAGATCCGTACAAAAGCAAAGAGAGTATAAACACATGTAGAAACGAAAAATCGACTGAATTTTCAGATCAATCAGATATGTCAAACAACAAAGAAGAGTATTGTGAACAGAAAGAGGAGTTTGAGAAGAAAATGTGTGGGAATATGAATGATAAGCTTAATTTGTATGATAATATAATAAGTGAAATAAAGGAGTTATATAATGGAAATATAGTTATGAATAATAAAGGTATTGATAAATTGAACATACGAAATGTTGCTAAAGGATTATTTTTAAGTATTAATAAAACAATATCAAAAAAGGTACGAGTACTAGTAATTGGAAATTCATCCTCAGGGAAGAGCACATTCATTAATTGGTTTTTACAAGATAATATACAAAAGACAGGATATGAATATGAAACAAATAATTTTACTTTAATAACAAGTGGAAATTATTATTCTGAATTTAACGGAGATGTAACAATAAAAACATTTGATTTCCTTAAGCAGATTGCTAACAGGAATCGTAATTTTAAAAATAATTTATGTACAAAGATGTATGTAAGTAAAAATGTAGAATTGAAAAATATTGATTTTATTGATACTCCTGGATTAAAAGATATAATGAATAAACTTGATTTTGATATTAATAGCATAATATATGACTTATCAGATTACGTAGATATTATTTTAGTTTTTTTTGATTCATCTGGAAAATCATTAAGTAATCGTTTACTCTTAATAATTAAGGAAATTTATGAAAAACATATCGAAAAAATTCTGTTCATTTTTTCTAAAATTGATGAAATTAAACATGAACAAGATAGGATTAAACTCCTTTGTCAAACTACACAATGTTTGGCTAGCAAAATCAATATAAGATACAATATAGATTTGCTACCAATATATATTTACGGTGCAAAAAATGGACGATATTTATTTGAAGGTGCAAGTAATGATGATGATTTGTGCATTGTCAACAGAATCAATGATATCATTTATGAAATTAAAAAAATATTTTTTAAAAAATTAGAAAAAGATCTCTATTGTCTAGTTAATGATTGTGATACCATTATTAACAAAATACTGGACATTTTAAAAACTGATGGCGAGAGACGTGCTCATAAATCTACACTGAAGCGCGAGCGTAAGTGATGTGTTCCTCCAGTATCGGCAGCACAGGGGTAGTCGTGTCCCTCAAAAAAATTATTTCATTCCTCTTTGATGTTCCTCAAAATTATTTCATTCCTCTTTGATGTTCCTCAAAATTATTTCATTCCTCTTTGATGTTCCTCAAAATTATTTCATGCCTCTTTGATGTTCTTGCGTGTACCCATCCTATACTCATTAATATGTGTTAATTACTACACCCTATTCATGATAAAATTGTTTATGTCATCTCCTTCACACATCTACACATGCACGCTTTCTTCTTACACCACCTCCTTCCCCCACTCGCGCAGGCATAAAACACACGACCATACAGGTTTTCACCTTTGTTGTCTTCCTTTTCTTCCTTTTTACACAACTGTCTGTTCATAACTACTACAAAGATGTCTTGATGAGGTAGGTCATGTGTGAAGCCACATTTGGAAAAAAAACAACACTGCTGCTTATGGAAGTGCACGCATTCCACTTGAGCAATTGAAAATAATTCGATCACCAATATCTTGTCGTGAACATAGAGGCATGGTAGCATAGCGTGGTGATGGCATAGAAACATGGAAACATGTCGACACATAGTCACGTAAACACACAGCCATGTAAACACACGTGCATATACCCTTTCCCTCGCCCCCTCGTAGTTACGTGGACATGTCGGCCAATCCTTTCTACAAAAATTACGTTATAAACACAGGAATTATGTTGAACAGTTGTAAGAGAAATTTATACTTCTATCCATTCTGATATGTATATATATATTTATATATATATATATATATATATATATATATATATATATATATATATATATATTTTTTTTTAAAATCCTAATCAGTGTTGTGTGCTCACTTAATACACAACCACGCATGGACATATTCATTTTCTTTCCTCCTTTTTTTTTTTCTGTAACTTTTTTCTATGTGCAGGGGAAAATTCTTATCTGATGATAAACGTGGCATTGGCTTTTTTTTTTCTCATGAGTGGAATCATGAAAAAAAAATTTACGAAGAATATAAAAACATTGCATGTTTCCAGCAAGGAAATATTGAGGGTATGATAAAAAAAAATTAAGAAAAAAGAAAAAGAGGTCAATGAACTGATGTGTGTTGCACGGTGGGTGGTTCAGTGCGAACCGCTACAAGTGCTATATCGGCTATCATGTTTACAAGATAGTTTGTCTGTTTGTAGGTTCCTATGTAGGTGCGTATGTAGTTACGTATGCAGGTACATATGTATGTATCTTTGCCTGTGTTCTTTCATTTGTGCACCCCTTTTTGTTCCCCTTATCCTCAGGAACAATTAACATTTGCCAAGTTTGCAAAAGACAGGGGAAAATATTTAGCCAAAACCTTTTATGAGTTAAAGCAAAATTGACGCCCAAAATTTGTAAAAAAAAAAAAAAAAAAAAAAAAAAAAAAAAAAAAATCGCAACGTGACAAAACGGAACCGAATTTATGTCTATCTAAATCAGTCATTTTCATACCTATTTTACATTACGAAGAAATAAAATAAATATATATGAGCTGTATTTTATTTTTTTTTATTTTTTTTTTTTTTTATTTTCCTTTTTTTTTATTGCTCACTGAATAATTTTATTGTTGCACTGGCTTGTTAGCAAATCGCTGCTTCATGTAGTATATGTGCTAACAGAGAAAAGAAAAATAAATAAAAAATAATGATAAAGCAAAATAATATAACAAAGTAATAAAACAAAATAACAACATTGTCTTCCCCCTTTTTTTTCGTCCACTGCAAAGAAAGGAGCAGTAACTGAAGAGTCTATAAAATTTAGCACATTATTCGTATCACTGACACTTAGACATTCGTAAATTTATGGCATTTCTTTTATATGCTTTATTTTATCATCACTAACATTGTCATTATTGGTATGATTATTTTATTGTTATTATTTTATGCTCTTTTTTTTTTTTTTTTTTTTTAATTACCATTTTAAGAACTCTTTAAGTATATATTTTATGAAAAACACTGAAGAGTTAATTCTTCCCAGTGATAAAGTAAACATTTATACAATTTGTGTTGACATATTTTGAAGTGAAAAATGTTCTGAAAAAACTTAGCACATGAACATAGTCAGGTGAATATGAATAAAGGTGCACATGCCAATGCGATGAGAAGAAGATTATATCTGTTGTATATTGGCATGAAGGAAGAATATCCTAAAGGAAAAATCCTTTTATCACAAAAGTAGAAAAAGTTCAATGTAATTATATAATATTTTTAAAAATTATGCTTAACAATATGTTAACAAAAGACAAATATATAAAATGAATATGTTTTTTTTTTTTTTTTTTTTTGGTTGATTTGTCCTTTTATACGAGATGACACATACATAGCTCTATCTTTATTTACGCCCATTTCTAGACGGTTAGAATACTATTGTATGCGACCTTTTTTTAAAAATATTTATTTACAACATTCTTTGGGATCAGGGTTTAGGGTTTGTTTTGTATAGGGTCATTTTTCAGACCTTCGCATAAGTTGCTATTTACTTGCAAGCATAAAAAATACAGGATTTTTTTTTTTTTTTTTTTTTCATGTAATTTTTGTAAATCGCTACCCATTTTTCTTTTGTTCTAAATATGTTTAAAAAGTGGGAAAGAAGTAAAAGAGAAACTGCAGAGATATTTTTCTTATCATGACAACTCTGTGTTAGCATGTTTTCCACATGGAAATGGGTCCAGGGAAGTTACACAGTAAAATCAGGTATGTTCCATATTTAGTTTAAAGGTATTTATCCGTGTGTTGGAACAGTTATGCGGTTTCTGACATCTGCAATAACTTTATACCTTTTTTTCTGACATGTCCTGACGTCGTAACAAAATTGCGCTTTTTTTTTTATGACATGTTCATATATTTTTATCGCTTTTCCGATGTCGTAATAAAATTCCACGCTTTTTTCTGACTTGTTCATATTTTTTTCACCTTTTTTGAAGGTTTTTTTTTTTTTTTTTTTCTTTTTTGCATCCCTTCACATAGTAGTTGTTAGCCTAGTATATAGTGTTCTTCCCGTTCATGCATAGTTATGCTTATCGAGTTATTTTTCTTCGGCCAATTTCTCTTCGTCTTATTTCCCCTTTTGAGCAAAAACACTCTTGCGCGAAGCCAACGATTATGTGAAGAGACCTCAAGAATAGCATTAATGCATGCACACATACTTACGTAAAAGCCGCGATTAATATGTTTCCTGTACGGCCATATGAAAAAAATACAAACACAAGCAAAAATACATTTCAAAGACTTTTCCACAAAATTTTAAAAGCACCTGTTGAAACTTCTAACAAAAAGAAAAACCAATTATCACCATTCCTACAAAATATTACATCTTTTTTTTTTTTTGGATAAAATAAGGATCAACGTGTGCGGAAGGGAAATGAAAATAATATATGTCTCTCCAGGCATGGCGTTATGTCTGTGTTTACCTCTGTTCACCTGCGTCTAACTCACACGATAACACCTCTATCTCTACCACTATCTCTTTCTCTCTCTCTCTCTCTCTCTATATATATATATATATATATATATATATATACATATGTATACACGTTGCATACACATTTCCCATGGGCCAGGGTGCTAAAAAGATATACTTCTTCTTCCCTGTTTTGAATATTTAAAAGTGATAGCGAGATTAATATAATTCCCTTGTGACGCTTTTTCAAAATTGTTTTGCCTTTTATTCTACGATGTTTCTTATTCTTATCCTTTTTTTTACTTCTTATGCTTATCCCTACTTCTTAATTTATTTTATTTATTCACTTTTGATACTCTTTTTTTTTTTTTTTTTTTTTTTTTTTTCCGTTTCTCATTCTACTTGAACGGGAAATTTTGCACGTTGGTACTTCAGGAGGATGCTTTAAGTTCTATTAGGACATGTTGTCTAAGCGAAATGCATTTTCTGCAAATTTTTAGTTTTTTCTTCCTCCCCCGCATACTAGTGTTAGCAGTATATTTCACGTGCTCAGGGGTGTGTCATATATATACATATATGCATGTATGTGTTGTCATTTATGTTACCTTCCTAGGCATGTTAATAGTAATATTTTTTTTTTTTTTTTTTTTTAAATTATATTGCTTTATTTTATTTTTTATATATTTTTATTATTTTTATTATTTTTATTTTTTTTATTATTTTTATTTTATTTTTTTTTTTTCGATATATTTTTTTCTTTTTGCATTTTTACCTTTTTCTGTTTGCCTAGTTTCAATCGTCTCCACATTTTTCCGTTTGGTTTGCATATTACACAACTGAAAAATACATTTTTCACAAAAATTGCTGTTGCGTTTTTTTTTTTTTTTTTTTTTTTTTTTTTTTTTTTTTTTTTTTTTTTTTTTTTTTTTTTTTTTTTTTTTTTTTATTATTTTTTTTTTTAAAAATGGTAAAAATTTAAAAAAAAAATAAAAGTGTTTTGCTTATCCGTAAAAAAAGAAATTAAATTCCCCCCCCCCCCCCCCCCCGCCTCCAAATTCCTGAGGGGTGTGTACATATTTTATATGTCCTTCAAAAATATCGCAGCAGTATCAACGTATGGTGCCACCGCTGTTCATAAATGTATATAAATATATACATATAAATATATACATATAAATATATACATATAAGTATATACATATATATATATATATATATATATATATATATTTATTTATTTATTTATATATTTAAAAAACAGATAAAAACAAATCTTCCCATCCACTAAACCTTGCGTGTGCATGTGGCACATACACAAGAGAACCATTTATGTACTTCTTGCACAATACACCGAAGGGAGAGAAAAAAAAAAAAAAAAAAAAAAAAAAGGGAAATAAATTTACGTGAATGACACTAGCACATATAATTATTTGTGTGGATAAGCTTTATGTATATTCTACACACACACGACAGCACACTATGAGCAATTCGTTTGGTGGATGGCCACATGGTATGCTATTCATTCTCTTCCATTCTCGCTTTAAAATTAATTCCGTCACACTTGTCCGTCACACTTGTCCGTCACATTTGTTCCGTTACATTTTTCAGTCATATTTGTCTCGCTACATTTGTTCTTTAGATTTTGCGCTTTCCATTTACCCTTTTACCTTGCATTTCCATTTTGTTACCTCAATTTTCTTGCATAATAATTCTCGCCCCTCCACACACACGTACACACTTTCTTCTTTAAAACAATAAAAAAAAAAAAAAAAAAAAAAAAAAAAAATTAAGAAAATGTTATGACCATAAGTTGGAGGAAGGGGAACGAAAAAAAAAAAAAAAAAAAGCTCCATGCTGTGTATTTATTTGTGCACATATATATATATATATATATATATATATACATATACATATACATCCATTTTTGCACGTGCTTACAAATGGTACACACATTCGTGGAAACCGTTATAAGAAACTCACGTGAGCGATACACTCAGCCGACCGCTGGAACTGAAAGAGCAACCAGGTTAATATTAACCTGAGAAAATTCTCTCCTCGTGAGGATGTTGGTTTCACTTGATTTGGTATGAGCTTTCCCGATTTCAGAGGCATTATTCGATTTCGTTCATCACTTTTTGTTCACCATATTTCGTTCACCATATTTCGTTCACCATATTTCGTTCACCATTTCTCGCTGACCATTTTTCGTTCACCACTTTTCGTTCACCACTTTTCGTTCACCATTTTTCGTTCACCACTTTTCTTTTATTTATTTTTATGCATACCTGTGTGCACTTTTAAAGGAGAGAACAGGACTTAAATAAGCAAAGCCCAGAGACCAATTGTGTAGTACGAATGGTTCCAGACTATGGGAATTCATTTTTTTATTTTGTGCAATTTCGTCATAGTTATTCTGCCGTGAGGTCCTCTCTTCCTTCTGAAGTTTTTGTTTCACTTTTTTCAGTTTGCACTTGCTTCACTTTGCATATATTTATTTGTTACTTTACATTTCGTGCGTCCCTGCAATTGGAGACCAAGCTTTTTTTTGTCAATTCCAAATGCATACATATATCTGTGGCTTAAAGGGAGACATTCGTACATATTGAAAAAAATTGCCATTTTCTGATGGATAGACAAAATTATTATTTGTGAGGCCATACAACAAAGTGATGTGTAATTATTTTTGAATGTTTAAATTTTGGAGGAATTTTTTTTTTACCTCATTCCTTGAGTTCTTCATGTGAGAATCTGTTCTTCCTCTTTGTTGGAATCCAGCGTGCTTCTCAATTTTTCATCGTTCTTACATTTCATACTTCTGTTACCCATTGTGTTGTACATCTTCTTAATGTTTCTCTTTTCCCATAAGTATACCTCGTGGGTTTCGCCTTTTTTTTTTTTTTTTTTTTTTTTTTTTTTTTTTGCCAATTTTGAATTCCGTGTAGGAACTTACTCGTCGCGTGGTTTTCCATCCGCGTGACAGAAAATGGACCTGATAAAGATATAAAAAAAAAATGAAAATTTAAAAGATTATGTAAAAA